CTACCCCTCAACCTCCACCCCCTCCCCCGCGGGGCCCCCCTCCTACACCCTTTCCCGCCTCTCCGACCACACCCAGCGCGAAGAACACCTTGCCCAGCTCCGCCTGGCAAAAATGGGCCGCGGACCTGCAACAGAGCCTCCAAAACGAACGAGAGCGCTACGAGACACTTGCGCGTAGCGAGCGGGCCGTGTGGCTTGCGGAGCGGCTGGGTGAGTGCGTGGTGGATGGGACGTTGGTGCCGATATCGCGGACGCCGGGGTTTGAGGGGCCGTGTGGCAGCTGCAACTCGTCGGGGATGAGGAAGGGGATGGGGAAGGGGGGTGAAGATGGAGATGGAGATGGAGATGGAGATGGAGGCGGGGACAGGGGCAGGGGCAGGGGACAGGGTAGGGGTGCGGGGGGAGGAGAGATGGTTACGGTTTATGGGCCTGATGGGCGGCGGCGGCGGGGGCGGCGGCGAGTGGGGGGCTATCAGGTGCATGCGGGCGGGGATGTGATGAGGGTGATGGATCCGCTGGGGTTGATTGGGTGGAATGACGAGGTGAGGCAGCGGGGGTGGGTGGTTGTGAGGGTGTTGGGGGGTGTGGGTGTTTTTGGCGGGATTGCGTTGTGGGTTGTCCGGGGATGGAATGTTGGTTGGTTTGGCTGGGGTTGAGCGATTGGGTTGATGGGTCTGTCTGCCGATGTTGGCTGGCGTTGATATAAATCTATACTTAGGTGCGGTGTTGGTTTTTATTCTTTGGTGTGCTTCATCCAACCAACTACCACGGCAAGGGCTCATGCTTGGTATTGCCCTCCATATCCATCATTTATTTTATTTTATACACTACCAGGTGTATTGAACTGCCTTTTTTATGTTTGCTCTGTTCACTCTTTTTGCAGTGTGTATATGAGTGTGTGTCTTATGGAACCCCTGCCCTCTGGCATCACTTGCCTCGATCATATCATATATATATATATATATATATATATATCATCCTCTCTGTACTCTCTGCCTATATCATACAGCCCATGCTTATAGAGAATAGAGTTGTCAGTTTAGTTTTCCATTTATTACACTATAAGTACTCTCCATCCTTATCTCCACCTGCATATTAGTATACGTCCTGCATCGTTGACAAACACCCCAGTTAAAAGTTATCTAGCCTGCAACAGTGTATATGTGGGCCTGCTGGCTTGTGCCCATGCTATGCGATCTGCTCTCTGTGATCCGTGAATCTACAGGGTGATTTTTTGACCACCAATCAAAGGCTCCTTAGGAATATAGGCCGGCTCGCCATAAACGATACCTCGCAGCAGAGGGGGAGGAGATTGGGCCCTAGTTTGTTTTCCCCCCCAACACACACACACACACACACACACACACACACACACAATTTTCGCTTCCCTGCAAAATAAACATTAAAAAGCCATTAATAAACCCCACACCACGCAATCCCATACATCCATCCATTGAACCCGGGGGAAGTGTATATAAAGAGTACATAGAAAAGGGTGATGTATGCGAATGGCTTCTCACGCCTCTATGCGTCGGTTCATGTACATCCATGGACCGCCCGGGCGGGGGGGGGGGGGGGGGGGTGTTGCGGAGAGATTTGGAAGAGGCGGAATTTTGCAGGGAGGAAAGTTCTAGAACTCTCCATGCATCGCACAGATGGGGGTAGCTACTTGGTACTGTGCTGCAGCTTGCTTCCCGCTACCACTGGATATTCCGGGGCTTATGCCCGGTAGGTCTGTTCTGTAGGTAGGTAGGTAGGTAGGTAGGCATGTCTGTCTGTCTGTCTGTCTGTCTGTCTGCCTGTCTGTAGAAGGACTTAGCAGGAATAAGAAGCTCTCCGCATGTGGAAGTTTTTGGCGGGGGAAGCTCTGGGGATTCCGGACTACCCGTGCACCCAACCCCGGACGCTGCGCTGCTCTCTGTCTTGCGAAGTCGGTAAATCCCATCGAAAGGAAGGAAGTTCGGATATTCCCCCGCTGTTGTGATTTCCAAGGGTCGCAGTGAGTTACGACTTGCTCGGCTTGCTCCAGCTACGGGCGGTTGGATGGTGGATGGTTCTGGAAGATCAAGCTGGTCTCCGCTTTGGGACTAGCGCGGGCCATTGGTTGATGGAAATCTGTGGAAGGTTCGCTGGGGGGGAAGGTGGAATGGGAAGGAGGAGCCTTTCCCGCCTATTTATTAGGGTAGGGAGCACACTTTTGGGGGGGGGAAGGGGTAGATGTTTTTTCGTCTTCTCTCCTTGTTTGTGCCTTCCGTTTCCCAAGCAGCTGCTTTCTTTTTATTTGGGTTCTTTTCTCTTCTCACCCCTTCGCTCTTCTTCTTCTTCTTCTTCTTCTTCTTCTTCTTCTTCTTCTTCTTCTTCTTCCTTCAACAACACAAATCTCTCCTCCATCAACCTCCTCCTCTTTCTCCTCCTCAGCTTCTAACTCCACTTCATATCTTCTTCATCAATCTTTCTACTCTATAACCACCATATATTCAAGTCCTATCTATCTACCACGCCTGTAATACTTGCCAGCTTGCCAGCTTGCGACTCTGCAATTCTTTCACTGTAAGTGGTTGTGTTGTTGTTATTATTCTCTACCCTCACCCCTCACCACCCCTCGCAATAAACAGAAGCAGCTTTGTTTCCACCATGTCCTATGTAAACCCCCTCCCCCCCCTCCTCTCTCATCACCCAGGTCAAAAGGTATATAAAAGGCAGCGCTAGAATAAAAGTAGCAGAACACATCGATTGCCTGCAGACGGAAAACTCTGTCGGTCTGTTTTTTTTTTTTTTTTTTTTTTTTTTTTTTTTTTTTGGCTTTTAAACAAAAGAGGCTAACCTGGAGCTGTTGGCAGGACACACAACACACATCCTCACAGCAGCCATGGCGTCTGAGACCTTCGAATTCCAGGCTGAGATCTCTCAGCTCCTCTCCCTCATCATCAACACCGTCTACTCGAACAAGGAGATCTTCCTGCGAGAACTCATCTCCAACTGTTCCGATGCCCTCGACAAGATCCGCTATGAGGCCCTCTCCGACCCCAGCAAACTCGACTCCAACAAGGATCTCCGCATCGACATCATCCCTGACAAGGCAAACAAAACCCTCACCATCCAGGATACCGGTATCGGCATGACCAAAGCTGTATGTATTCCCCCAATTTGAAGTTGTTGTTAAATTTGAGATTTGTTGTTCTCTCCCCTTTTTTTGTGGAAGCTTTCCATTTTCTGCCAAGAAAAAAAAAATCAAAAAATATAAAATCCAAAAATCAAATATACTGACAACTTTTCCCAATTTCAGGACCTCGTCAACAACCTGGGTACTATTGCCCGCTCTGGCACTAAGCAATTCATGGAAGCTCTCACCGCTGGTGCCGATATTTCTATGATTGGTCAGTTTGGTGTCGGCTTCTACTCTGCCTACCTCGTGGCCGACAAGGTCACCGTCATTTCCAAGCACAACGATGACGAACAGTACATCTGGGAGTCCAGCGCCGGTGGCACCTTCAAGATCACCCAGGATACCGATGGAGAGTCCCTTGGCCGTGGTACCAAGATGATCCTGCACCTCAAGGACGAGCAGACTGAGTACCTGAACGAGAGCAAAATCAAGGAGGTCGTCAAGAAGCACTCCGAGTTCATCTCCTACCCCATCTACCTCCACGTCGTGAAGGAGATTGAGAAGGAGGTCGTCGATGAGGATGCTGAGGAGGTCAAAGAAGACGATGAAGACAAGGCTCCCAAGGTCGAGGAGGTTGACGATGAGGAAGAGGAGAAAAAGAAGGAAAAGAAGACCAAGAAAATCAAAGAGAGCAAAATTGAGGAGGAAGAGCTTAACAAGACTAAGCCCATCTGGACTCGTAACCCTGCTGATATTACTCAGGAGGAATATGCCTCCTTCTATAAGACGCTGTCCAAGTAAGTTTTTTGTTTCCTTCCCCCTCCCCACCCCCAAACCCAATGGTATCATAATCACTATGTACTTATCATTACTAACCAACCAATTAGTGACTGGGAGGACCATCTTGCTGTCAAGCACTTCTCCGTTGAAGGTCAACTCGAGTTCCGCGCCATCCTCTTCGTGCCCAAGCGCGCTCCTTTCGATCTCTTCGAGACCAAGAAGACCAAGAACAATATCAAACTCTACGTTCGTCGTGTCTTCATCACCGATGACGCCACTGATCTCATCCCCGAATGGCTCAGCTTCGTCAAGGGTGTCGTCGACTCTGAGGACCTGCCTCTCAACCTTTCTCGTGAGACCCTCCAGCAGAACAAGATCATGAAGGTCATCAAGAAGAACATTGTCAAGAAGACCCTCGAGCTCTTTACCGAGATCGCCGAAGACCGTGAGCAATTCGACAAGTTCTACTCTGCTTTCAGCAAGAACATCAAGCTCGGTATCCACGAGGATGCTCAGAATCGCTCTGCCCTTGCTAAGCTCCTCCGCTTCAACTCCACCAAGTCCGGCGATGAGACCACGTCCCTTGCCGACTACGTCACCCGCATGCAGGAGCATCAGAAGCAAATGTACTACATCACCGGCGAGTCTCTCAAGGCTGTCCAGAAGTCCCCCTTCCTTGACACCCTCAAGGAGAAGAACTTCGAGGTTCTCTTCCTCGTTGACCCCATTGATGAGTATGCCATGACCCAACTCAAGGAATTCGACGGCAAGAAACTCGTCGACATCACCAAGGACTTCGAGCTCGAGGAAACCGACGAGGAGAAGAAGACGCGCGAAGCCGAAGAGAAGGAATTCGAAGGCCTTGCCAAAGCCCTCAAGAACGTCCTAGGTGACAAAGTCGAGAAAGTAGTCGTCTCTCACAAGCTAATTGGCTCCCCCTGTGCCATCCGCACTGGCCAATTCGGCTGGTCCGCGAACATGGAACGGATCATGAAAGCCCAGGCCCTCCGCGACACATCCATGAGCTCTTACATGTCTTCCAAGAAGACATTCGAAATTTCCCCGCGCTCCCCCATCATCAAGGAACTCAAGAAGAAGGTCGAAGCGGATGGCGAGAACGACCGTACCGTCAAGTCTATTACGCAGTTGCTCTTTGAGACCTCGTTGCTCGTCTCTGGATTCACTATTGAGGAACCCGCTGGCTTTGCAGAGCGGATCCACAAGCTTGTTTCACTTGGATTGAATGTTGATGAGGAATCAGAGAAAGAAGGGGAGGATAGTACGGATAAGGAGGCTGCGCCTGCTGCGGCTGAGGTGGCGGGTGAGAGTGCAATGGAGGAGGTTGATTAGGTTTGGTGATGTCTGTGGTTGAGTTTTGTTGCCGTTAGTTGGGTGGTTTGGTTGGTAGTTTTTGAGCGTCATGGCGGCGATGATGAGATGAACGATGAAGAACGATACATTTCCGTGCCCTCCCTTCCACCCACCTTCCGACCCTCTACGTGCTGCTCTACACGGGTTCTTTCCTAGATGGTGAGGTAATCGCCTAATAAAGGAAAATATTTGTTTATTTGAAAGAAGTTTTCGAAAGGTATCAAAATCAAGATGGAAAGAGAGGAAAAGCAAAGCATGCTGTAGCGATTTTTTGATTTTTTAAATTTGAAGTCGAGGTTGCTGTTTTTTGCTAATTTAACAAGTTAGTGTTAAATTTTGATGTCTTTTTTATGAATTGAATTATTAATTATCCTTTTGCAGGTCGTGTCCACGTTTAGTAAAAGCTTCTCTGTTTGACTGTCCCCCCCCCCTTTTTTTTTTTTTTTTTCTTATGCCTTTGCTTTTACTTTTCTTTTCCTTTTTGCTTTTGCTTTTCCTTTGCTTTTTCTTTTGCTTTTCCCTCCATTTGCTATATCTTTTGACTCGGATCTTCTTGTTAAACTGGTTTTGTCTTCTCCCGTTAGGTAGGCAGGTTTAGTTAATTTGAATACAATTTCTTACATTGAACACTCACCACTCCTCGATTCATGTCATCAAGTGATGGATGGGTAAATTGTATGTATGTTATCTACGCGGTAGAAAATGTGCCACGGGAACCCGATGAAAAAAGGAAGCTTGGCTGCTGTGAGAACTGGAGAGGAAAGGCGCTGCTGGTGTGTGTGTGTGTGTGTGTGTGTGTGTGTGTGTGTGTGTGGCCCTCGTTTTCTCTCTTCGCCTGCCGCCTTGAGTGGAATCCCCGCTTTGCATGTTATCATCACATAGGCAGGCAGCGTTTTGTATCTCACGCTTGAAACCTTTAGAAGTAGTGAACGCCCATTCCTTTATCATTACTATTACTATTATTATTCGGACTCGGAATAGAGATGGGTGTGAGATATATGATATAAGAAGCAGTTGAGTAATTCTGGGTTAAGAGAGAATGTGCCGAGAACATGACTGAAATACTAAGCTATTTAATATTTGAGGGGGAGGAAGAGGGGGAGATAGGGGTGATAGGAGGTTTAAAGTTGTCAAGTTAAGTGGAAATAAATCCCAATAAAAATTATTTTTCTCTTTAAGGGGAGTGAGTGAGTTGCAAAGGAGTGAAAACCGTCAGTGAAAAGGAGGAATTAATTTTATTTCTGAAAAAAAAAAAATAATAGTAATAATAATAAATAAAGCAAGTTAAGCATGTACACAAAGCATGCCCGCTATACCCACTCTCCTATACTGAGTTTAGCTCGTTAGGGAGAAGTAAGGATGAAAGAATTTAGGACGAGAAGGCGAAAATATATCAGAGCCAGTTAAGAACTTAAGATTTGAGAAGACATGGAGCCTAGAGGCAGGAAAGAAAATTATTGTCACAGAGAAAAAGAAAATGATAGGATAATAAATCAAAAATACACACATACACACACACACACAAAAAAAAAAAAGGGTGTTTGGGGGGGGGGGAAGAAAACGCTTTTTCGTGTCGTAATAAAAAGAGATGGATAAGAGGAAGAAGACGGAGAGAAAAATATTAAAGAAAAAAAGGAAGAAAAAAAAAAAAAGTCTTTATCTAACTGAGTGCTGCTGATTGAGGTAGTAAGAGGAATATGTTCTGCCAGACTTTTTTGAAAAGGATAAAATAAATATAAAACGAAGTTTTTTCCAACCGCTAAGGAGGCAAGTATAGCGCACAGGTGAAGATGAGGACTGAAGCGCAAATCGCAGGAGGTAGGGATATGTAAATGTTGGCAAATTAGATGGGTAAACATGCAAGACATGCAGATGCGTGCAAAGAAAAATAAAATAAAATAAAAAATCCCGGAAAATTAGCAAAACATCATTCAGTTTGAAAATGGAAAATCGTTAATGCAGTCAGTCAGTCCCTCACATGACTGGAGCGGAACTTGAAAAAAAGACAATAAACGAGACATTGGCATTTATGCGGAGTTCGGAGTTAAGATGGAAAGTTGGGGGGGGGGGGGGGGGGGGGGAATATTACATATGATGGGAAGGGATACATGGATGGGAGTCAATGTATGTACGCGCGGGACGCGTATCTGGGTGAGAAGAGTGTGCTGTGTTCGAGATCCAGACGACGGGGTATGGGGTGGGATGGATGGGTTGAAAAGGCTCTTATCTGTAGTAGTCAAGGTCAAATATCAAGTGCTGTGCGTGAGTGAGTTAAGTCAGGAATTCAGAGAGATGGATAAAATGGGAGGTGTGCAAGGCAGATAAAAAAATGGGCTGGCCCCTGTAATAGTTTTCAAGCTTCTTTCCTCCACAAAAAAAGGTTCAACTTTTTATAAAACCCCCAGCTCCGCTTTTCACACGGCTTGGGGTTGACCACTGCGTCCCTTGGGCGCGATGTTCCCACCACCACCACGACCGCCTCGGGAGATGTAGCGGCCAGACTCGTTCTGGAAACCGCCACGACCGCCCTGGCTGCCGGAACGGCCGTCGCCGCGGCCACGGCCTGAGCCTCCACGGCCCGAACCGTAGTTGGAATTTCCACCGAAGCCGCCGGGCCGACGGCGCTCGACGGTTACCTCTTCAGTGCCGATTTGGTGAGGGTTGGAGGAGAGGGCAGTTTTATAGGCGGCTACGTCTGCGAATTCGACGTAGGCGGTTCCCTGTGGTTGTTGGTTAGCGCTGGTTGGTCTTCTCTATGGGTATATATGGAAAGGAAGGGGGAAATGGAATTGAAGATTTTAAAACACATACGTTTTGTCTATTCACGTTGAAGTACTTGAGCTTTCCAAATCGCGACATGACCTGTTTCAAGAGCGCTGCATCCACCTTCTCGTTGACATTTTTGATAAGACCGCGGGTGTTCTCCTCTCCGGCACCAGAGACGGATTGTGGTCTAGCTTGTCTTCTACCATGGTCTGCACCGGCGGTCTGCCATTCCGAACCACTGGAGCATTGGCTGGTAACGTTTTCATTGTCTCCAGCAGGAGGAGCAGCGGAGGGAGTTGCCTGGGTTGGTACAGGGGCGGCCCTGGGAGGAGCAGATGCCGCAACTTGGGTTGGAGTAACTAAGACATGGTTGGCTGGTGCTGGGGCTTTAGCACGGCTAGAGGCAATAGACGCCCAGCTCATTGGTGCCTTAGCAACGGGTGGCGCAGGCCCCTTTTCTGAAACAGGTGTGGCAGCCTTGGGAGGAGAGGCGGCAGGAGTTGATTCTGGTTCTTTGGGCTTTTCGGCCTCAAGGACCTCGGGAACTCCTGGAGGCACAGGCGCTGCGGTAGCGGCTGAAGCAGGAGCGGCAGCTTCACCCTCAAGAGTTTCACCTGTGGGCTGCTGTTCAGCCTGGACAGTTGGTTCGCTGTTGAGAGTGATCTCCTTGAGCTTCTCTGAAATTTCCTGAGCGGCAATTTCATTGTCCGCCTGCCGCTCGGGATCTACGTCTAGTGGTGTCGCTTCCTGGTCAACTGCTGTGGTAGTCGGCTCCAAAATGCCAGCTCTGCCGTCAACCTCAAGAGGAACTTCATCCTCAACGGCTTCCTCTTCTTCATCGGCCAAGTATCTGATGATATCATTCAGAACATAGTATCCATTTGGTTGCTCAGCCAGGACAAATGTCTGAATGAATTTGCGGGAAGGTTCCGATTTGTTGGAAATTTCACCAATCACGGAAACCAAAATGTTATCGAAGGAGGCCTGGGAGTCCACATTCAAAACGCGGACCTTGCAGTCCTGGAAATCGAGTTCTTTAATCCGTTCGTTGATAGCCTAATAGATGTAATATTATATTTATTAGTAACTTTTCCTTTAGGTCCTGCTTCAAAAACAAAGTATAATATCATCTTCCTTTTGTTTTCAGTAACTCACCTTTTGGCCAACAGCAACAGTCACTTTCTCCGCCTCCATGCCCGAGACGAACTGAGATTTGCGAGAGTAGAAAAGGTGAAGTTTCTCCGGATTGCGACTGAGGGTGGTATAGTATTGTTCAACAAAGAACCACCCCACCTCATCCTTGGGGATGTCGTTCTTGGGTTCAGGGGCTGGGGGTGCGGAGGCTGAAGAAGTCGATGACTGATTATGATACGTGTTGGAGGAGACGCCATTTGCAGCAGCGTGGGTAGGGTTGTAGTCGTCTGCGGCGTATGGATTGGCCTGGTGTTGAGCATGGTAGTTTCCGTTGACAAGAGCTGGGTTGGTAGTAACTTCGGAGGCCATGTTGGATGATTAATTGGGGACGGTGGTTTTAAAACGAGGGGTTTGTTAGAGACAGGAGAAGACTGGTGGGTTGGATAATAGTGAGGTTGAAGAAGCAGCGGAAGCAGATCCAAGAGCGGATATGAGTAGATTTCAGAGATCAGCAGGCTGTGGGGATGGAGCCGTGAGTCAAATGAGTCGTGGTGAGGAAAAATGGAGAGAATAAGAAGAAGCTGTTGTAAGAGGATCTACAGGTCAGCTTCATGTATTCGACAGAACACCTGTAGAGGTTGGGACGTACTTAGAGTGAGTGAAGAAAGAAAGAAGTGTGAAGGAAAGACCTGAATAACAAAGCCACGGCGAGAACTTACACGGTACGTCTAAAATGTACACAGAGTCACGAGTAGGAAAGGCTATGCGATAGAAAAGACGATTAAATAAAACGGGAGAGAAAAATAACTTTTTCAGGTCTCTTACTTTATAAAAGGAGAGAAACGTTGGAATGAGGGAAGAGGGGAGAGACAAGAAGGCGACAAGTGAGTAAAGACAGAGAGGACTGGTAAAGAGGCTATGAGGGTAGAGGAGCTTTTGAATGGAGGATGGATGAAATGGAAGCTGGATAAACTTTGTAAGAAAGAGAAAAGTGGTGATGACGATGGTCGTGGTGGTGGTGGTGGTGGTGGTGGTGGTCGTTGTGTAATATGTGTTTTGTGGCGGGAGGTTGAGGTTGAGGTTTGAAGAAAAAGAGTGTGCACTTTTTTGGGTTAGGGCAGAAACCAAACTCTGGAAGGAAGAGTTTCTATTAACGTACGAATCCAACCAATCGACCTCGCTCTTTTCGCCCCTCAGCGCCCAACTTCAAACCACTCACCCGTGGCGCTCAATGAAGAGGCTGTACAGTCAGCATCTTGAAGTTTTGAACAGACAGACATTAGATCTCTAATCATGCTCAGGTTGCAAGAGAATTCAGATTCAGTTGAATGACATTGATGCGGCACTATAAAGACAAGTAAGCATTCTCAACAAAGATAATTTCAGTTAGCTTCTCATCATTATTAGAGAATATTATTGCTATTTCATATAAATTATCTTGTAGATCATAACTTATCAATAGTTCTTAAATATTGTAAATTTTAATAATTAAAGTTATAAAGTTATCTATAGCGATTAATTTAAAAAATAATTATTATTATAATATTTATATAAAATTATTTAAATTTTATATAATTTTTAATTTTTTATAAAAGTTAATATTTTATTTTTTATATATAAATAATATAATTTATATAATAATTTTAAAATTTTATTATAAAAAATTATAAAATTTAATATTTTTATTAAATATTAATTATTATTATATATATAATTTTATATAATTTTTAATTTAAAATTTTTTAACTTTAATATTTATTAAATAAAAATAATTAAATATAATTAAACTTTTAAAATTAAAAAAATCTAATAATTATTTTTTAAAATTAACTTTAAATTTATTATATATTTTAATAGAGTATATATTTATTATAATTTTAAATAATTATATTAATTATACTCAAGTTTTATAATATTTATTTATTATTAATATATTTTATATTTAGTAAATCTGTTATATACTATAATATTTTCTCCTCTGTCATTCCATTTTAAAGCCGCATGTGCTTAGGCATTAAGCAGGTAGCATAGTACATTACACATGCGTCCCCTTAAGGGGGTGAGTACATAAGGCTGCATACAGACAGCTTACATTTTAAATCCTGAATGGGGATTGGTTCCCCTTGGGCTCAAAAACTCATTGAACCTCGGGAGATACAAAGAACACACATGTGGGCAATATTCTCATCAGCTGCAAAAGAAACACTGACACGTTGGCATGGGAAACTAAAACGGTTCAAAAGAGCTAAAGATGGACATGATAAATATAGCTTAGCGGGAAACACGCTCTGTAGATAATAATATAAGTTGTGGTAGCTAAACATGTCCCAGATGAGACCAAAATCGCTAAACACCATAAAATCCAAAAAAGAGGAAGGGGGTAATACTAGAATAAACATGGCACCTATCATGCATGCATCTTGCAATCTCGCAAGTGACAGACCAGATCCAGAATACAGTATAAGGAGAGGGAGGGAGAAATCGGGGAAAGGACTTGGGGGGGTGGTGTTGCTTAAGGTGGAGAAAAGCTCCCGCAAAACGATCTTAGAAAACTGATATGTGCAAGTTCAAAGTCAAGCAACATGCCATGAAACGCCCTAATGAAGAGAAGAGGCAAAAGCGAGAAGACTCAGAGGTACTCGTAGACATAACATAACAGGAGAGTCGGATATTGGAAATTGGAAATGGACAGATAGATCGCATCGACAAAGAACAGAGCAGAACAGGAGGTATTGGGAAACGCGGTGGAAAATTGGCATGGGGAATACATAGTTGGGCAAAACAGTGGGACATTAGAGCAGTTAAAAATGCAAGGAAATAAAATGGGTAAATTCAAAACGAGGACAAACGTTTAAAAATCCAGTCTTCCATCACTCATGAGAGGGTCCGGGTGAGGAGTCATTCAACAAGAGTTGGCGGTGGAGTTATATAAGCCATGAAAAAGCCAAATAAAAATAAAACATCAAAAAATAGTGGCAGAGAGAAAAAAGCAATCCCCCCCCTTCTAAGAAGCCGCCTCCATCTTAATCGCCTGCTTCTCCTCCGTCGGCGTCCGCTTGCGCATCACAGCGTCCTGGCCAGACATCCTCCTGCCCAACGCCCGCTCGACCTTCGCACCAAGTGCGAGCTTGTTGAGGTCATCCGTTTTCTCTGGGGTGGGCACGAATCGCTGCTGGGTGAGGGGTTTGTTCTCGAGGCGCTCGAGGCCGGCGCCCAGTTCTTTGATTTCGGCCAGACGGCTGTCGCCGGTCATTGTGCTGGAGATAGTGTGGTCGGAGGGCGCGAGGGAGCCGGTCCCGCTGATTGCGGAGAAGCGCTGGGAGCTGTGGTGGGAGGAGACCTGTTTTTTCCCCGGTGGGAGGTTGGGGGGTTTAGTATGTTTGTTTCGTGGCTGGGAGGGCCGCGGAGGAGGAGCGGTAGTGGTGGTAGTGGTGGCAGAAGTAGCAGCAGGAGTAGAGGACGGGGGAAGAGAAGAGCCCTTGGAAGAGCGGAGGGAGGAGTTATAATATCGGAAGGAGATTTGAGGAAACCATACTGAGGGAGCCATGATTGGCCGTTGGGAATCTAGAGACTGCTGTCTAGCCATTCTAAACTGAAGGGATCTAGAAAGAACGAGAAGGGGGAGGGGGGTATGTCAGTAAATAAATACGCCCTTTTGTCAAGCGGAGGTGGCATTTTTGCTGGTTGCTGGCCTGACTCTGTACGTACTCGCTGAAAAAAAGAATGGATTTCCAATGCGTTAACTAATAAAGGCGGGGAGTGAGCACAGGGCCAAGTCAATGTCCTGTGTTTTCTTTTTCTACCTGCTTTTCGGGCCCTTTTTTGGCATGCGGGAGGTTCGAGCGTGATTGGGGATCGAGTTTGAGGAAATCTGGTAAAGTATGTACTGTAGTACCACAGGAATCAGCAAAAGATTGTTTGGCGACGCGCTGTCCAATCAGTGGAAAGGGCAGGTATCCTGGCTGGCATGAATTTTCGACACTGATATTTGATCAATCCTGCGTTGGTTGCGCGCACAGACAAAATAGAGGCATGGAAGCCCAATCAGGTCGCAAAAAACCGTATTCATCGAAGGGATGGGAGGGAGAATTGGCTGACGACTTACTTGGAACGATGGCAGCAGAAATCGACGATGGGAGGAGTACGAGGGCGCTGGATCGTCACGGGCTCCCTGAGACCAGGTAACAGGTAAAGGAGATCGGGTGGCCTGATATGGGGGAGGGCGCTTGAGTACAGCAGCGTGCGAACGGCTGGAGAATATAAACTAACGATGGAAGCGGGAGGAGATGGCTTGTGTGATGATGATGTTGGCACAAGGCAGCGTGTCAGTCCGAAGTTACCAAGTAACCCACGAACTTAAAGGACGAATATAAATCGTAGATTAAATAGTTACAGTTAAATAGAGAGACAATGCTATGTACAGGCTTATTACGAAGGAGCTGTGGCCTGCGCAGCAGAATCGCTGGGGCGTTTCGGACGCGCGGGTGGTGGTAACTACTGTATCGCCGTGACAGAGCCATTATTACTCTTCTTTACTCTTCTCTACTCTTGTTTACTCTTGTTTACTCTGCTAGCTAGTTAGTGAGTTGTTATGCTCCAGTCTTCAGGTCATTTCCAGGACGGCGGTTTTTGGATAGATCCAATTTTGCCCTTGGGTTCCAGGCTAGACTAAATGACCTTCCGCGCGGCGAGAGTTCACTCACTGTCGATGGAGCAGAGAGAGCGGCACCCCGTCGGGGGGAAACTCCCATAAAGCCACGCTTCTTTAATTTAAGAGGAGCACCGACAGAATGGGGCGGCGTCTTCATGAGAGTAGCTGCTTGTGAGTTAATAATTAATCATACGGCCATTTCCCCGAATAAATAAATACTCCCATCGAATCAACTCCTTTTCCACTTCATCATTCCTCCGCATAAAGTTCCGGGGGTTCCGTTGGTTTTTTGATTCCGAGCATGACAGTTGATACTGCGGAACTAGTTAACTAACTAGTTAACTAGTTAATAGTTAGTTATTATTCATGTTAACTAGTCAACTAGTTAACTATCCTCGCGCGAACATCCATCCAGTTCGGATCTTCCGCTATTTCCTGCATTTCGACCAACCGAGTTCTGTTGCCTAGCTACTTATTATGTAGCAGCCGGTTGCACTGCGGTGACACAATCGCCTCCAAAGCAATCTTGATGGAAAAAAAAAAATAAAATAAAATAAAATAAAATAAAATAAAATAAAAGCCCTTTTGTTTGCAAGCACATGGCATGCCATGCTGCATGCAGGGGAATGAATGGCTGGCTTTTCCAAGTTTCTCGTGGCGCATTCCGGGCTGGGTATCCGCTCCTGGTTCCACAGCTCCCACCACGTGTGCATCCTGACATTTTTGAGCAGATCCTCCCCCCAATGATAAATACAGTTAGTTGCTCTGCTTAGGTTGCTGTGTTGTTGATTATTACATACAGCGCCTGATATGGGACGGGGAATACGGAATATTATCTTCACTTTTCAAGGTCCTGCTTTTCAATTGTCTCCCCTCTAACTACCGAGTAGCATCGCAAAATCACACATTACCATGGAAATGAATAAAAACATGCCCCATGGTCACCATGAGAGAATATGGGGGGAGCAAAACTTCGCGTCCATATCTCAGCAAAAATATTGTATCTAGGGCTCCTCTCTTGGCCGGAACTACGTTACTCAATTACTGATCGGGGCTTCAATCGGTGTATATCAGGGCTCGTATGAAGCTTAGACGCCCAACCTTCAAAATACAAAAGGACAACCTCCGCCTCTGCTTCCAAATGCCTTTGCAACAGAGTCGGGTACTGATGGCTATTCTCTAACCTGGGAAGCAGGAGGTAATAGAAGAGAATTGCGACATTAATTGTAATATTGTTTTCTTGAATATGTCCTCCTGTACGGATATAGCGCCGCGAAATACTTTGGATGAGGGGACAGAATGAAAGGGAGTGAAGCAGGAGGAAGAATCACTTCAATCCCGGGTTAAATGAAAAAGATACGGTGTAGAGGAAGCAGGATGAAAGAAGTGCAGCGTAGTGAGCATAATGACAGCATGTCAGATCTTTGTATCTCTCCCGCATTTCCGGTGTGATTGTTGCAGCATGAGCAACCTCGGGGCTTCGAGCCAGTGTGTTGCCAATCAACCTAGTCACTGAATTCCATTATCATAGCCTGTTTACTATCATAACTAAGTGGTGAAATGTAGAACCACTTTGATTTGATAGTAACCATATCGTCCTCTTGTGCGACCGAAAAGACAGACAGCAAAAAGTCAATGAACAAAAGCAGGATTTGTTCTGCGGGCATCAAAACCGGCCTGGGGGCTTTCTTCTTCCCTGCCATGATGACATATCTAGGGCTGAGCTGAGATCCGCGAGAAAGATAATTTGCTCGTACGGAGTGCACCAGTTAACTAACTATGGGCTTTCGAAGTTGATCACTAATTTCACCATCTCTTGGCGAGCAGCCCAGCGCGAGGGAACTTTTCTGGATAGGCTTGCTTGCTCTGCTAGGCCTGGTACGTACCGGAACTCAGACACAACACCGAACCCCGTGGGTAGTAGTTATAGTGCCCGTCCAGATCCATAGATCCAACCTCCTCATCGAAGCTAAAGAGGATGGGATATTTCGGCCGCCAATTTCCCATCTGACTGGCAGCAGATACGATTAGGATTAGGATTAGGCCCAGCTTCAAGAACCTCGACAGTGAAAACTTGAACAATTGACACATCCCCCCGGACCTTCAATATATCAAGAATCTTGCCACTTTGCAGGGGGAGTGCGGGATGCAACGTTCAACGCAGCGTGGAGCTGTGCGGCCTGTGCCTAAATATCTGGCATGATTCTTGCGGTTTACCCAGCTGTCAAACTTGCTGCGATCTAGTTAGGTGTTTGCGGTGTGTTGCACATGTTAATTGTAGCACTGGAATATGTTTTTACTCCGTTGAGCAAGTCGATTCACGTAACTAAGTACAAATAAGAACAATGCTAACATTAACAAGCAGCGAAGATATCTAAGTTTTTGGCGGATCTAATCTTATCAATCTCCAAGCGTGGACCAAGCCACCTTTCCCATTCCAAGCCAAGTCCATCTTCCCCACGACTGGACTTCTCCGACTCTTCAGAACTTCCTGCAAGCGACCAGTACCAAGTGCCCCAGTCCCCCAAGTCCACCGCGCCTTTGGGTTCCGCTGGAGATACCGTCTCACATGCCTGAAGTATTCTATATATATTGGACATGAACCGACCCTCCTCCTTCCTCCTCCTCCTCCTCCCCTAGCTACTATCTTCCTACCAACAGATCTGCGCGCCATCCAACTGTGCGCCCACGCCGCCGCAACCATGCCAAAACCAAAACAATTATTGAAGGGATCGAAGTCGAAACGGAAAGTGAAGAATGCTGTCAGTATATATTTCAATGGATTTTCCAATACTCTTCCTTCCATATGCGTAGTCTTTGATTTAAAGGCTACACGAATACTTTTGGCTCTCCCTTGTTTGACCTGATAACTGCTGTGCACGTGTTTCTTGACATATGCGTTCGACAATTTTCTGCACGCTGGTTCCCCGCAACCTCCGACTCCCTTTCCCCTAGTTCTACCCGTTCTCCTACCTCCCTTGCCTTACCCATCTCTCCTCCATATAATACAACACAAATAGACCCTCTCCATACTGCCAAATTCCCGCCATCCATTTCTCTCTATTCTCTCGCTAACCTTCTCCTCTCCCGACAATTACTAGGAGCCCGAAACAGCCGACGAATACCTTGCCGGTACGTTGCCATTCCCCCAGCAATACAAACCACACGAAAATAAATAAAAATAAATAAGTAAATAAATAAAGTTGAGCTGACAACAAACCAAAACCTTTGCAGGCGGTATCGAGCTAGAAGAAGCAGGTGAAAAATGGCGAGCCGGGGACGCTGTGAAATCCATGCGATTTTTCATGCGCGCTATCGAGATGTATGATACGGGGTTAAAAAGATTTCCGAATTCGTTTGATTTGGCGTATAATAAGTACGTACTCTTACACGACTACATCCACTTTCTTTTTCAGATTTAGTTGTTTATTACTGCTCTTGGACTACTTGACTCCCTTTGATTCCACGATTGAGAGGAAAAAAAAAAAATGCTAACCACTCACAATTTACCCCGTGGTTGCGTTACAAACACAATAGGGCACGAATACAATACGAAATAACCCAACATCCAAAGCTAGTCACCCAGCTCACCGCCCCCATCGTAGAAATCCTCCATATCGCCCTCAAATCCCACAGACACGCCCTGGCCCTCCAGCAAGACAACGCAGACATCCTCTTCAACACCGCGCAGGTCCTGACCAGCCTGGCCGAAGCGATCACGGAAGGCCGACGAGCTTCTGAGCAGGATACCCACGAAGCTTCAAGGTATCTCCAGGAGGCGTTGGATCTATTCCAGCGATGTCTGAGTGTGCAGGAGCTTCAGTTTACGGAGGGGCAGGAGAAGCAGGCGGACAGCATGGCGGAGTCCGGTGAGTTACAGGTGGGTGAACAGCAGGGTCATTTAGAAGCGGATCGTGAGGGTATGGAGGGAACGGCGCGGCCGGAGCAGTCGGAGCAGTGGGCTGCAATCATCGAACCTGTCACCAAGGACACGCTTGTCGATACCGCGGTTGCGCAGTTGGAAACACTGGCTACGTTTTGTGGGTTGCTTACATTCGATACCGGGAACACTCTTGCGTGGATCGAAGAGTATTCTGGGGATTTGCTGAGGGAGAAGATTGCAGCGTATGTCGAGGGGACGGATAGGCAGAGCGAGGTAGCGCTGGCGCGTGCCAAGTTCGTTTCAACACTGGCGGAGATGTCGTTCCGGAGCGGGAGGGTTGACTTCGGCACGTATAAGAACGAATTGAGCGGGGCGTTTGCAGATGTGAAGGACTTGTCGGAGAAACCAGCGGCCCTTTGCACCCAAGCGGATGCGTTGATAGCTTTCAATTCTGCGACGGCGGATTGTGAGCAGCCGGATAATAAGGAAGTGTTCGATAGATTATTAGCGCTACGATGGCAGGCGTTGTCGTCAGCGCTGGATTCTCTGACGGCAGCGACAAAGCTTTGTCAGGCTGAAAATCTACCCAAGATCCATCTTGCGAGGGGGGATGTGGAGATGTACCGATGGCGGCTGGGTGGGCAACCGTGGAACTACCAGGTGTCGCTCGAGAATTCCTTGACGCTCCTGAGGAATGCGCAGACTTACTATCGTGGGGCAGCTGGCCTGGCTCGGAGGGATGGCTCGATTGAACTGGATCGAGAGGGGACGGCGAAGGAAGCGTTGGCTTTTGCTCTTTCGGGAGACATGCAGAGGATGGAAGGGCTGGTAGCTAGCTCGAAGAAGGAATTGATGCAGATAGCGGAGGATATGGTTGAGGACGGACTGGTCTCGCAGGAGGACATGGATGGACTCTTCCGGAAAGTTGATCCGGATGAGATCGTGTTTTGATATATGCAAGCGAAGCCCACGGTATAATTCCAAGGTAGACACATTCCACATGTAAAATTATAAACATAATATCAATCATGGCTGGCGTTGAGCGGCCTTAACTTCATCTTCCATCTCCTGCGCCTCTTGACGAAGGCTGTGGTTCCTGTCAAAGGCCGCCATAGCATCCGCGGCGCCCTCCACGTCACTAATCACTGCTTCAAGGCCAGATAACAGCTGCTCAATCTCCCGTCTCTGCGCTCCAACTTTCTCCGAAAGCCTGATATTCTCGTTCTGAACGGATGCCAATTTCGCATTTAGAGACGATTGCACTTCTGCCAGATATGGCGCAAGGTGTGCTTGATAGAGAGCATTTGCTCCCAGTGTGTGAGGACTGTAGAGACAGATTGTCAGCAAATCCCACTTCCGTACCCTCCGTAGCCCACATACCACGCGTATCATATCCTATCACCGCTTCCCCCACCAACCCACCAAAAGCCAAAGCCGTGGGGGGGGGGGGGGGGGGGGGATTGATAATAAAAATAAAGGCGCAAACTCACGGCATACTCGCCTCTCCCTCCCCATTCTCCCTCCTCACCCTTGCCTCCCCAACCAATCGATCCAGTTCATTCAAACCCCTCACCACCTCCCTCTCCCTCAGCACATCCTCAAACTCCGCACGAGCACTCTCCTCCAGCTTGGCGTTCAGCTGCCGCCAGACGGACTCCAGGCTTTGCGGGACATGTTTGGCCGGGGTGGGGAAGCAGGCGGAGAAGTTTGCGTAGGAATTGGCGCGGATGGTACGCTGGAGGGCTTGGGAGAAGACTTGTTGGAGGCGTGAGGCGCGGGGGCCTGGGGTGAGAGGGATGGGCGCGGGAGGGGGTGGGGATGGGGAGGCTTGGTCTTGGGGGTCTTGGGGTCGTTGATGTTGATGTTGATGTTGCTGGTTAGCTGCTGGCGGTGGTGATGGCATTTTTTGGGGTGCCAGGGACTTGGGGTATTGTTGAATGGCTTCTTTGATTCCTTCTATGTTGTCGGAATCCTGACGTTGAGATTGGAAGACGCGCTGGGGCCAGATGGGCGGAGACACGAGGTCACGTGGTAAAAGTATCGAGGGGCATCCATCCCATTGTTTTTACGGTATACAATTGTGCAAGTGGATGAGTTCTTCATAATCTCAGGGCCTGGACACTACTTCCAGAGCAAATGGCCTCCTCCTGCATCTGGGTCCCAGGAATGGCGGCGAAGAGTTTCAAATTGATACTGGATTCTCAAAACGACATGGCGATCCCTTTTATTTTATCCATCCACCGTCCATGCAGGGCACTTAGGGTAGTTATTATCCCCCAGTTCTGTACAGCGCAGTGACTATTCCGTGCCTGGGGGATCGTAATAAGGCGGAACTGGAGGAATCTCAGCGGATAAATGGAATATCTCATTTCATGAACAACCACAGCAGCTCAAGAAATACCGCCTACTTAATGAAGCTAACTATGAAATAGGGATACGGATTAGGAATGTTAGAATTTCCAAGCCTACTTCTTTCATACATAACTGGAATGGCATTGATCATCCCACGCTTGTTAACTTATCTGAAGCTTCCTACAGAGGTCACTATCAAACAATTGAACCAGTTAAGGCACAACAGCACTTGCAAATGTCAACAGATCAGCTTAACTAAACCACTTTGAAAGTGTGCTATTCGAATTTGGATTTAGTGTGGATAACGGAAATCTTACTCGGCACATGATATGTCCCGAAACTATATTCTTACCTGGCAGACAGTTGCAGATGAACGGAATAAAACTTAACTTTTATCTCTCAAAATTCGGAAGGAATTGTCCGGCGGGGCAGTAGGTCAAAGTATACAATCATGTTTCAGGTTATTGCCGCCCTCTCCTCCATCTCTGTCAGAGCCTTTGCGGAATTCTCAGGGATTTATATAGTTACAAGATGAAGAATTCTGATGAGCCAGGCTCAATAATGGCAGGTTCAACCACAGGCACAACGACGGTCAGCGCTTCGCGGATTGGTTTCGTCCGTGCTCCAATAGTTTCTCCAGAATCTCCCGTACAGAACTAGCGGTAAAGTTCTGGCTCAGGAACCCCCTCGCTTCTTGCAGACGGATAATTTTGGATGTTCCCAGGGATTCTGGTAGGCATGAATTCTTCTCTCGGGCCAGGGATAACATTGTGGTGAAGCTCTTGATACATACGGCGTGTTTTCCTTGGCATATTCAGTAGAAGACACTCGTGTCTTAAATGCATGTCCATGCATTTTACCTAGGGCTGGCGGGGGATTGGTTATAGCTCAACTGGTTCAGTGAGCTACCTCGATATTCCACCCGGGGTTTAACGCGATTTCAAATTTTTGATGAATAAAGATAATTCTTCACGACACCGATGAACCCGGTTTAGGGTTATAGATGAGGGATCATCAGGGCAGGGTTATGTGACTTAGAGAGGCTAGAGCCGGAGAAATATGAACAAGAGTCGTTACCCCTGAAATGCATTGATTTATGTACTTTGAAAGGTGTGAATTTAGCCTAGAACCACCCCTTAAAGCTAATATGTCTGAAACCAATCCCTCATATCTCGCTCGAACAAACTTCCAGCAGTCCGAGGCAACCTGCGTCGTTCGAAGAAGAGACTTTTATGAAGGAACAAATCCGACCCATTCTGGCTGGCATACACGGGAAGGGAAAATCTGGCATCTTCCCCCGAGCCGTGCAATCTCTACTTGTTAGCAACGATCTTGATAATGATACCGCTAGGTTTGAGCCCCGCTTCGATGTATTCTTTCGTGGTGTAGGCTGGAGCGGTTGCATTGACTTGTACACCGTATGAACCGCCGTCCGTCCGGCATCTGAAAATGCCTGCCTGCTTCACCACGCCAGTGCCACCATCAATGGTGTTTGCAATCTCCTCAAAGAGAACAGACGAGTTGTACGTCATGTCAATCTTTTTGGCATATGCCGCCGCAGAATTGCGTGAGTAGAGGAACCATTCTCCACAGTCAGGTGCATCAGCTGTGGTCATGGTAAGTACTATATTGGTATATATATTATTAGCCTTTTGTTTCAACCATGCTCCCTCACACATACACCCCCCCCCCCACTGCAGATATCTCGATTGTTAGAAGGGGAGAGGTATTTCGGGCCCTTACGTCGACCTAACTTGGTCTGCCGACCGTAAGCGCGCAGAGAGGCCGCTATGTAGCTAACATCGGTTTCATTGACGTTCTGCGGAATGTCGGAGCCTCCTGAGTAACAATGCAGCGCTGGGGTCTCGTCGTAACAGACACGCCGGGCCTGGGGCTCAATGCCAACCACAACAGGGCTCGCGGCGGCGCGGGTAGCTAGGACAAGGGCCGTGAACTTGATGAAGGTCGACGAGAACAACATACTTGCAGGACTTTTGATAGGGTGTTTTTTGACAGTGATTTCTGCTGTGGAGGTCAAAGTGGATTTGAACTCCCCATGAGACATAATCACCAGCCATCTGCCAAGGTATTTATAGCAAATCCATAAGTTTCTCTCCCGTCCTGATGTTGTCGCAAACTTTATCCAGTGATCATGGCAAAGTGACCTTGAGAGCAATGTCACCCTCGGAAATTGCCAGTTCACTTATATGCAGGAGTAGGGATCCTGTTTCTTAAGTTCAACTTCCATGTCTGGTGACAGTGTATACAGGTAGAGACTCCCGGGGAGGACACCACGGGCTGGGTTGGACAAGTAAGTTATCTGGGATGTGAAAATCAGCAATTAGACAGCCAGAACGGCCAGGTTTGCTTGATGTAATGTCCCTGGAAATCAAGGGGGATTGCCATAATAAGTCTCCAGGGATCTTTGGCCTTTGGCTGACCAAAGCTTAAATATATGGAGAATTGAGAGCCGCTCTGAGGACTCTGATCAGAATCATAAGAAATTCTCTCATCCTTCTGATTCTTATCGGCTTAAAGTAAAAATCTCTGATATACGCATGGACGTGAGGAGAGATTAAGACGAGGTTGATCCCTCTCGACTATTATCATCGAGCGATGACCCCTGTGGAGAATCCGCGGAGAGGCGTCGTCTACGGCCAGGGGCAAAGGGCGGACTCGGCAGCGGCAAGCGGGACAAAGTCAAGAGGTGGTTGACGGCTGACTACGGGCCGGAGAGATCCCACTGTGACATACGGAGTATAGTTATCATACCTTCGTCCTGAAATTTACGGCTTTTCTTCGTCCAAATTCATTCCTATTTGACTTGCTTGGTTGGTTTTCCGGTTTGTTTCAGTTAACTAACTACGGATTTATTTCCAAGACTTGGATCCCTGGTTGATAGTTAGTTATTTTACGAATATCACGTGATATTGTGATCGTGGGGTTCAAGTCGAACCTCTTTGCAACTTGGGGATCTTGAGATATCCTTTCTTCCTCCCACCCCAACTTGATAATAATAGACCGTAATAGGCGTTCGGAGTAATCACAAGTTCATGATTAACTTCTCAAGGATCTGGCAGTTTTCATGCTGCTGCCTTGCAACGGTAGCACCGCCACTAGGTACTACTACTCCTCGTCTTTTCCCGCTCATTGAGAACTTCTCGTGGGCGGATTGTGGACCATCGAATTGATAGAGGAACAGAGTTTCTCCTTGTATCAAGTTCAAGCCCTGGAAATGTTTTCGTTTCTCTGGTGCTTGTGCATGGATTCGTGCAATCCAGACAACGCGCTTACCAAACAACCAAGACCACCCCTTTCTATTCGGGGTGGCCCCTGAGTTTTACAGAAGGGTTCATCACAGGTGTCCCCTCTGCACCCCCAGTTTAATCTCACAGGATCTCATGGCTCAAGCATGGTTTCAATGCAAAATTAATCCATACCTTGTCCAGGAATGATGTCTTCGTGGGCAACTTTGGATCCTTGCTTCATCACTGCATGCAGATGGGAGATATCTTTGGTCAGATTTAATAGTTGGGGAAAAAACGATTCCCCTCTATATCCGACAGAGAGGGGCTTTGGCCTGAAGGAGGTGGATTTTCTAGATAAACAATGTTCTCCTGCCTCTCAAATGGCGAGTAGAGGTGGTTTTGCTGGGCAAACATAGCCGTGATACGACCGGAGAATATGTATTCGTTGGGAGTATTGCTTGGGCTTCTGTCCTTTGCAGTGGGACAGGGTGACTTGTTGTATGACCCCGCGAAGTACCCTGACCTTCCCAAGTATGGACCGCAGGTAAAGACAAAATACTCTACTACTTACTATTGAGCGAGTTCAAAGTTGACTTTGAAATGATAGACCAATCCCCCCTATATGGTGGATAACCAACATAATTACTTCAAAGTTGCCCCAGATAAAGGTAGGTGCCGAATCTTAGATGGGAGTCCTGCCAAGAGAAAGCTTTAACAACACATTGGCTTATCCGGCGTTAGGAGAACAAAATGGCCCCGTTTGGCTGAAGTCAGGCAGTCTCAAGAATTATATGGCACATCTTGCGGACCCAGCAGGATACAGTCACACCCTGACTGGAGACTCCGGAAAGTTCATGGAAGTATCTGGAGATAATTTCAACGTTACTGCTGCGGTTAGCAATTACTGGTTGCCACAACTTGCACCGCTGGGAAAGGTAGGCCAAGTTGCCTTCTGACTCGTTGAGATTTTGTGGAAGTTAATGTAGCTGTATAGCAACCTCTTGCGGGAACAAACTACAAGTTCTACAGGGATGTTGTCAAATATGGAGCCGATAATACCGGCAAAAAGGATGCCACAGAGGCAATTAATGCGGCCATTGCAGATGGTAACCGGTGTGGGTTGGAATGTGGAAACACATTTCTGCTAGGGGCCATTATCTATTTTCCCGTGAGTGGGTTTTCCTAATGTCATCTAGGTTGACTTTTCAACTGATTTAACCTATTTTTTTTTTATATAGCCTGGGACATACAAGATTTGTAGACCTGTTGTTCAGCTCTATTATACCCAGTTCATCGGCGATGCCCTTGATCCGCCGACAATCAAAGGGTGTGATACATTTCAAGGCATTGCTCTTTTTGATACAGATCCCTATATCCCTGGTGGTAATGGCCAAAATTGGTACATCAACCAAAACCAATTTTTCCGTCAAATTCGGAACTTTATCTTTGACTTGACTGAGATGCCCCTGCAGACAAATGACCATGATCAACCACTTGTACCAACTGGTATCCATTGGCAGGTGTCTCAAGCTTGCTCATTGCAGAATCTGGTCTTCAACATGCCAAAAGCCACTGATAAGAACAAGGCCACCCATGTCGGCATTTTTATGGAGAACGGTAGCGGTGGATTCGTGTCAGATTTGGTGTTTAACGGGGGCAACATTGGTTGGCGTGCTTGTAAGAGCAATACTGCAGGCTACTACTCTATGAGCGCTTATTGAGAGGGTCCTGATCCACAAAATACACAGGTTCTCAACAATACACAGCCATGAATATTAAATTTAATGGCTGTCTCACTGCAGTTCAGATGATTTGGGACTGGGGTTTCAATTGGCAACGTATTCAAGTCGATGGTGGAGCCATTGCCTTTAACATTAGTGGCAGGGGCGGTAGCACTGGCCAAGGGGTAGGATCTGTTTCCATCATTGGTATGTTGGTAAATCACAACACAAAAGGATCTTGAACTGAGCTGATGCACACAGATTCCAAAATATCCAACTGCGCCATTGCTATCTTGACCAACTCTCGAAAAGATACCAAAAGTAGTCCACCCAACATTGTCATTGACAACCTGGAGATGAGTAATGTTGGAACGACTGTTAAAAGTGAGACTGGTGAGGTAATCCTCGCAGGGACTAACAAAGTTGACCTCTGGGCCATTGGACGTCGTTATAACGGCTACAAGGGAACATATACCTCAGGCAAAGTTGACGCACCTCGCAAGGGGTCGCGTTTGCTTGACAAGGATGGCAAGCTCTTCTATCGACGTCGCCCTCAGTATGAGGAATTTGGGATAGGCCAGTTTCTAATTGCCACAGAACATGGCTGCAAGAATGATGGCACTGGGGATAACACACAGGCTATTAATAGCTTTCTTCAAGCAGCCAAGGACGCCGGCCAGATTGCGTATTTCCCAGCGGGTATCTACCGGGTAGGCAGCACTGTACTCATACCAACTGGCTCTAGAGTGGTAGGCGGGAGCTGGTCCCAAATACAAGGAGCCGGCTTCTATTTCAACGATTTGCATAACCCTCGCGTGGTAGTACAGGTGGGAAAGAAAGGCGATGTGGGCACCATGGAAATAGTCGATATGATGTTCACCGTGCAGGGAGCCACAGCGGGAGCCATCGTGCTTGAATGGAATGTGTACGAGAGCAGCCAAGGGTCCGGTTAGTCAACACTACAACCACGTGTTGGATGTTGTCATCCATGCAGATTCACATGAACGCTAACTAACTTGAAAACCTCGGGGGAACAGCGGCTATGTGGGACTCGCACGTTCGAATTGGGGGAGCTACGGGTAGTGATCTAGATTTCAAGACTTGCCCAAAGTTTGGCTACGAAGACAGCTGTATTTGTGCTTCGCTGCTGTTTCATGTCACCCCCCAGGCCTCGGGTTATTTTGAGAATGTCTGGATATGGCTGGCAGATCAGTGGGTTAACTTTACCGATCCTTCGTCTTCTCCCTACATTATGTCATACAGCGTACTGATTCTTGTGAGCAGTGATAATGATATGAATGTCTACAACACCCCGGATAAAATATCAAATCAAATCAGCTTATACGCAGCCCGTGGTACATTGATCGAGTCTAAGGGACCATCCTGGTTCTACGGCACCGGCTCAGAGCACACTGTCTTGTATCAGTATCAACTATACGGTGCAAAAGATGTGAGCAGCTTTCTGAGTATATTTCTACAGTCAGCCACTATTTACTAATTGTGTTTTACAGGTGTATCTTGGTCACATTCAAACAGAGACCCCATATTTCCAACCCGTCCCACTGGCACCTTTACCATTTCACACTGGCAAGGAGTTCCCTGGTGATCCGTCCTTTGAGAAGTGCAAGACTATTGGCTGTCAAGAAGCTTGGGGTTTGCGTATCATAAACTCTGAGGGTATAACTCTCCACAGCTCAGGTTTATATAGCTTCTTTGAGGAGTACTACCAAGACTGCGTCCCGAAACACAATTGCCAAGAGGGTCTTCTTGAAGTCAGAGGAAGCAAGGATGTTGTTCTTTTCAATATTTTCACAGTGGGTGTCCAGAAGATTGGAACTGGCATTAAGTAAGAAACCCTTTTCTTGAGTCCACAGAGAGAGACACGAAGTGGCTAATCCTTCATCCGTTAGCAATGGGGCCGTCTTTCAAAATGACTCAAACCAAAGGTTTGTCTGTTCTTTCTAATCTCTTGCTCTTAAACCGGAGTTGCCGCTGATAAAATTTCCAATATCAGTGGATTTACTACAGAAGTTAGCGTATGGCTTCCGTTGCCTGGGGATGACAATTTCGACGTTGTTTATGTCGGGACTGAAGTATACAACAAGCCCTCAGTCACATGCCCTGCCAACTGTATTCTTGTTTTCCCAACAAGTTCGCTTGCATCAAAAACGACCATAGATCCAGGTAAGTATACAACTTCTCTCGAGTATGGCCGTAGTGGCACCACCACTATCGGCGGACAGCCAATTCCAACATTCTTCACAACAACTACGACGGTGACGCTGGATATAAACCCGATCACCACTGATGGCATACCCTACTCAAATATCAATATAACTGAAGGACAGGCAAAGTCCACACTTACTGTATTGCCCAGCGTTGATATCCCGCCAATTCCCGTGCCTTTGCCAGACGGAGAAGGAAAGACTACAACTCGAAATGTAACTGTTCCGCCCTGGCCCGACATTACTAGAGGGCCCCCTGGCCATACTGCTACACGGACAGACGATGATACTAGACCAGGAGTTTATCACACTCCTTATGTGACCACTATATCTGCTGCCCGCGCAATAGTGACAACTATTTCATTCCCATCAACAGTTAGTCCAATTGTAGTCACATGCCCCCCTAACACAGAGGTTCCTTTCAATACTCCAAAGACTATAGCCACTGTCTTCTGTCCGACTCCCACCACAATCTCTGTTGCCTTCACTTGCCCTGCAACAAAAGTCGTCACTTTTCTTGGCTCGTCTGCTGGAGTTTTTACAGTTGACTGCATTCTCTCCACAACTTTCAGTAAGGAGCCGCCAATCACAACCCCGGTGCCCACGGGAGACCCGGTAGGTATTCAAAAACTTCCAAACTTAAAATATAGGTAGCCGAGAGCTAACCGTTGACCCGCAACTCTAGACGACTACCCGGCCATTGCCAGTATGGTCAACGTGGCCCCCCAGGGCGGTTATCCCGATTGAGGAGGAAGTTGACGACCCAGAGCCAGGCAAAACGCCTTGCAACCTTTGGTTTTTCTCCGTAATGCTTTCCCCCAGAATACTGAGCATCCTATCTCTTTGATAAGCCCTTACTAACCAGGTCCAGATATGTCTCAACAAAGGTACATTCAAGGGGTTGGAGTGGATTCTGCCACCAGGAGTATATCCACCGTAAGCAGTACATTCAAGTCAAATCCCCGGTGCAAGTGGATATGCTGCTGATCTGTTTTTTCGAGTGTAGGGGCCCACCGCCTGCCCGCCTTATTGATCTGCCTCCAACATGGTCGATCAAACCTCCTCTCCCGCCTTGGCCCCAAATCACGTAAGATCTTTGACCTGAGCTTTCCCAACCCTTGCCAATCACGGGGATACAAGATGAACTAACCTGAATTAAGCGTTGGCCATGATAATATTGTAACATACCCCAAACAGGAACCTTCTAAGTGCGAGAAAAAATCAGCATCAATCTGTGGAACAACTGTGTTCAAGACAATAACAACTACCGGAACAATCACCTCAACAATTTCATCCACCTTGTCCATGTGTGACACAATATATGGTTGTTCAGTGTCAGGTGGGGCGGCAACAACAACTACGACAAAAACTCCTGACAACTGCCCATTGCCAACCACCAGACCGAAGGCTCTTCAAACAGGCAACGCTGATTCTGGCGGGTCAAAACCTGAGTCTGGACTAGTTTCTGCTGCTGGTCCACCACCTCCCGGCTGCCCAGCAGACGCTGTTGTATATCCATCCAATCCGAAAAATGTTGGGAAGATTCCTGACATTCTCGCTGCCTACAAAGGGAAGTATGTGGAAGTTAAGTCCGAGTCATTCCAGTTCACGTCATTCTTCTGGGTTCCCTTCTTAGATCAGAAGACCATGGACATCTTGAAAGAATCTGTATGTGCTGATCTACCGCAAGAGCTACGGTTCAAGAGGGCAATCGCTGATCTCTTATACAGCCTGACGTCGAATTCGCTTATTACTACCAACAATGGAATGCCAACGTTGGTCCGGAAGAGCCTCGCCCTCGCACCCCTACGTTCGCCAATTCCCAAACACAGGGCGTTGGCAGCCGGTCAAATGTCAGCAATGTGGTTTCGGATCATGACCATGGTAATGCGACGTTAAACCGATTCAACAAGCGACTTCCGATTAAGAAATCAAGTCCTTTTACATGGGATCTTTCCCAAATCTCTATACCTAAGGGCTGGTATTGGAATACTCTTTCTAGTGGGTCAGTAGATCCACAAACCAAAAACTGGGCATACCGTTATGATTCTGTAAACGGGGAAGGTCAAACAGTATATTTGCTTAAGGAAGATGGCTTCTGGCCAAACCATTTGGTGAGTAGCTGAGTTTAACTTCTCCTATTCCGTGAAATCTTGGCACTGCTAGGCACCGCACCAACCCGACTGAGCATGATTCAAGCCCAAATGATGATAAATAACAATAATACTAATGTCAAAACTTAATGTACAGGAATTTAGTAACATGGCAGGATCCATCGAGACATTGCCTATTACGATCCCAATTGGAAATATCCCGGTGGGTAACTCGGACAATATAGCTCATGGGTCTGCGGTCGCCGCCAAGGCGGCTGGATCCCAGTTAGGTGCATGCACAAAATGCAGGATTGTCCTTGTTCCTATCAGTGGTGTTGAACGTATACCTAGAGGCATTTGGTATGAACGGTTAATTGAACGGATCCTGCAGCGATTGATAGACGTTCTGGAGGATATTCAGAGAAACAATCTCCAGGGCAAGGCAGTTATTAACATGAGCGTTTCTTTCATTGGGCCCCTTCTGAACGCTACATTCCTTCGCTCACTTTGTAAGTTGCAAAGATCTCCTCTCCTTATGGATCCCACTCACTTTTTTTGTGGCCAATTCACCAGGGTCCCTTTCCTATCTCCTGGTCGTTAACGAAGACTGGACTCTATCTCTTTCATACTTGTTAAATAGAAACTAAAAATACGCCTACTTTGCAGTTACACACCTTCAGTTATTAGAAGACCAAGTACAGGCTGTTCTAGTTGTCACATCTGGCAATAAGTCCCCCGAGTTCCCGATGATCAATGATTACCCCGCCCTGTTTGGGAACCCTACAAATAGACTGGGTTACCTTCCAAACCTCATTGTCGTTGGGGCAACAAATCATCAAGCCTGCCAGGCGAAGTTTAGCCAATTTTCGGACTGGATGACGACTTTTGCTCCAGGTCAGAATATGTGGGTTCCCAATGATCCGGCTATCCCGAGTCCCATATTTTTTGCAATTTCTTCTGGAACCTCTTTGGGTGAGTTTGCCAGTCCTGTGTGGTGCCTTCGGGGTATTGGGATTGGAAAATAGTGGAAAAGTTTGCGTATTCCAATGGCACAAGACGTCAAAGGCAGTTAGCTTACTATATTTCTTTTAAAAAAATTGTCTAGCCGCCCCTCTGGTATCCGGTATGATAGCTTACTGGAGATCGCTACAGTCTCCCTGGAGAGATCAATTAGCTCTTCCCCAAAATGTGAAGAAGATGGTCAAGATCTTCCACCGACGCATTCCCATTCACAACCAGCAGATTGATCCTCTGTTGCGGAAACCTATCATCTGGAATGGGCAGGTAATAGATCATTCGTGTCTAGGAGACTATGACACTATTTCCCAATGGGACATCACCCATGCATGCCCAAAAATCAACCGAGATCTCTCACAGGAAACGAATGAGGGTGAAACTATACAGCCTTGTGGTCCCGGCACCTTTGGCACCCTGGCTGATGGTACCTACTGTCCACATCTTCCAGATGACGGCACGGGCGGTCATAAAGTTACCTTCACCACCGGAGCAACGCCGGCCCCTACCTGCCCATCAAGAACTGGCTGCGGTGGCCACCTATGCACAGGATTCTACTGTTCGCCTAACCCGACAGGAATTCCCCCTGACCACCGGGACCCGAAAGATCCGAACGCGAGCAAGCCAGTTCCGACTAGGACCATCGGTGCGCCACCGGGACCGACAAATAAGCCGACCATCACCAAAACTTCCGGTCCGGAGCCCACCTGCGACGACAGGTGCAAGTTGGACGCGGGAAACCGGTGCAAGTGCAGCGAGAATGGATGTGACAGTGAATCGCCCAGCTGCTGCGCCAATGCCAGCTGCCCAATGTGTGAGTGTGGGGAGAACGGCTGTTCGCCCAAATCACCCTCCTGCTGCGCCAGCGGGACTTGCGAGTGGTCCTGGACAGGAGGCGGCGGAGGTGACGGGTCTGGCAAGCCTCCAAACCGGAATCCCAAGGCCGGCACTGTCCTCATGGTTTTCATGGAGAGTCTTTCTCAAGGTCCCGGTGGGGAGGTATGGACTCGCCAGTGGAATATTTTTGGTGCAGCAGGTGATGCAAGCGTTGACATGTGCTGGGACACGCCTCTTCTTGTTGCTGACTCTAATAAAGACGCCACGGGAAACAAACCGGGCTTACCTCCTAAGCTTCCGATGATCAGAACGCAAGGGGAAAAGTGCAGTTACACCGGCACCGAGACTACGCTTGGCGAGTTTAGATGTGAGCGGGGCCTTTCGGAGAGCAAGTGCCAGGTCTTGGATCCATTCCCGCTTGAACGCTGCCCGCCGCTTGCGAACCCGGTTATGCGTGCGGTTGTGCATTGCAGGTGGAAAACATGATTTGGGTGTCATGTTGCGCAGATAGGGGATTGGGAGGCGCAGGGTTTTTGGGTAGTATTTATAGATTCTTTAAGAATCTTCTTTTCTTCTTTTTTTCTTCTTTTCTCCTTTTGGAACTTGATGAGGTTCGTTTTGAAACAACGGATCGACCGTTCTTTCTTCAATATTGAAATATCTTCTATAACTATATACTTCTTCGTGTCTTGAATAAATCTAGTATGGCATGAATTAACACTTTTTTGTCCCCTGACACTGGAAGGTTGGGTCATTTCTTCAGCTGTGAACAATCACTATTTTCTAAACAGCCTTTCTCTTGCTCACCAGCAATCAGAGTATGAAGCTTATAACCACCGTCGCAAGCTTTGATTTAGCTCTAAATTAAAATGAGAATAGTGTGAGCTTTCATTTCCGAATTTCAGGCCTGGGTCCTCTAGAACTTCAGGTGAGGAAGCCCTAAATCTTAACTAAAAGCCTTAAGTGGTCTGACACCTAAGATTTAGTTACGATGAATACTTCACACGTATAGTTGGATTGTCTCTCCTACATGGTACTTCGGTTTAAAAACCAGAAGGGAGGAAAAGAGAAAGAAAAGCCACCCATTTGCATAAAATACACAGGGTGTTAAGAGCGAAAATAACAAAATTCCAGAACCCATCCCGTAGCTTATATTAATGCATATTACAAAGAAGTGCACAACAATAAACAAAAGCGGATACTAAATGAAAACCCGGCCCAAGAATGAAAAACGCCTTTCTGCTCGGTCAGTCATCAGCCCCATTTAGTAAAAGGCAAGGAAGAAATCAAATCTAAGATGGAAAAAGAAAGAAAACTCAATCTCTCAATATCCGCCCTGCGACATAATCCCCGGCGCCCCATAACCAGCCGCCATATGCTGCTGCTGCTGTTGTTGATGCTGTTGATGCTGCTGCTGTTGTTGTTGATGATGCTGTTGATGCTGTTGATGCTGTTGATGCTGTTGATGCTGTTGATGCTGTTGATGCTGTTGATGCTGTTGATGCTGTTGATGCTGTTGATGTTGTTGTTGATGCTGCTGCTGCACCGCCTGCTGCGCCTGCAACTGATTCAGATCCTGAAACCACCTATGCCGCAACGCATCAGCAGCACTTATCCGCATCTCCGGCCTTAGCTGCAACATGCGACTCAACAAGTCCAATCCCAGCTGGTCAATCTGCGGCAAAATCAACCGCAGATCCTGCGTCGCATACACCTGGAAATTCGGTTTATACTCCGGGAAATTGGAGATGCCAGGCCAGGAGCGTTCGGAGGGAGTCCCCATTAGCCTGAAGATCTTCTGCAGTTGATCTTCATTTGTCGTGCCGGGGAAGAGCGGACGGCCGGTATACATCTCCGCCATGATGCAGCCAGCGGACCAGATGTCAATGCTTGTGTTGTATGTCCTGCTGCCCAGCAGGACGTCGGGGGCCCGGTACCAGAGGGTGACGACTTCGTTTGAGAAAGTGTTGACGGGTATCCCGAATGCGCGGGCGAGGCCAAAGTCGCCCAGTTTCAGCTGGCCCTTTGTATTGATGAGAAGATTCTGAGGTTTCAGGTCGCGATGCAGGACTCTATTTTCGTGGCAGAAGGCGATGCCACGGAGGAGCTGGTGCATGAAAGATTTGATGGTGACGTAGTCGAGCTGGCCGCGGTCGCCACGGGAGTCCATGTAGCGTTTCAGGTCCTTGTCCATGTACTCGAAGACAAGCATGAGTTTGTTTTCGGTGTGGATGACGTCGTGGAGGGCGACGATGTTTTCGTGCTTGAGTTCTTTCATTAGGGAGATTTCGCGGATGGCGGTTGAGGGGGTGCCTTCTTCGGAGTCGAGGTGGATTTCCTTTAGGGCGACCATCTCGCCTGTTTGGCGGTTGCGGCCTTTGAAGACCTAGTTATGTAAATTAATATAGGTGAAGAGAGGTGAGATAAAGTGCGGGAGGATAAGGGGGGGGGGTAAGCGCATCAGATCGCAATCAATCACGTACAGTAGCATACGTTCCCTCACCGAGCTGAATGGGAAAGAAAAAAAAATGGTTAGCAATAGGTAATTACAGTGGAATGTGAAACTATGATACCGCACCTTTTCAAGCTGCTGAAAGGAACTGGGAGGCTGTCGTTTTTCCATTGCGCCTGGTGTCGCTCGGGCTCTTGACGGACGGAAGCCGGGGTGTTGAGAGTAGCAGTGGGAGGCGGCGTTTGCGAGAAAGGTGCTTGGAGCAGCGATGGAGGAGGCGACGTCTAAATAAGAGGAGGTCGGCACAGTAGGAGCAGCAGCCGGATGAGGATGAGCAAAGGGCTGCTGCTGAAGTTGTTGGGGCTGTTGATGCTGGTGCTGCTGTTCGTGCTGGTATTGGTCTTCAATGGCTGTAGAGCTGGGATCGTCCATAGCAAGACCCGGGCTGTAATTTGCTTATTTCAGGTGAACACCTGGAGGCGAAGAGGCATCCCTCTAGATATGAAACAAACTCTCGCCAATTATGAACCGTGACAGGGGCCCAAGTAAGACCGTTGAGTCGTCGTCGCCAGAGCCCTCTGTAGACGGGTCCTGGGTGTGGTTTTTAACGTTACGTTTCTTGGGGACGGGTGGAAATGAAGGGACAGCGATTTGATGGAGCTTGGATTCGGAGGTTTGTGAGACCCTACAGCGTGAGGGATGGGCGCTTAGATTGGGCAGAGGGTGAGTTATTTAGCAACTGGAGATGCGCCAGGGAATGAAGCAGAGCAGAACAAGGGCGTGTGTCGGTTGGTTGGTTGGTTAGTAAACCAAGCCAACCAAAGAGCTAAAAGTTACCTCTTGGTTCGCTGTGGATTGCCGCTCATCCGATGGCTCTAGAGACACTTGCTATAAATACAAAATCTGGATGTTGTATGAAACAATATATTCGCCATGATGTACAGCGCCTTCAATCTAACCAAGTAAAATATATCCCGTAAGTTGTATGCAGAGCTGTAACTATCTGTAGCTGTAGCCAACTAGATCTGGATCTGAGATCTGCCCATCAAAACGAATCGTTTCCCAGACCCATGGAATAACTAACCATCATCAGCCCTGAGACACCCCCTCGAGCAGCGCAGCAACCTCTGGCAACACATCCTCGACCCTCTCACTACACCTCACCCTCACCACCCCCTCACCAAACTCTCCAAACAGCCTCTCCTCCCCCCTCACCCCGCCCACATTCAGAATCCCCACGGCCATCCCCTTCCTCACAGCCCGCTCCACAAGCCTCCACGCCGAAAACGTCGCCAGACTGCTTCCCAGCACAAGCAGCTTCCCAGCCCCATCCACGGCCTCCTCAGCCCGCTGCTTGACAGCGCCATCCACCGACTCTCCGAACATGATCACTGCTGGCTTCAGGATGCCCGCGTTGGAGCGGGCGGAGATGGCCCCGTCGCGCTCTGCTTCGACGATACCGACGCTGCCGTCTCTGAGTCGGGGCGGGCTCTCGAGGCAGTGCGGGCAGGGCGGGTAGCGGAATCGAGAGCAGGGTGCGTTGGGGAGATCAACATCGCCGTCCGGATTGATCTGTAATTTCTTCTCTCCACTGCCTCCCTGAAGACTCTTCGTTCCCGTCCCCGTCCCCGTCCCCGTCCCTAACCCACGAGTAGCCCCGCTAAAGCCAACCCTAATCCGCATCTCCTCCAGCCGTTCCGCCCATGCTGGATTCAACCTCCCCAACTCCCCCTGGAACCAACTCCTCCCCATCCTCCCCGAACAGCTAACGCAGACAACCTCTCTCAAACACCCGTGCAGCTCGACGACAGGCACCACATCCATCCCCGCAACCCCATCGTGCAACGAATCCACATTCTGCGTCACCACAGCGCCCACGTACCCCTTTTTCGCCAGCTCGCCGATGGCGATATGCGTTTTATTGGGTCGTGCGCGAGACAGGGTGGGCCAGCCGACGAAGCTGCGGGCCCAGTAGCGTTTGCGGGAGGCATGCTGGGTGAGGAATTCGTGGTGGTAGATTGGTTTGTAGGCGGTGTTGAGGCGGTAGGTGCCGTTTGGGCCACGGTAGTCGGAGAGGCCGGAGGGGACGGAGATGCCGGCGCCGGTTAGGAGGGTTGTTTGGGTGCGGTTGGTGCTGCTGATAATGTTCTGGGAGATATTGACATTGGGGGAAGACAGGAAGGATGCTACGGCGGTGATTGCGGCGGGGATGGAGGTGGCGGATGGCGGGTGGATGATGGGAGGGGGGAGGGGCCCTGGGAAGGGAATCCGGAGTAGGGGCTTCGTCATGGGGGGGGCATGGTGTGGCTGTAGCCGATGTAGATATTCTCCGTAGTCGGTGTAGCAGTAGTGGGCGAGAGCAGGATAGAAGGGGGGTTCTTTGCAGCAGTCGTGGTGGTTTTACGTCGTTGTCGTATTCAACTGCTGAAGAGCGTTGGGGGTATAACTAGTTCTGCTGCTTCAACGGTAGTTAGTTATAGAGAGACGACCACTAACGTTGCTGGCACAAATCTCGTCTCGCCCTTTCTGCAGTGTGGCTTCTCCGCATCTTGAACATGAAATATGGACAAATATGTTATTAACGGTCGAGGGCGCAGAGCAGTGAGTTATTTGTACGAGCGTGGTTCGACTCGAGGATCTCAGCATCCGAGCAGAGTTGGAGTTAATATGGCAAATAACGAACGAAAACTGCCTATAAAAAACTTGGTAAGAAGCAGATAAATAACTTTGCGCCGTCTCCCCTCGCATCCCGTCTCATCCCTCCCCGCCTCCTGCACAGTCCCATAGAGCGTATAGAACAAAGAATTACCCAATAGACAGGATCAGAGCCGTCTTCTTCTCCAGAAATAATTGGCGTTGCCATGCTCCTCCTGCAGCCACCAGGCTGCCCCCGCGGACTCTCACTGGCCCGTCGCAGCCGCCGGTGCTTGTGCTTCGTCCCGTTTCCTCCTGCGATTCCTGCCCCTCAAGCCCCGTCCTGCTCGCGACAATTCGCCAGCTCTGGCAAAAGGCAACGTGTCTTCCGTTCCTCTTCTTCTTTGTACTCGCATTCCCTCTCCATCCCCGTCTGCGTCTTGCCCTCCGCGTCCTTTCTCCCCGGACAACTTCCGTCCTATGCTCCCCGTCACCAGTACCACCAGTACTACCAACACCACCACTACCACCACCACCACCACCACCACCACTACTCCCCTATCCACACCCCTTCCACAGATACATCAACATCCCGACATCCCCATCCCCTCCCTCGTCCCCATCTCCCTCCCCTGCCCCTTATCACCCTCATGACAACCCCCAAAGCCCGATCCCACGGCCACCAGAGCCATGGCCACTCCCACTCCCATTGTCATCACGACACCACCTACCTCCTCTCCACAAACAAATCCGACGCAGCAGTCCGTATAACCCGCATCGGCCTCCTCTCCAACCTCCTCATGGCCCTCTCAAAGGGCGTAGGCGGCTATTTCTTCAACTCTACCGCCCTCATCGCGGACGCCTACCACTCCCTCACAGACCTGCTCTCCGACTTCATGACCCTCGGCACCGTCTCGCTGTCGCTGAGGCCTCCCAGCTCCCGCTTCCCCCTCGGCTATGGGAAGGTGGAGAGTCTGGGCGCGCTGGGCGTTAGTGGCCTGCTGCTCTGTGGCGGGTTCTTGATGGGGTTGAATGCGGTGGAGGTGCTGGCTACGCAGTTTTTTCCGGCCGGGGCGGAATGGGCCGGGGAGTGGGGGTTGTTGGGGCACGGGCATGGGCATGGGCATGGGCATGGGCATGGTGATCATGGAGGGCATGGCCATGGCCCTGGAGTGTTGGGCCCGAATATTAATGCGGCGTGGCTGGCTGCCGGGTCCATTCTGGTGAAGGAGTCGTTATACCAAGCAAGTGAGTATATCTATGAACCAAGGCCACACCCTCCTTCCAACCATTTTGCTTTTCTTCTTATCATTATTCATTATTATCTTATTTTCTACACTCTGATTGATATTACCAGCTGACTAACAACAAATCAACAGCAATGAAAATCGCTCTTCAACGCAAATCCTCCGTCCTCGCCTCAAACGCCATCCACCATCGCGTAGACTCGTTAACAAGCTCCGTCGCCCTCCTCACCATCGGGGGCGCCCACGTCCTCCCCGACGCCTCCTGGCTCGACCCCGTCGGCGGCCTCGTCATCTCCCTCATGATCATCAAGGCTGGCTGGGGCAATACAAAGACCTCGCTTCTTGAGCTTGTGGATGTCAGTGTCGATGCGGAGATGAGGGAGTCTGTGGAGAGTTGTGCGAGGAAGGCTGTTCAGGAGTTGGGGTTGGCAAGGAGAGGAGAGGGAGAGGGAGATGAGGGAGAGGTGCAGATTCGTGATGTGCGCGGTATCAAGTCTGGGCAGAATTATGTGATGGAGGTTGATGTTGTGGTTCCTGGGGCGTGGAGTGTCAGCCGGACACGGGCTGTGGAGGACGCGATTCGGGAGAGGCTTGGGAAGCGGGTTAGAGGCGTGAAGAGGGTTAAGGTGCGGTTTTTGGCCAAGGAAGATGCGGATGCGAATGCGGTTGCGGACGAGTTTATTACTCGTGATGTTAGTCCGAGGAGCAGCCAGGAGCCGGAGTCGGAGTCGGAAGAGGATGAGGAACATACGGATCGGAATGGGGTGGTTGTTCGTTCGGGGGCAAAGGGGCGGGGTGAAGGGTTTGTGAATAAACGGCACTAGGGAGGAGGTTGATTGATCAATTGTGTTTGTTAAAAACATATCGGGTTTTGTTTCTATCTGGATGACTGTTTCTTGTTTTTTTTTTTTTTTTTCTTTCTTTCTTTCTTTCTTTCTCTCTTCTTCTTCACTTTTTCTCTTCCATTCTTTCTCTTTCTTTTTTTCTTTTTTGGTGCTGGAAAAACTCGACGGAGCAAGGCTATAGCTGTCGCCTTTACCTGTGCCATCTCTGTCTGTCTGTCCCAATTGCGATTTGTCCCCGCTGGGCTGGTTCCGGTGGGAGCCACCCAACAGCTGGAGAAAGCCTAGAGATAGAGACTTGCGCGTCTTTTTTGAAACGAGGAAGAAGAGCAGAAGATAAGGTAAGAGGAAATTGACCTCAGGTGTACTGGCGTGGCGCGAGGGGAAATGGAGGGGGATAGATTTTCGATCCGTCTCTTTATCTATCTATATACATGGGATCGCTGTCGTCTCTACATAGGTAAGATTTATGGTGTTGGTTTTTGTTTGCGACTTTATTACCCGACTTAGCTATTTCAGATGGAGGCTGGATTATATATTCTATTCTATTCTATTCTAATTCTATTAGTTTTTGTATTTTTTAGGTTTTTTTGGGGTTTTTGGGGTTTTTCCTTTGCGTCGTGTTTATGATGGAACACTGGGAAAAGCAGAAATGGCACTTTTCGTATAACTAACTAGATCTAAATAGACGACAACCTTCAGGAGACGCAGCGCATGCATCTTTGTTGGATTGAGATAACGGTGGAAAAAAATATAATTAAAATAAAAAATTAAAAATAAAATCTCAAGATCAAACTGGCCCTATGGGGTAAGTGATTGTCCGATCATTTCTCGGATATCTTCCTTGCACAAGGATTGCATAGCTGATCAATCTACCTAACATGGGCGGCTACATGAACCAGGCCGAGTGTCCTCTTCATAATAACTATTTAACTAATTAGCTACAACCCTGGGTATCAGTGATCTTTCCACGGGCGCATTTCCTCCTGGATAGTGGGTCAGGGGTGGAATGGATCTGCTTTATTACCACAGACTGCAGCACATTTCTTTTCTTTTTCTCTTTCGAGTCGTTGAACTAAATGGCTAGTTAACTGGTTAATTACCCCAGTTTTATTCTTGGTGTTGACGTGGTGTTGGTGTGTCTGAGGATTACCGTCCTTCACGAGGGACACATCCAACGTTCCTGTCTGCGGTTATCTTCTGGTAATCCCGCGACTCCCCGCAAACCCGCTGTGTTTAAATATGTTCTCCTTTATGATGATGAAGGGGAATCTGCTCTAGGTGTGTTGTCCAGGGAAACAATTGAGATAGCCTTGGAAATATCGTGGCCTCCACGGAGTATGTGTATATGGAAGTTGGCTTCTCTGGATAATCTTTGAGAAGACCAAACCACGGCAAGAAAAGGAATCTTCTGTGGCAATTGCATATAACACACACATACATATAGCGGAGTGTGGGCCCTATCTTGTTGTCCAATTCTCATTCTTCCATTCCACTGCACCTACTCCGCCACTGAATCTGTTATTTCTAGCTAAGCGGAACAACGTACTTAGCTGTGAACACAAAGCATGTCCATTTCAAAGGACAGGGAGCACAATCACAATAAGAAATAGAAACCTCCCATTCCACCATGCCCTCCGAAGCTCAAGAATCAGGCCCCCCTCTACATTGGCTTCGACCTCTCTACCCAACAACTAAATGCCCTCGTTGTCACCTCCCACCCCAGAGTCGTCCACATCGCCATATTCGACTTCGACGCCAACTCCCACGGCTTCCCCGTGAAAAAATGGCGTGCAGACCCACGAAGCAGAGCAGGAGGTCTTCGCCCCCGTCGCCATGTGGCTACAGGCCCTGGACGACGTGCTACTCCAGCTGAAGCGGCAAGGGTTGGATTTTGGCCGTGTATGCGCCATCAGCGGCGCGGGACAGGCAGCATGGCAGCGTCTACAGGAATGCGGAGGCGGAGCGGGTTTTGGCTTCGTTGGATGCGGGGGAGGGGCTGGAGGGACAGGTTGCGACGGCGCTGTCGCATCCCTTCAGTCCTAATTGGCAGGATGCTAGTACGCAGCGGGAGTGTGATGAGTTCGATGAGGTTTTGGGCGGTAGTGGGGAGTTGACAGAGGTTACGAGGAGTAAGGCGCATCATGTAAGGGGTTCTCCCCTTTTACCTAATCCCTTTCCTTTGAACAATTATTCATTATGAGTTGTATAACAATAGTAGATTGCCCTCAAAATACTCCTCTTTGGGGAAATTATTAGCCTGTTGGATACGATTCTCATCCAACAATACCTCTTACTGGTTAGGGCTACGGATTCTCTTCCGACGGCTGGCGGCGGACACCATGTGTGTTTTGAGACTTGTCGTCTTTGCCTATTATTTACATGCATAGCTGTTCCTCAACCTGGAGTGGTTCCTCTCCCTGCACTGGTTTAGCAGTGGAGAAATTTCGTTGTCACCTTGTCATGAAGGATCCAGATAGAGGATACTGATAGGGCAGGACGAATAATAGCTGATAGCTGTGCATTCCAAGAAAAGTCAACTGGACATGGAAATGGACTAGTTTATAGAGATAACTAGTCCTTTTCGCCAATAGCCTGGCCTTGTAATCCTTTTTGCTCGGTTTTGATGCCTTCAATTGCGAGTCCTTCAGGGAATAGTTAATGCCCATTTATCTTTCAAAGCCTTGCCTCATAACCCTTTTTTGCTGAATTTCGAGGACAGGAATTCTGGCATGGACAGTAAATTTGCCAACTGGATTGATTCTCTCATCCGTATTTAAGGGATTTGCCGGGATATTGTTAGTGGGAGTAATTTCAACGAGAGGCCTCGTGGGCTGCAGCGGAGAATGCATGCATCCGAGTGGGCCCCTGGTGTTAATATAGACATGCAGATAGCACTGTAGCAAGCAGCAGCCGAAGAAATCGACATTTTTAGCAAGAGAAGAATCGTCGAAGGAAATTGAGGTTTTTGACTTGTCCGTGTGAATGGTAGATCAATACCTTTGGGTTAATTGGGTTTTCTGCTGAAAGAGAGTACACACATGAACTATCCGATAAACGATTACCAGACGAATGCAATTTTTTTGGACTATTTGAATTTTTAAAACCTGGAGCAGAGCGAGCATCAGCAAGTTGATTTATGCAGTGTGCGGAGGGAGAGGATGCAGGTTGTAGCAGGGCTGGTTGGTGGTTGTTGTGTGGTTTGGTGGCGGTGGGGTGATTCTTTAGTAAACCAGGTCAAGGCGCAGGAAGGATGCGGCGATATGTTGCCTTGCTGTCTCTCTCAAGTTCACTCAACCTCAACTCTCAGAACTAAATAGTCACAACTCTCCTGTTTCCACCTTGCAGAGCAACCAGGATCAATCTGCAAAACGTCTTCTTAATTGCAATACCTCGGCCACGTCCAGTAATTACCGCTTATTGAGCCCTCTACTATTAACTATTCGTCGCCCCTCCCCCCCCAGGTTTACCTAACCATGGCTTGAGGAGAGTGATGACACTCCGCAAAAACTCTCAACCACACAGCACAACTCTCCTGCGCAGAGCAACATAGCTTCTCGCAGGTAGACTATCCCTAGTTGCTGGTCCTTGTGGCAGCATTTTCACCGGAGTGGTCAGCAATAACCAACATTGGCTGGCCACACGATGGAGGACCAAGTAAATATCTATACAGCGTTATTTTTCTTCCCACACCAAATCTCTTGTTACCACCCCTCGATAAAACTGCACTCAACACAAGCCAGATTACCCCCTCTTTCTCCTCAACATCTCTGACATGATTTTGATAACTAGGTAGCAAACGCCATCCAAATCGCTTGGAACCCTTCCTCTGACCAAACGCTCAAGGCTCAAGCCTTTGAATACCTCAACCGTCTCCGAACAGATCCGTCTGGCTGGCACGTGTGTCTTCCTATCTTCACCAAATTGCCCCGACACTCTGAAGTTGTGCGCCATGTCGCTCTGGAAATCCTCAACAGCGCCACCCAGACTGGGATGGTGGACCTGCAAGGGTTGAGGTACATAAAGGGCCGCCTGATGGAGTATCTTGGGCAGATGTATGGCTCGGATTCCTCCGCCCAGATGGATCCCGCCAGTTTACAAAATAAGGTGGCTCAGACGTTGACCTATCTTTTCTCCGCTCTCTATGCGAATGGATGGGAGACCTTCTTCGATGACCTGCTTCGTTTGACATACAACAGCCCCCAAAGCTCGTCAAATGATAATTCCCTCGGGATCATATTTTACCTCCGGGTCATCAACTCGATCCATGATGAGATTGGAGATGTGCTGGTTTCGAGATCGCGGGCGGAACAGGATAAAGCAAACCTGCTCAAGGATCTTATACGCCAGAGGGACGTGCAGAAACTGGTCAATTCGTGGCAGGAGATTCTCTCAAACTGGAAGACTGGAAACGATTGCATCACGGAGATATGCCTGAAGGCCATTGGCAGTTGGGTCAGTTGGATTGATATATCGCTAGTCGTCAACCAGACCATGCTTGATCTGCTGTTCCAGCAGCTTGCCAGAGCCAAGGATCCCAATCTTCCCGAGGGTGGGCAAAAAGTCCGAGATGCGGCAGTTGACGTATTCACCGAGATTGTAGGCAAGAAGATGAAACCGTCAGACAAAATCGACATGATCTTATTTCTCAATTTAGAAAACACAGTCGCCCAACTTACTGGAAGCCCCCCGCTTCATGACCATCGCTTTACCTCCAAGTACGACACGGACCTTGCGGAAACGGTAGCCAGGCTAGTGAACATTACAACAATTGATATTGTCCGGTCTCTAGATAACGATACGGTTGATTCTGCCACCAAAGAGAAAGCGGAGTCGCTTCTGCAATCCTTCCTCCCACATATTCTTCGATATTTCGCGGACGAGTACGACGAGGTATGCTCGACTGTAATCCCCTCTATGAACGATCTTCTATCCTATTTCCGCAAAACCGCCAAAAAGAATCCAGCTCTTGCACCTCAGCAAGCGCCTATGTTGATGCTAATCCTAAAGGCTATCATTGCTAAGATGAGATATGATGAAACCTCATCATGGGGCGATGACGATGATCAAACAGATGAGGCTGAATTTCAGGAACTTCGAAAGCGTTTGAACGTACTTCAGCAGATTGTCGCTTCTTCAAACGAGCCGCTCTACATGGATGTTGTTAGTGAAATCGTGGGGACAACTTTGGACAATCTCAGACAACCTGGTGTCCAAGTTGACTGGCGGGATCTTGATCTTGCGTTGCACGAGATGTTCCTCTTTGGAGACCTTGCTCTGAAGGCAGGCGGTTTGTATGTTAAAAATAAGGTGAACAATGCTGCTGCAGAACTATTGGTGGAGATGATGCTGCGCATGGTTGAAGCTGGTGAGTTTGGACATTTTAATTCATTCTTGCACTGCTTGTATGCTAACTCTAGTTCACAGACGTCAGGTCGTTTACCCATCCAGCAACTCAGCTCCAGTATATGGAGATCTGTGTACGGTATAGCTCCTTTTTCGATCATCATGTGCATCTTATCCCAGGCGTTTTAGAATCCTTCCTACAATTAGTTCATCATCCGGTTAAAAAAGTGAGGACCAGATCTTGGTATCTTTTCCATCGATTCCTTAAACATCTTCGGAATCGCATTGGCAATGTGGCGCAAACCGTCATCAAGGCCCTTGGCGACCTCCTTGTCATCCAAGCGGAAGTGCCTCAAGAAGGGTCCGACGGTGACGATATGTCATCTGAAGATCATGAAGGATCCACAGATGCAGTCTTTAATAGCCAGTTGTATCTTTTCGAGGCCATCGGTTGTATCTGCTCTACTACTTCCGTCCCGGTTGACCAACAAGTTGCCTACGCCCAATCTGTCATGACTCCCATCTTCATGGATATGGAAAGACATCTTGGAGCTGCAAAATCAAATGACGAACAGTCTATCTTACAAATCCACCATGATATAATGGCATTGGGTACACTAGCTCGAGGATTCTCGGACTGGACCCCAGGGACGATAGCACCTACTGCACTCCCTGCACCAGAGATTTCCGAAGCCTTCAACCAAGTATCTGAAGCTACCTTGGTGGCTCTCGAGTCACTGAAATCCTCTTTCAACATTAGAACCGCTGCTAGATTCGCATTCTCTAGACTAGTCGGTGTTCGTGGTTCTCAGAATTTACCCCAGCTTCCCCGGTGGATTGATGGATTGATGACGGAGACATCCTCCAAAGATGAAATGGCGTTGTTTTTGCGCTTACTGGATCAAATTATTTTTGGATTTAAGACTGAGATTTATGGTATCCTTGACACGCTCTTAACTCCCTTCCTGCAGCGTGTATTTGCGGGAATCTCCGATCCCACGACCGGTACGGACGATGAGATACAACTTGCCGAACTGAAGCGGGAGTATCTGAACTTCTTGCTAATGATTCTGAATAATAACCTTGGAACCGTTATTATTAGCAGCAGTAAGTCCCTCAATAGCCTTCTTGTTTTCGAACCTCCCCGTTTATCCCTATTAAACATAACCACACTAACACATGAAAATTTTGTCCAAAAACAGCGAACCAACCAATCTTCGAAACCGTCCTAAGCACAATCGAACACTTCGCCCGAGACGTCGATGACTTCCCCACGGCCAAGATGGCCTTCCTAGTCCTATCCCGCATGTCAAGTTTATGGGGTGGACCGGACATCAATCAACCGGCCGCCAACGGCAATGCCAACACAACCCCGCAGCCGGCTCTACCAGGCTTCGCCCAGTTCATGATCACCCGCTTCTCTCCGCTCTGCTGGTCTCTCCCTATGACGCCCTCCTTCAACTCAAAGGACGCACAGGCAAAGCAGGTCCTTGGCGAAGCCGCAGCGCTGCAGAAAGTTATATACTCAAAAACGGGACAGGAGTATATTGACTACCTGAGAGGAAGAGAGTTGCCTGGCATGGGGATGGGGAGTGATCTTGTCAATGAGTATGTGGGGTCCTTGGAGCACTTGGATGTGAAAGGGTTCCGGCAATTTTTTCAGGTATGGGCGTCTCCTCCTGGTTCTACCGTTTGTTATTTTCTCCCTTCTTTTTTTGATACACCATCTAACTTGAATCTTACGTTCCTCTGCAGTCATTTATCCAGCGATTAAGCGCATGATATCACGGAACTTGTCCTCTCTTATTCACTACGATATCCATACCCGAAGGGATTTGCTCATTCATCTATACACACATCTTCTTATGCTCTATGACCCGTGTCTGTCGAACCCTCTTTCTCCATTTCTCTTTTCCATCGAAGGAAGCTTTTCGATTAGGCAAGTCAAATAGCTGTCGACATGCCCAACCATCGAAAATAAAGACCAACGCAAGTGGAAAAAAATATTTTCAAAGTACAAAAACCACGAAACGAAAATCGTATCTTTGATCATTTTACCCTTGTCATCTTCTGCTACGTCATATTTTTATCACCACCCCTACTCTTCAACTTCACTTGAATTGACAATTTACTTCTACTCTGTTGGTTTTTCCGCTTTCATTTCTCGAGACACGGTTACAAATGCATGTGCATGCTAGGCGTTGTTCTAACGTAATGTGTTCTTTTTTATTTCTTTTTCTTTTTCCTTTGAAGAGAAGCGCCAACTTGTCAGTCATATTCTTTCCTTTCCTTTTCTGATCCTTTGTTATGTTATGAGACAATTAAACGAGGGGGAAAAAAAAAGATACCTCTCTTTTTTTCCGCTTTGCAATTGCGTTCGCGTTCGCTCTTTTATTCGTTTCATGTTGCGCGCTGTGGATTGTGCGGTGCAGTTTGAGCCGACGTTACATTAGCCAGTGTGTTGGAGATGAGATGTATCTTGGAGAGTGACAATGGAGAGATATGGATGATTGAGGAATTTATTGTGTCATCGACGGGCGAGGGGTGGACGGACTCATAATTATGAAACGGAAATCGGGACAGAGGATCTGAAGCCTTTCATCCTGTTGAGATTTGGGTGGTGCATGTGAAGGCTGAAGCAGAGCGTTATAACAGGATTGGACAATGTTCAATAAAGAGTTAGGCTTCTTGGTAATTGTCGCTATAGGTAAAGAGTCTTTAGTTGATTATGAGATGTGATGTGAAATGAATATAAAAATATATATATAGATTTGTCTTCAGGTATGATTTGCTAAGAGTATATTATACTTTGAATGTCTGCCGACTCCACTTGAGGTTATGCGTAATAGCTAGACCTAAAAGCCCGTGGGCATTTTTTCCAAGATATCTGCTTATATGACTAGTTAGCTAACTTCAGCTCAGCGATTATAATTTCCGTAATGGCGAACTTTTATCACTTCTACCAAAGTCAGCATATTTTGGCTGGCTGGTCAATCAGGCGCAAAATATAAATGTATAAGCCACAAATAATGACAACCTAACAAATTAGCTACCGGATAGACGCACTAAATAAATAATATACGTCCTATGCAAATAGATATTTAGCCGCATGCTCGACATGATCATCCGAGAACGTCGCTATGGTGTAATAGCTATGGTCATAGTCTTCCTGATACCGGATATTTACTCCCTCAACGCCAGCCTTCTTGGCCGCTTTAGCAAAGTTCTCGGGAAGGAGTTGCCCCTGTTTATAAAAATCGTCACCAGTGCCCTAGGAGTAGTTCGGTTGGTTAGTATATGAACGAAAATTCCCCGAAGGATCGATTTGGTTCAAATTTGGTATGGATTCGAAAGAGGGATGGTCAAAAGAGTGAGGAGATGGAATACGATTTGCTGATAAAGTGACATACAACATCAATTAGGGCATTAAGCGGGCCTTTCCACTTCTTGACGAGTTCTGTGGCATCGTATTCCTTCCACTTCTGCATATCATCGCCTAGATATCCCTTGAACGCCTTCTGACCCCAGGGACAGTTGATGGGGTTGGAGATGGGAGCGAATGCGGAGACAGACTTGTATTTGCCGGGATTTTTCAGGAACTGGGAAGAAGTAATGTTAGAAAGGGGGAGATTTTCAACTTTTGTTTCATTCCTCTGCCACTGGAAAATGATCCCAGATATTGATATACAAGAAATATAGGATCTGATCCGGGGTTTCTAGGGGTGACTGGGAGAGAGATGACAACCCACCAACGTCAAAGCACCATGTCCTCCCATGCTATGGCCCATAATGCCAACTCGCGTCGAATCTAATTGCTCGAATGCAGCAAATACCGTCTTCGGCAGCTCTTCTGTGACGTAGCTATACATGTTATAACCCTTATCGAATGGAGCCTTCGTGGCGTCAACGTAGAAGCCGGCCCCGGTACCAAAGTCCCATGAATCATTCTCGCCCTCAATGTTTAGGCCTCCTGTACGTTGATTGGAATAAGAATATTACAGTTAAATTAACCAGAACATGAATGTATTTGGGCCCCGAATCTATTAAACAGAACACGAACATGGGCTACATGGGAGAAAGCGTTGGAGATATCGAAACGTACTGGGACTCGTATCGGGGTAGAGAATCGCAATCCCCTTCTTACTAGCACCGTGTTGGAAGAAGCCCTTCTCAGAGCAATTGTCTGCCGTACAGGTGAGGCCGGAAAGGTATATGAGGACGGGCACTTTATGCGTTGGATTTTTTAAAGCCTGCGGGGGCAGATAGAGGTTGAATGCCATTTCACAATTGGTCGTGGTGGCATTGTGAGTGAGCTTCAGAAGCTTCCCGCCAAAGGAGGCGATGGTCGCTTTGGTTGTGATAGACATGTTGCGTGGTTGGCGTTGACGGATGAGGTACGGAGATAAGTTGGCATTTCAGATTGAATGGATGCTGGGAAACAAGACGTATAGACTTTATCCGAAAAGTTAGGACGTTATGAGGGGAAGAGGTGGGAACGTCTCCAAAATATATCTATCCCCCCATCTTTGCTGGCTTCCCCTCACCATTGGATATGACCATCCAGGAACCAAAACAGCAGCATGAACAAGCAAGTAAGCAGAAGAAGAATACTGGGAAGAATAAAACACCTGATGTACATCTGTACAATTCAATATTAACGTAGCTAACTGAACAATGAAAATTAACGCCTAAAACTTAATATATGTATTTAATATGATGAATCTTTCGCTTCTGCTCCAACGCCATATCCAACTTGCAGAAGGGTCTATCAATAAGCTTGTATAATAAATTGCCGTAGGTAAATAAATAGGGCATATCAACAGGGTAAAAAAGAAAAGAACCTAGAACACAGAATCGGTAACCCCCTATTGCTTCAAAAACACCGGAACTCCATATACCACAGGTGCTGCGCCATTCAGATATTTCAATATACACGCGCTTCGAGACTTAGCAACAGCGGTATCAAGCCCTACGGGGTCACCTCCTTGTAGCTGTTGCAGTGCGTTGGTAGCCTTTGATCCTTTGGATCTGCCCGATGGAGTGGTCTCGACTGGTGCTTTGTTCATCAGACCCCAATGCTCAAATGTGGATTGCGCGAAACGGTCAATGTCCTTATCGGTGACATCCCAGAGTGTGGCGACAAGAGCAGGTGCCCCAGCATGCATATAATTGATCGGTGTCCCATACGGCTCGAATTCTCCCGCTTCAGTCAAGGTACCACTGCTGCAGCCCATGAGGAAAGTGACAGCACATCGATCCAATCGCTTAATCGTCCTGCTTCGGATATATTGCGCTCCGCTTCCATGGCCGAAGTAGAGTAGTAAGTCTTTGCTTTCCAGGCATTGCTTAAATTCATCCTCGCTTGGTTCTCTGTTGACGATACCTCTCCACCCATTTAAGCTTAGCAATGAGCCTTCAAAGGCCGCTTGCGTCGATTTCAAGTCCCCTCCAGGGTTAAGGATATATGAGCCATGGTTACGGTCAATGTGAAATCCGTCAAATGCTTCTCCAAGGTCATTGTTGGCTCGGAGTTTCAACACAGTCTCTTTTAGGTGGTGTAAGGATGGCATTCGGGACACTGAGGATCCGCGCAAACATTCGAGAGATTCCCATGGAAACGAGTGAAGCTCTTTGCCGAGAATGAGAATTGTGCGGTATGTCTGTTTGGATCTCCGCTCTCTTTTCTCTGCTTCTTTGTAGACGCGTATCGCACTGAGAGTCTCAATAACCATCATATCGAAATCGATTTCATCATACGCATTCCTTTCCCCTTGAAACTGGAGTATATCGACAACGAAATACAAAAGGTCCATAACCAGATCATCCGGGTCTGGACCCTCATCAATATTTCCAATGTTGACAAACAATTCCATAACATCCCAGTGAAAATTTGTTTTAAGAACACGATCCTTTCCGCGATGTCGTCGCGATGGAAGATGTTTGTCGAGAATTTTCTCAAACGAGTCAATGAACCGGAAGAGGAGAGATTCGTTGCGGGGACATTGCGAGAATATGCCACGGAAACCACCAAACCAAACAGCTTCCATGTTATTGAGAAGGGTTTTAAGGCGATTATCTAACGATTTTCGCGCTGCCCACCATTCCTTCTTCGAATTTTTATCGACACGGGCCTTGGCATCGTGGGCACTCTTGTTGGCTAGTTGAATGATTTCGAGAAGCTCCCTTTTTCCCTCCGCAAAGTTAAATTCCTCCTCATCCATGTGCTCTGATGTACCTCGCTTTAATGGAAGACGGAGCAGAAAAGGAGGCTTTCCGGACCGTAATTTGGATATAATGAACTCATTACGGTCGTTGCTCAGAGTTAAAGAGAGAACATTCCAGGTATCGGGTAAGATATCGACATAGTCTTGCATAAACTCGATGCACTCGAGTTTTTCAGATTTCGCGCAATTGCTGGGCGCAGTTGGCCATTTCAAAGGTTCAACTGGGCCGCACAACTCTTTGTCAATTGCAATACAAGATTGTTCCCTATAAAAAGCTAGGTTTCGCCCGTTTTCTATACATCATTAGTTTAAGATCATCCGAAATGGAGTATGGTAGTTGTAATACATACCAATAGTTACTGCTGCTTGGAGCGGGTTCGAGAAATCTTCCAGTTTTGAGCATGTTGCATGCGATACCATGCATAATTGACTTGAAATATACGACACAATATGGTTGTGGGTGGTTGATCCGTAAATCGGAACTGAAGATGATATAACGGGGAGTAATTGTCTTGCTGCAGTTAGCATATCAGCAAACTCTTTGGCACCAGCCCGAGTATTTCCTTTCGTAGTTGATGTAGTTGCCCTTGTTCGTGCCGTTAGTGGTAGCTTTTGGGTGCTTCGAGACTTTATGGAAGTGGATTTTTCATCTGTGGCCTTGTTCGCCAAATATACCGAGGGAAGCGAAACTGTTGACTCTGGTAGAACACAGTAGATAGAGTGAGAAGTGAGCTTTTGAATCCAATTAGAAAGCAAATACTGAGCCCTGGAAATCAGATAAGTCGTCTCACGAGTTTTAGATTTGGGCAGTTGGTCGGCTTGTTCCAGAAGAGCAGAGGCCTTTGCAAAATCATGACTCGACAATAAATCCACAACTTGCTGGTGAAGCAAATCAACTTCGAGTTGCGAAAACGATGGAAGTGGTGCCTTCGCCACTAAGCTTAGGTTTTTCGAGTTGGGAGATGGGTTTTCGGAAGTTTTTAAGCGTCTCGCCCTTGTTTGTCGGGTCGCTGGCGGGTTTCGGCTCCGGGATTTGGTATCGATCTGTAGCTGGCTCATTTTGGACTCAATACCAAGGTCTGGAATTGAATCATCTGTTGGTTCAGTCGTGTCATGTCGCGAAATCTCCAACAAAGTTCGATGAGCTACGTCAAGGGACTTGCTTCTTTCCTCTAGGTTTCCCTGAAGTCGATGGAGCAAGGAAAACGCCATATGAAATGAGACAGTTTCCAGACGCTGGCCCTCCTTGCTAGCTGCGCCTGACGCGATGTCCAATAGCTCTTGACCTTTTAGAACGTGCCCGCCGCGAAGCCAGGAAATTCCCAGTTCGGCCTGAATAAACGATGTTGAGGAAGTGGCACCGATTGCCTGGCAGATTTTTAGCGCCTGCTCTCCAAAGTAGACACAGTCCTGGAAAAGACCATTGTGTGCAGAAAGTCTGGATAGATTGACAAGTCCAATATAATGTGACGTGAAATGCGGCCAATACAAAGAGCCTTCGCGGTAGATGTTATCTTCTTTGCAGCGGTATTCTGATACTAGACTGGTAGCTTCGAAAGTACTCGAGAGGACATCGACGTCTGAGTCAGAAGCATCAGAAGATAATTTCTGCCGCTTCATATCAGAAATCTTGTCTAATTTTGCCCAAATCCTGTTGTTTAATTTAACAGCAGATTTAGCAAAAAACATAGCACGTTTAACTGATCCAAGTTCGAAATATATTCGAGAGTTTGCATAAGCAGCTTCCGCTACCAATCTTTCCCATGTCAGCCTGACTTGAAAGTTGGACTTTAAGACATGGTTGCAGTTTTGCTCAAATGTTGCCTTGGTGCTATTCAATGTTTCGATACTAGTCCAGTCAGCAGACAAAAGAAGGTGAAATAGAGAAATAGGGTATTTAAAGATACATAAACTCACGCTCTATCAAATTGACCTATATCAGTAAGATATTCAGCCAGCCCAATATTCCAAGAAATCAACACCAGAGGTAAGATATCATTGCTCTGGAGGAGACCACCCCCAGTGTGAAATATAGACCCTGCCCTTTCAAGGTATCCAAGGCGACTATATTGAAGGCCCAGCTGAGATAAACACAATAGTAACTCGGGAAAATCCTTTGTTTCATGAACCTCCAAAACATGTCGAAGCGTTGAAAGTGCAGATATCCTAAGTTTCCATAGCCCAAGCACCTCAAAATAATTAACAAGCACTTTCAATTGTGAGATGAATGCTTCCGGATCATCTATCTTTGCGAGTATGGACTCCCATGTTTGGCAACTTTGTGCAATTGAAGCCCAAGAGTAAGCAATTTTCTGTAGGCTTTCCGTAGGTAAACCTCCTTGCAATAATCCCAGGGTGAACCGAAGGGAGGTCAGCATGTATTCTTTGTATTGGAGGAGACCAGAATCATTCCCGAGATCAAATTTATCAGACAAAAAAGTATTCGTTTCTGCTATAATGTTTTCAAAGAGTTCGGGTCCAACGTGGTTTGGATCATGGAGTGAAAGGCGAATAGTTTGAAGGATGACCCTCAACCGGCGTATTGGATAAGAGTTTAGTGGATATAGGTCCAACAAAGCCGAAACTATGAATGATAAAGGCGACATTTTACCATCTGATTCGCTAGAGGAAGGTATTTCTAGCAAAGCCATGGCTTGGCATTCGAGTAAGAGCCCTCTTTCTTCGGGTTCCAGATTCACGTCATCAAAGACGGCTTCGCGAGGATGATACGCGCGTTTCCAACAAAATCGAGCATAATTCGACAACACACGGCCTAAAGGAAATGATGAATCTCTGAGCATCGATGATAGAGGTTTCGTCGCAGCAGACTGGGCTATACATTTCAAAGCACCGCCGTTGATATGCGCCTGGATAGCGGACCGATAGGCTTCTCTAGATTTTTGGGTCTGAGAAATGTCGGAGTACAAACAAGCTAATCGTTCCCATTTGGTAGCCGGGAATCCAGCTGAATTTTCTGGAGGGCATGTTCGTAGAAGGCTCGTTGACCGCTCTAACAAAGGAATGAGATCGGAAGGAAATGCCCCAAGCTCTTTTTGTTTGACGTAGCGGGACCAGTAGATATTTGAAAGCTTAACGAAGCTAGCTGATGTCGAATCTGATATATTTATTTGGTTTTCAATACTCTCGGCCGAATGAAGTGATTTAAGGAGAGTGAAGCAATTCGACAAAAGAGGTTGGACATCGGGCCAAGAGGGTCGCTTTGCGACAACCGATATTTTCCCAACCGCGACGGCCGAATCGACTGCTGAGAGTACAATGTTCTTGCATTTTAAAAGTCGCTCTTGAAGCAGGCAATTGGTCGTAGTATCGGCTTCTACTTGCGTAAGTGATGTCTGCCCAAGATAGCGAGCCAGGAACCTGACAAAGCTGTTGAGATAATCAATGATATATAGACCTAGCGGTCCGTATTCTAACTCTCCGTCACTTGCGTCCATTGCCGCCTCGCCAAGTGTATTCAGAAAACCCATTGCCGCCTTCTTAAGTTTGGCAGACTCGATAACCAACTCCTCGAGATCGGACTGGTTTCCCTTCAAGGGAGCTGCTAAACCCTTCAATGCTTCCGATACGGCAGACGCAGTTTTATATGCGCGAGCAATCTTTCGAGTCCGCATAGTCTCCAGTCGCAGGAGAGCAATTTTGCAGTTGCAGATAGCAAGGAGCAGAGGCTGGTCAACCGTGAGAGACGAAATGCAGTTTTCGAAAAATTCCAGCGCATCAACTTTGCAATCAGCACTCTGAGCCAATTGACCAAGCACTTTCATAACAGTTGACACGGAGCCAAATTGGCCAGCAGGTGGCACAAAGACATATCCATTGGTCGTCACGGTGGATTCCAGCCGCAGGAAAGCCTGCTTCACTATCTCAAAATCGCTCTTTGTGATGGTCGAGCATCGTCTGGCAAATGTCATGAGGTAACGAGCCAACGGGTGCCATAACTCCTTTTCCATATTGCCCTTGTGTCCACAAACTTTCCACCACATACAACGTATTTCAAGCGACAGAATTTGGAGATTCACAGCAGTTGTGTACTTAACGCGAGGTTTTGCAAGTGAAGATTTATCATTTTCAGCGTTTGGGGTAGGTGAAGCAAGGGAAAGCACAGCGTACGAGAGCGATTGTAACTGCTGAGCAGCTTTTTCGGTGGACAAAACACCTCTATTCAATGCCGTAACGATGATGCTTGCAGGGCTTGTTGGATTCGATAGTAGAAGTAAGTCGCATAGCTTATTCACAGTGGATGGCTTTTTGTCGGTTGCAATGACTTTGAGGGCTTGAGCCTGAAAGAAAATAACCAGGTTTAAAAGTAGATCGTTGGAAGGCACCTTGTCTACTTGGATAAGGTTAGCTAGAATTTCCTTGACTGGTTCGTCGCGTTGTCTGGCGCGGGAGGGCTTTTTTTCATCCTGAGATTTCTCATGTAGTGGTTCACTTGTTAGATATCCCTGTATCCTCCTCTTCAGCTTTCTGAGTTCATTTATTGCAGCTTCATGTAAACCAACAGCAAGCAGCTTCCCAATTAAGACGCAGTACCCTTGCTCAAGTTGGGTATTGAGTGGTGGTATCCCTTCTTCTGGAGACGACCTCAAGTCACAAAGATATGACAACGCCACCCGAGCACAATTTGCAACTTCCACAACCCCACAGCCTTGGATATCCTTTTTCGAGGTAGCTGCACCCGTAGGTTCCGTCTTGGCCGGGGAGGAAATGGTTGAATTTGGGGAGACTGATTGTAATGGTCGTCTTAGAGTCAGGCTCTTTTGGGGGGTGGCAATGGTAATTTTCAAGGAGTCTCTGGAATTTTGACAGTCCGTAGAGGATTTTATAAAATCGGAGAGTGCTTTTGACGCAGAATTGAATACTTCGGTAGCTAAGACAAGCTTCCTTTTCTGCAACAGCCGTCCATTCTCTGCTCCGAACTGTGTTTGAGATCTGAAGGATTCGGCAGAGAATTTTGGTTGTACTGGCTTAGGAGTCTTCCGATTCTTCGAGCTCTTCGGCCGCCTAGTTGATTTAACGTCAATGGGCTGTTCATCTCGATGCTGCGTGCTTGCCGTCGAGCTCAAGCAGAGAAGTCGTCTGAGCAACGCGGTAGTTTCGGGGGAACATGTAGTTGCCGACTTGACAGCCTGTTTGACAGACACCTCTAAAGCGTGTATAGGACACGCTGATTCCTCCATTTGTGTCATCCGAGCTCAATGTCGTCGTCGTTGTTTTGATCTTTTAAAAGTCGTCAATTTTGATCTAGAAGAGATGCCGGTCAACTGAGGTTGCTGGGGCAACCATCTGATGACATAATCAACATATGCCCAACCATTCCTATTTTGCTCTAGCGCATCGTACAGTAAAGTATGTAAAGAACCAGTTATGGTTCACAGTTCACTATACAACTAAATGATGATATATTGACAATAAGCTGGGTGAGTGAAATAATTAACTTACAAATAGAATAATAAAGCTTTATTAAAACTCACCATCACGTAGATTTATTATTATTATTATTATTATTATTATTATTATTATTATTATTATTATTATTATTATTATGGAGTGCATACACATTACCAAGAATGTTTATGAGATGCGGTGTCAGATCTCCTGCAAAGGATTCAGGCTTGATGAGATGTCTCTGAAGTAAGTTTTGACACTCAATACTCATTCAACAGAGCAGATGGTAAAGCAACCAAGAAGACAGAAACAGCAGCGTGTGCATCAACACAGCTGATTTAAGCCAAGAACTATCATCACCGTTGGAATTATTCTATATGCGGAATGTCAACCCTGACCAAGCACCAAGGATATATAGGGCGAGTTTTTCACAGCAATCGGGAAGCGGTGTCTCGATCTGTTATGAGGGGAGAGTACGAGACATCAACACGGACTTTGTCTGATTATCTGACTGCATGGCAGGCGCTTCAATGCCACGCGTTGAGAAGGACGGATTGGCGGTATTAATTTCACACGCCCTTTTCTTAAACACCTTCAAACCACTTGTGTGCCCCTTTGTGGCACTGATGGGATAATTGTCGGTTCAACTATCGTGGCGGCAACTTCTCCATAATGTGCATTGAAAAGCTTCTGGAAACCAACAATATCTTTGGACTGCGGCCAACCTCCAGATATTTTAGTGTTCAAACTTATTCCCACTCCTTCATGAGACATAGAATATTTGCTGGGGCCTATATTTCATCCTTGTAGTGATCATTTAGCGATTTAGTAAGCTGTCTAAGAAGTGGAGTTGATGAACAAGAGCAATCATTAATTCTATTTAGTATCAATTAGAGCTGTCCTATCGTCATACACCTCAATGATAGCATCATATAACTTTTCTAGGCCTTGCGGCTTTCCAACAATCTCATAAGTACACCTCGTATGACTTTCCAGGAAGTCAATCTCTGCTCAATCAAAGATGCTTATATTAAAAGACAAAACAAAGAGCAATTCACGCTATCAATACACAAAATCTTTTACTAGTTTACAGCATCTGACTTATATTGTGCATCTTGAAGTGTTTCAATCATGTTCCGTGATAGATTGAAGTTTGATTTCTTCCAACGTCCACCGTCTGGAAAGACTAGGCGCCGTAATCGGTTGCCGCAAGGGATCAAAGATTGATAGTAGGGCGTGAAATAGTCTTCAGCAAGTCTGAGAAAGTCACCCTCATCACTTATCACTCCTTTTTTTTTGCGCGAGCCAGCTCTCCAGTATTCATGCAATTCCATTTCTCAAACTCTTCAACACTGCTCCCCTTGCCACGGCCGTCATAGTGAATGCATATCCAGAACAGGACCCAGAAGAATGACTCCAGATCATGCAAGGAACAATGCTTTTCGCCGTACAAGACACCGATGGCCATGAATGCCCTGGTGCCAGTCTTGCCCCGTGCACCGGAAGACCCATCCCGTTGTACCTTAATTGCCAGGTCAAGGTCAATCAGAAAGGCAGGCCATCAAGGATTGTCCTTGTCCTCATTCGCCATCAGGTTGCGGGGGGATATGTCACATTGGATGAGGCCAGCCTCATCATGGAGCGAAATGTATCCTTCAATGCAGCCGGCTAGTCCAGTGAGAAGTGTGGCCTTCGAGCTACTCTCATAGATTGGTTTCCCATAATCCCGGATAACAACGCGGCGGTGAACTCGATTGAATGGGGTAGAGCGGCCGGCAGATTTGGACGGAGAACTTGACTGGGTACGTTTACTGGGGGGAGGAGGAAATGCCGTGTCCACGCAGTCAGAGGATCGCTTCTGGCCGGCGGTGCTGCTCTGGCTCTTTTGTCCCCTTTGAGACCTACTACGCTGCACTGTCGCCTTAAAGCCACCACCCTTCTCATCTTGCGAAATCGGAATACAGAGGCCCTTTCGGATGGCTAAGACATCATCATCCTTGTCGTCAATGCGAACGGTCTCGTGGTGATAATACCTCGCAACATTCTTGACTCCCTTCACCATCGCCTCTTGCAGCAACTCTCCTTCCTCAGTGCGTTCTGGATACTGCCAGGAGTCCTTGACAACCAGCGGTGTCTGTGATTTGTCTGTCTCACAATATGCCTTCCAGCAGGTTGTGGCTCGCCCAGCAACACAGCGTGCTTGTCCAACAATCCCATCAATGATCAGCCGTTCCTTCATACCATTCTTTTCAATCTCAATATAGCGTTTGGTCCCGGTTGCGATGATGGTGGGATCAAACCCAAGTTGCTTCCGGCTCATCAAGAGGAATCCAAGGATAACAGACACAAATTGAAGGCCGTCCTGGTTGATGTTGAATTCCTCCGACGCGATCCCGCCCAGGCGGTCAAAGTTCCATAGTCGCAGGAATGGCCCGCAGAGAGTGAAGCCGAGCACGAAACGACGGGCGTCCTGCGCAGCAAGGACCTCTCGGGCATACCTGCCAAGATCAAACCATGCCCCAGAGATTTCCTGTCGTATTTCTGGCCATTCTTCAGCTCCCCTGGCACAAGGATCTGCGACCAGCGGCATCTGGAGTCCTCTGTGGCCGTCATATCATCGACAAAACCGATATCGAGCTTTCTCTCCGCGACAGACCCCCTGTAGTGGCTGGCTTGGCTGTGCGAGAGGCCTGCGGCCGATCTTCCATGACGGCTCTTGTGCTTCGGCTGATCGTACAAGCTCAGCGATGATGTTGGTCAGCCATCTCAGAACGTCTCGTTCTGCCGCAAGTTCAGGCCAGCCTCTCCAGCCCTCCTCTTCATGGTAAAGTGGGCTGTCTCCCTCCTCGCACTCTTTCAACACCGCTTGTGAAATTGCAGTGAGTTGTGGAATGTCTCCAAAGTACGCGTCAAAGAAGCTAGGGATGTCGACATGTATCTCTCCAAGCTCCTCCTTCAGCACAAAGTCAACGTGCTTTCGGTATTCTGTAGAATTGACGAAACTGCTGGTGTTGCGCAACCAGGGCGTCTGCTGGATTGATGATATCGGGCGGGGAGGAGTGGTGACTCGTGAGACGGTGTCAATAAGACCAAGGACGGCGTTCCAGACATCGAAGTTCCAGGTTGTGACGTCGTGCTGGGATTCAGTGGGAGGCCCTTGAATAACTAAGTGCACTAGCGGTCGGTAGTCGTCGTACCTGAAGTTTTTTCCTTGTGCTTGACCGGCTTGGCTCTGATGCAGAACGCGAATGTGCGAACGGACAGAGCCGCTAAGCAAGGAAACAGGTCGAGATTAATCCCATTCGATCGCGACTGAATGGTAATAAGCGTGAACCAAAGAGGGGGATTGAAATCGTATTCTGAGGAAGATTGGCTATTCCCATTTAGATGAATGTACGCCAACCTGCTGTCCTGCAGATGTGGTAAAGAGTGGTGTCGCTCAGGATGACCAAGCGAATCATGATTGGAAGAAGATCAGCATCACCCACCCCGTACAATCTACAATCTCTGTCTTCTCTTTTCGCTTCTGCTTTCCTCACTGAAAAAAAAAAAAAAAAAAAAAGCACAAATTTATAGCCTAAAGAGATTGGTCAAAATTTTGTTCAATTAATTCTAGATAAAAATAGGGCGGCGACGCTCCTGATGCTACTTATAGACTGTATATGATGTTGAATTTTAACAAATTCTTACCCAACAATTCAATTTACACCGTTCTATTCCCTCTTGTCTTCACTATCCAATAACCATATGGACAGCTCAGTCAGATTACCATACTCTGCAACAAACGTCCCTTTCCCTCTCCCGACAGAAGCTGAAATTGAGAACGCACCGAATAGACTCTCGATTTGCAGTGTCCAACAATGAAAAGAGAGGCTTGACATGGCTAAATCTACATCTCTGGGAAGAAATAGGGGGATGCTGGCTTTGCCCTACATGAAGATGTGTCACCCGTTGAGAAGAGCGATTAGGGTAATTGATTTCACATGTCTTTGCTTCTCTGCCCACATTAAATACCCTCAAACCACTTGTGTGCCAACGCCTTGTGAGCAGTGATCCTCTTTTCTGGATCAAAATTTGTCATTGCATGGATAAAACTTTTTAAAATCATCATCAACACCCTTCCAAAGGGAAAACGGTCTGCGCGGGTTGTCTTTGTTGAAACCATCCCGAATTACTTCAAAAACGCGAACCCAGGGATTATCACCAAGGTATTTCAAAAACCCATTCAGTGCGTCTTCATCTGCAAAGTACGAGATTTGGCGCTCAATTACAATAGCCAAGGGATTCACACCTTCATCCAACTCCTCTTCCCCGACGGCAAAGATGACGCGTTTATGCATCGCATAGATACAGTATATAATAAGTGAGAATCCAAGAGTTTATAGGCGGGGAGATTTATGACAAACTTACGACAAGAGCAAAAGAGAAAATATCAGATGGCTTATTCACAGGTCCTTCGGCATGGGCTTCAGGACTCCTCCACATCCGGTTCCCCACCTGTTTTCCAATCATATGTGATCCGGGAGGGATATGCGCGGCATCTTCAAGATCCCCAAGTTGGACTCGATCAATAACGATTCCATCCCGGTCACCTTTCCAGTCGATAAAAACATTGACTGGCTTGATATCTACCCAGAATAAGTCACCACCCACCACTCTGCGAAATGTGTAACCTACCTGTATGGACAATATCTTGATCATGGAGTTCTGCAATTCCACAAAGAGCATGCTTGAGGATCTTCTTTTTCACTTTGAGAGGCAAGTCCTTCTGAGCAAGGTTTAGGAGATGATCCGTGTAGTACTCAAAAACGAACATTGACTTCTCAGGGATGGTGTCTTGGACGAGACGGACATGGTTAGCATCGCCGCGTAGCCTATTATATATCTCTTGAAGGTCCTCGTAATTAACCGTGTGAATATACTTCAATATGAACTTTCGGTCTCCAGCACTGAGGAAGTCGTGAGTACATAACCCTGAGGAGATGTAATCAGTGCCAACTCACGTAGCAAGGCAAACTCGCCGTGGGTGAAATTTCTCTTCCTGAAGCACCCGTTCAATCCTATAACTGTGACCAGACTGGCCGATGTACTCTCCAGAGTCTGCCAGGGCAGTTGACATGGTGTTTATTCTGCGATGAAGGGTGGTGTTTGGTAGTAAAGCCGGTCTGCAGTTGGGGAGGTTCCGCGTCGAGAGATATGCCCTGTTTCTGCAAGAGCGAACGGCCAGGAAAGAGAGTGAGCCCAATGACAGCAATGAGAGGCAACCAATTCGGAGAAGGTTGCTGTTGATATTCTAGCAATATCTGGACTGACCAAAGTTCCATTCCCAGCTAGTTAGCTAAAATTATGCTTCTTGTTCTATTAGATAAGCAGCACCCAACGCTTGCAGCAAGCGCTAGCCTCTTTCCGTTGAAAGCTTTGGATCAAATGAGCCAGTCCCCCCCCACGATGCTCATTTCTCGTATGAGATTATCGTTTGTTACCCTCCACTAGGATACGCTGAGCTAGGAGCTGATTTCAAATACTCATTCACTCCAGTTCCTTGTTCAGCAAGTCGTCCGAAAAATGCGGCACAGCACCTGAGGCAAAACTGCTGCCTGCAGCATGAAAAGTTATAAAGAGAAAGGATCTTCTTGTAGGTGCGCAGAAACGTCCATACAATCATTTTCTGCGATTCGGAATAACTGTCCAACTCACACAAACATCCTAAAGCATTGCTCATCCTTAAAAAACGAGCCCTAGCTCTTCGCGACGATGGCGGCGCGATACGTTTCAAGTCAGCTCTCATTCAGGCCATCCAGGAGGGCGGGAGAAGCATCGTGGTGGATTGTATCGATAAGACGACCGCTTGGAACTGTCCAGCAGGCGTTCCTGCTACTAGCGTCCGATCCGAATTTGCTCAAATCGTTGAAGAAAACATTGATTCTCTCCAGCCTACGACTGCCATAGTTGCAATGAAGTAAGCCACTTCGGTCTCTCTCCAGTAGAGCATGTTTTCCTTACCATCGAATCGGGGAATCCGAACACCAAAGTGACAAGGATAAGCGCACGCACTACACGGCCTTCGAGCTAGACAGCAATCGTAATGTTGTACGTACAACTCACCTCGTAGAGCAGAAATAGAATAGGAAAGTCAAGATCATCACAGGCCATAATCACTGGGTGGTTTCAGGGCTATGTACAAATGGCCAAAGGCTTAATTTCGGAGAGACTTGCAGCTGGCACTGTTGATTGAGCTGGCTCCGGTTCTTGCTCTTTTAGTATGCTTGGTCGAAGCCGGAGGATCCTCAACGCTGTCATTTGTGTGTGCAGAGCTCCACTGTGCAGCATCGTGGAACTCGCTTCATCAGACGTGGCTGATGTATCAGAGTCCTCCAGGATGGCAGTGGCTCCGAGGTTGCCTAACGTTCAGATGTAGGAGTTCGGATCGTGCTTGCGTGTGTCTCTCTCGTTTGCAGATTTGATAAACTCGTCCCTCCGTTCCCATTGCCCCATCCCGTGCATTTCGATACGCGAATGTGGGCAGGCAAGTCTCCATGCGTGGACATCAAACGCATCATCTGTAGTTCATGCAGATCCTAAAATATCTGTGGGTTATTTAGCCCAGAGATGATTCCGTGATAGACGAACCAGTGTCACCCAAGTAGTTGGAAATCCCCTAGATACTGTTCCGTGCATGCCTTTATGGCCAAACAGTTCGGAGTCGAAGAATGTCTAGCGACCCATATCAACTGTATTCTATAGATGGGTTTCTATGTTAATTTCTTAATGACGGTTTTTCTTCGCTACAAGAACTCCAACCAAGCAGGCGATATAGAGCCGCGATATGTCACGCGTACACGTTGTGGACTATGAGCGCGTGCCCCTGAAAATCTTCAACGCCATCCAGCGCATCCGGGCACGACGGGTGAGGGCACCAGAGCAGAGCATCGGGGTCAAAGTAGCGGAGGTGGCAATCTTGGACATGTCTTTGAAGGTGGTCGGGTCGTGAAAAGGAGAATATCCGCGCAGAGTGTGGCATCTCTGAGACAGAAAAGGCACTGAGTACCCGGACATGAGATGGGAAGGGTGTCCGCGTCAATGATGAGATCTGAATCCCCTCTGCGGTGTGTACAGCTCAACAGAACATGAGGATATTGAGCATGTGAGGTTTCCATTTCAGATGCAGGCTGTTACGCGGTGCCATAACCTGAATGCAAAGCACATCTTCAACCAAGTTGATGCCTCTTGCATCAAATGCATCATCAGCCAGTGCCAGGGCAAGGAAGTGGGAGACAGGACAAAGTGTGAGGTTGTTGTCTTGTTTGTGGAAAATATAGATTGTCCTGTCCAAGTGAGTTTTTTGAAGATAAATGCCAGACAGGTAGAGCTCATGGTTGTGACTTGTTTCACTTCCTCTTCATGAACATCAGAGATATTTCCATCACAAGTACATGCCAGTCCAGTTGATCTGGATTAGGAATCACACACAGCACAATATCCTTATAGCAGAGGGCATCATTGGAATCACAGAGACAACCGCTCTTGATGAGTGCTCTGAGCTGTGTCGAGGTGTAGATGATAAACAACATGAGCAATGGATTCTGCAGGGTATATCATTCATGAGTAACCGATGCTGTATTCAAACACCAGTGGTAGTGGAGAATGATCACAAGATCTTCCACACTCACTATCAGTTTGTAATTGACCAACAGATTCAAATTGTGCTCATCAGTCAGAGGACCCAGAATGAACTAATACTGAGAATTAGAAAAGAGAAGAATGATGTTTTGGGCTGGGGCTCTAACTCACTGATTAGTTCATTCATCAATTAATCCACCTTTTGACCTGTCTTTCTTTTATAGAGCAGTTGAAGGAATTTCCATTCAACTCAAATCATATTCTGTTTGATGATGTTGAAATTTTTCAATCTTCAATCAGCATAGACTCAGAAGTTCTCATTCACACATGCAGAAAGATGGGAGTGTGTGTCAACCCCCATAAATGAACAGTGTCTTTACAAGAGATGTCAGCAGATTCCACCATGGATCTGATATGCATGAGACTCACTGATCCCAGAAGTGCTGAACATGATTGATGGCAATAATTGTGGCATCAGCATATTTCTTGCCTGTGACCTGGAATTGAGCCAATCTGACAGTGTCTCTCACATGGTATTCATCTGGGGTGAGCTCCTCAACTATCTTCTTCCGGGCACATCAGCTCTCCTTGGTTTGGGTTTGGAGGGCTTCCATAAGCAAGTCCATTGGGAAAACATGTCATTCAGATAACAGTAAGAAGCGGAGAAAGTAACTAGCACAAGGAGACTGGAAAGGAGCAGTGTAAATAAGTGTGTGCGACGACAGTAGACAGTATCACTGAGTGAACGAAGGAAATGCTTCAAAAGGAGCGGAAGACATCGAATTTATACATTGTGAGGAGAAGAGATCACCGTCCTACAACGAGGACGAGCATCGATATAGCTTGTAGATACGACACCGCGACTATCGCTGTCTCTGAATATGTGTGGAAAATGGTTATTGACGAGATATATGTGGGGGGGTGTTACTGAAATAAAAGCGGCGTAGGTTTCACGTCACGTGGAAAGGATTGAGCTTAAAACAGCGACGAAAATAGGATGCTCTTAGTGGCCACACCCCATCTTACAGACTATAGAGGTAGTTACCGTTAAACATTGGCCTCACGTGCCAAAATTGGGCTGATTAAAAACAGCGTTGAAAAATGGGCTATTATAACCTTCGAGGTACTCCGTATGTATTCTCCAACCTCCAGCATATTTTTGTGAATGCTCCGGAAACTGATATATCCTATATCTTAATAGCCCATTGACACCGTATCGAGCTATGTCTTCGCAAGGTTTACTTTTTAGGCATTTATGCCGCCCTTATTGTTCCAATGCTATCCTTTCCCGGCCAATTCGGCTACCGCAAAACTCGACAATCAAAGCCTTGTACCCGACCCGATGTCTTGCGACGGGACGGGTAGTCCCCAGAATCGTGGAGCCTTCCATGTGGACCTCTCTGATTCCAAAATTCCTTCGAAACCGGGATTTGCGTGGAACACAAGCTGTGCCGCGGAAGTCTAGGGGCCCCAATGCGGCGACATTTTTTGTTGTTATGTTCACCCTTATCGGCTCCCAAGCCATCCGGATGGTCATGCTTCGGAATGAGTATAGGAATTACACCAGGAGTGCGGATGCGAAAATTAGGCTGCTGCAAGAGGTAATCGAACGACTCCAGAAAGGGGAAGATGTGGACGTTAAGAGATTATTGGGCACTGGGAATGAAGTGAAGGAGAGAGAATGGGAAGAAGGTAAGCATATCTCCTACGATGTAGTTATGAAAGACAATGCTGACCTATTCAATCCTTAATTAGTTCTAAAAGAAATTGAACAGGAAGAATCTCTATGGCATTCCAAGTCTAGAAAGACCACACATCGTGGAAATCCGCCCAAGTCCGAGATCGAGCCACCGGAGAGCGGGAAGAAGAATGGAACGACAGCATATCAACAAACCTCTGCCAATGACAGACCTCCTACTGAGCAAAGCAAGCGCCAGCCGCCGTCCAATTTCTACTGATCATTCCAGCATCAATCAATCCTCTTTGAAGGTGGATCACTTCGGCCTCGAATAATGCGGACCTTCACACCAAACCAATAAACCTCACAAACAATTGAACAAAAGACTTGAATTCTACGGAATGCGTTTCGCGGGGTCTCATCCGCCCCAGTGTCAGAATCCACGTTGCCGCATTGCTTTCGTTGTCTACGTGACCAATTGCTCTTATCTTCTGCAAATCCACCTGACCGGTCAAAATTAGGCTTGGTCAAGCCCCAATTTTCCGATCCGTCCATGGATGGAAACTCCACTTTCCACCCCTCTAGTTCCATTCTCCATTCTCATCTTCTTGAGCTCTTCTTCATGACTACGAATATACTCATTGGGCCCAGGAATCTTGGTTTTCCACACTTCGCAATCTACTGGGGTAGTAACCTTAGGCCTAAACCAGAAGCATATAACCGGCCATTTCCTCTCCCAGTTCCATGGAGTTGATGATGAAGAAACGTTGAATCCTTGCCCGTTTATACGGATTTCAGAGCACAATGAGAAGTGGATCGCGGATTTGGCAATCATGTCGGCTCCGCGTCCTTTGATAGTGCTTTCCACACGCCGAAACTACCGGGAAATGGGCACGGGGCACCGTTGCCTTTGATATATATACGTACAGTGACAGAAACATGGCGATATGGTAGGAAACGTTATAGCTATTTGGACGGGGGTGGGAATCCCTATGCGGGATAGATGATCAGTGTCTCAGGCCTCTGGCACAAGCAGCAATGTACTGTAACGTGTGAAGTTTGTGCCAAACCAATAATTTAGTCAGGTCTCGTCTCGCATCAACTTAACATGATTTCCCCTCGGAGGACTCCTCCGTCCACCTCGAGAGACCGAAGTATGGAAGGGCGATCTGCCCATGGCTTGCACAGGGGAGGCAGAGATTCGGAGAGAGAGGTTCAGGCATGTAGAACTCGACGGTGAAACAGATTCCATATATGAAAGTCCTGTACTGGAGGTGGATGAATTGGAGGTTCGGTGCAAGATTATCGAGCACAGTCGCTGTTTTGCGCAGGGTATCCAGAGCCTTCGAATCGGGAAAGCTCGCTGCGTCACAGATGTGATCAATGTAAATGTAAAAAAACATCCTTTGCTTCTCATGTCATGTATGATATTTCAAACTTAAAAAAAAAAAAAAAACGTGCCCGATGCCCATGTATGTCTCCTTCGCAGCGCAGCTTATATTGAAAATAAAATCTTAGAACCCGCACCATCGTACTTAAACAACAAAACACGAGTGACACACTTCCACACCCTCGATCCCCGAACTAAATTTCTCCCTCAATATCCTCCTCCCCCATCACCCCGGAACGAGCAGCTTGTTTAATGGACGCAGACCCCTCCCCCCCCCTCCTGATCGATATCCCCGGAGTCTCCAAGAACCAGCGCGTGGTGGAGAGTTATTCGCTGAGCTCTGCATTTTATGAAAGTTATTGGAGCGAGAGTAACCAAAGGGTCCATCCCTCCCTCCCCTCTTTTTTTTTTACAACGACACTGGGAAATCCCTTCCCTTCTTCCAATTAAAGAGCTAAAATCTGCATTGTATATGATCGCGGTTAGACAAATGCTAAATATTCATTATCTTTCCCTTTGGGTTAAGGCAACATAAGAGAATATAATTCGATTTTTGAAGCAAATATCCATTCATCCCGAAGTGCTGAGCGGGAACATCTGATAAAAACAGTAGAATGGCGATTAGACAAGATCCTTTAGCTAGCTAATTAATACAAGGATTTTGAAAAAAAAAAAAAATAAAAATAAACAAATAAAATAAATAAAAAACATGAAGAAATCTAATCTAGTCTTGGTCTTAATATTACAAAATTGTAAAGTATGGGCAAGGTAGTTAGTTGCAAGATCCGGAGGGAGAAAGGGGGCTGCTGTGTCGGACATTCTCTCATTCAATACCTCTATAGTCACCGTCTTTTTTTCCTTTTCTTTTTTCTTTTTTTATTTTTATTTTTTTGGGGGTTTGGGGGGGGGGGGGGGGGGGGGGGTGGAAGGGAAGTAATTAGTAGAAAAAGAACAAGGCCAAAAGAAAATAAAAGAAAAGGTGAAGAAAAACACAACAACGCAGAAAACCACCGTGTGCATAGATAGCAGGTAGAGATGCATAGCTGAATTAAATGAGACAAAAAGAGGCAAGAGGTATAAAAATGAACCCAAGAAACCAAGGAAGATTTCAGGGGTAAAAAAAGGAAATGCCAGCCAAAAAATGAGATCAATAAATGTTCGTTAAGAAGGGGGGTGGTCGGATAGTACGGAGAAAGAAAGGGGTCTGAGGACGAAGAAGGGACGGTGGAAGGATTCAATCCGAAATATTCAACTCCAAGGGGTTGGCGGGAAAGTGGCGCAAACGAGAGAACAAAGGGGGGGGAGTTCGCATGATGGAGACATGATATAGGATAAGGATAACTCGGTCGTGGTTATATCCACTGATACGGCTCTGCTCGAAGATGACATAAAAATCAGACCCGGGTTGGGCGACGGATGGAGACGTCTCGCGGGCGGCCAGGCCAGAGAGAGATGCATAGAGCCCTACCGAAACATCACTGCATTGTCGAAAAGGGCAACAGCCAGAGCAGCAAACACGCTTGCTACTCGCAGACAATCATGAAGCTCGAAAAAACAAAAACATAGCGGAGGCACAGAGACCAGAGAGAGAACATTGGAGCCGTATGCGGGTATGTATATGCTCGTCTGCACTCACGCACCACCAGACAAGCCCGCGCCCCGGGGGAACTTGATCTTCCCAAAATTCTCATCAAGATCCAAAATAAGCTTCAACGCATTTCTCGACCGTATATACGGCAAAGGCGCGGTGGCCCGCTGACCCAACCCGGGCTCCACACTTCCAATAGTCGTCCTAGCCTCCTCCCCATGCCTGCTTCCAGGAAGCGGAAGCCATTTCTGCAGAACCTCATAGGAGGCCAGCGTGAAGCCGAACTGCGGTGATGAGCGGAGGATACGTGCAGGGCCCCCCTTGAAGAAGGCGCGGAACCCTTCTTCTTTCATGATTGTGCTGGCGCAGTGGCTGAGGGAGGTGTATTTCGTCTCGCCCTTGCGGGCTTCTACTTGTAGTCTTGTCTTGATGACGTCGCAGGGTGTTGTGAGGTAGGCTGCCGGCATGCCTGCAATGGCGCCGGCGGTTAGCAGATGGAGGACGCTGAGTTTTTTGGTTGGCGATTCGCCGAAGAAGTCGGATTTCAGGTGCGCGTAGGTTGGGAAGTAGATGGCGGAGAAGGGGACTGGGCGACATATTCGTCAGAGTGCATTTTCTATGTGATGTACAGTTGTTCAGTGGAAATGCAATGAATGGCTTACCATCGCGAAGCAAACAGGCGCTGGCTCCTTTGTACAATCCCATCAACCCCAGATTCTTGACGATCCACATGGCTGATCGACGTGGTGCACCCTCAACGCTCTTGGCGATCTCCCCCTGAACTTGTAACCGGATCTTCACAATCTCAAGGGGGTTTGTGAAAACCTTATGGATGGAATTAGCATCGACGAAGAACCGTTTAAGAAACAACATATATATATATATTGGTGAGTCTGCGAGTGCGCGCTTGACATACCACTTGACATCCACCAGCCATACCACCCGCAAAAATCTCCCAGGGCAACGCAACCTTACCCGTCTTGTCCGTCGCCGACCCACGAACCAGGTCATTGACCGTAAGCTTGATAGCTTTTTCAGGGGCAACACCAATCAGTTGCGGTATGACACCGGAATAAAGTCCCAGAATACCTTCGTTCCGAATGACCTTCCTCGCGCAATCGAGAGAATTCCTATACAACTTCTCACCAACACGAGCACTTCTTTGATTCTGCATTCTTGTCTTAACGAGATCGATGGGATAGACCATAAAGGCGCCGAAGGCACCTGCAATGCTGCCCAGGCCGAAATGATGCACCGATTCCAGGATGCTTTGCACCACCTGCTTTGATTTCGTAGCTGCTTTATCTGCTGCTTGCGAAACGCCTTGGATGGCCGCCTCGCCAAGCGCGGTGGTAGTGTGCCACGACGCATCAACAACTTTGGCAAAGTCGTTTAACGAGAGTTTCCCGGACGGTGCATCAAGGCCCGCAAAGTGGAAGAGAATATCAGCTTCCATGGGTGTGAAGAGGGAAAAGCGCGTGACGCGCGCAGCCTCGTTGAGGAAATCGGAACGGGAGATTTTGCCATCTGCGCTCTTGCTGATGGCGCTACGGATGATAAAATCGATCATGTCCATTTCTCTAATTATATTCTGAAAGGCGCGAACGTTGGCATACGAGATCTTACTCCCCTCGCTGATGGTGCATAGGGAAGGGAGGTTTTCTAGCAAATGGTCAGAGAGTTTGTGTTTGGCAGTCTTCAATATGATACGCTGGAAATCTTCGGGCTCTATGTAGCCATCACCATCCCGGTCGAAAAGGTGAAATGCTTGTCGTATTCGCTCGCCCTGAAGGCCACGAAGCATCTGGGCGAATTGGGGGTATGTCATGTCATGTTTCTTCTTCTTCCGTCCCGTGTACAGCGATGCCCATTCGGAGTTCCAGTCAAAAGGAATGGTGTCGTCCCCCTTGGTCAGGTTGTAAAACTTCTGGAATGCATCGTATTTGACAGTCCCTGTTCCCTCCACGTCAAACAAACGAAAGGCAATCTCATATTCAGCATCGGGTTTGGCAATCAGGGTCTCAAAGGCGATCCAGTCTTGGAGATTGACCTTTCCCGTCCTCCGTCGATCCGCGACTCTGAATAGGATACCATATTGTTCGCGTTTAATTTTGTGCTAAAGAAGTAAGCAAAAGGGTTAGAAGGGCGATCCGCTGGTAGTTGCCAATGAGATCCATGGATGACTCATAGAAGGGGAAACTCACATAGTCCTCATGTGCTGGAGCAACGGCATTGATGAAATCCTCCTCATTCATGTACCGCTCTCCGGTTTCACTGTCTGTCCTGGCATGACGCTGGAAATGCGGCTTGATCTGACTGGTCACGGCCAGGCCAGAGTCAGTAGCGAAGGCCACAGCAACTGAATCCCTTACACTCTCCTTAATACCAGCCATGATAAAAGATAGGGCGGGTTTGACAAAACCGCAACGACACGGCTGCTACTAAGCTAAGCTATCCAAGTGAGCGCGGAATTCGCATATATCGCGAAACAAAAAAATAAATATAAATAAAAATATATATATATATATATATATAAAAATATATATAAAAAACGACCGGATTCTCCACGATCCCAAAGCCACGACTCCAAGGGACGTAACGAAGGCTAGACTGGCAATATGAAGAATATGGAGCTGTCCAGAGAGGGGATAAATATTAACGGAAGAAGAGAAGAAGCAGCAGCAGCAGCAGCAGCAGCAGCAGCCTAAGAAGGGATTAAAAAAAATTTTACCAAAATAGAAACACAAAGAGAAAAATTCAAGACAAAAAATCACCGGCAAATATTCATAATAATAACAATGATATGCACAAGTGAATGTGAGTGTGCCGTGATGATAAGAAAGAAAGAAAGAGATCGAGATTGAGTGAAAGGGGGAACGAGAGAGCGAGAGAGCGAGAGAGCAAAAAGCCGGTGAAGCGGTTTTCTGGCAGTTGGAAGTGGAGAGCGGATGCAAGTTGTCTGGTTTTGCTGGATACGCAAATTAATTAATTAATTATTTTTTTTTTTTTCTGCCCTTGGCGGTCTGCGGCCAATAATAGCCGACGGCCGAAGTCAGGTGCGATTCTGCGGCAATTCTGCCGGTGACGACCGCCGCTGACTGAGGCCGATCGGGAGCAGAGTCTTGGCGCAACCATTTTGCGTTCAGGCAGAACATGAACAATGTGGTTGGTCCTTTGGCGGGGTGCCTGAGACCTTTGGGGCGGCGCCTAGTTGGAACCCGCATCTCCCAAGGTTGCCTCTCCCCCGGCCATCCCGCGGAACGGCGAAAGCGGGTGCAGCAGAACACGGGACAGCACGATCAATGTACGCGGCAATGTGGAGAGAAAGAGAAACTTGTGAGCGATGCGTTGGGCCGGGCCATTCAACATCGTTGTTGTTGTTCCCGTTGCCGCAATTGTGCCCAGGGGGGGTGGGGCCTTTGGTCGATGGAAAGCGGGTAACTGGACTAACTAGCTGTGTACCTAACTTTGGAACAAACAGAACAGTGATCAGGAACCCAGTCAGCTTCAACGATTGCACGTTTCAGGGCATAAACTTTGGTTCCGGCAAAAAGCTTCACGGTACCCTACGAGGTTTCTATTATTGGTTTCGGGGGCCCGGTTCTCGTTAATTTGTGCGTTGCTGATATTTTGTTGCAATAATAATGACATTGAGAATTTGAATGGAAATCCACACTCTCTTTTCCACCAGATCAGGATTGGATCCTTGTTGCGCCGTTATCGGGATGGCATAAGCAGCACAAAGCACAAGCAGATCTCTGATCCCTCGTTATTTTTCTGATTTATTTATCATAAGTTTATGCATGTGGTTGACATTTTCGATATAATTTTTTTTTTGTTAATTTTTTAATTTTTAATTTTTAATTTTTTTTTTTAATTTTTAATTTAATTTATTTATATCCCCAGATGCTCCCTGTTTGGTTTTAAAGATTTGTCCTAGCGATGGGCTTCTGGTGTTTATACCCATTTAGCCCCTCTACATTCCAAACGAATCTATCTAATCTGACGCCTGCCTGCGACACGCAGGTAGGCAAACCCCCAACATGCGTTGATCGGAGAAAAGTCCGAAACTCGGCATGCTGCCTGTGTCCCCTAGCTTGTTCCCGCAGGATAAGTGGTGACATATATACATATATATATATATAGTTATATCTCCGCCGTCCCAAGTTACCAGATCCGAAACGTTCCTAGATTCGGAATCGGATCCATGTGTTGTCTATATGGGATGGATAGGGCGGTTGATGTTTCGCTTAACTTTCCGGAATGATAACCCGAATGTAGGTTTGGGCTTCCTTCCTTCTTTTTGATTTTGTTTTGCAGCTGAGAATGATAAAGACTCAGAGCATATGGGATGGGAGAATTGGGATCTTCTCCTAGGAACTTCCTTTTGGAAAGGGGATATAGAGAAGGATTTCTACGAATCCAACCACTGGGAAAGTATATTGCTCTATTTAGTTTAGCGTCAGGGCACCAAACTTATCGCAGGTTTGGTTCCAAGTGCAATAAATAATATTAGTATTTAACATTGATTTATTTGTATCTTTCTATTATCCCATTAAATTTTATTCCACTTACCGCATCTGTTATATCATAGAAGTGATGGTCATCGATCCCCATCTGCGCCCTGGCAAACAGTGTTGTTACAATGAATAGGGTTCATCATTACATTGTCATTAGTTGTAGAGAACTGGAAATATACAGGAGAAATTTGCTGCAGTGCCTCCCAGGATATAAAGCCTGCTTCCCCCGGGCCCTTATGGCTCGCCAATCCGCAACCGCAGTCTTTCAAGTATAGTCTTTTACTCTTATTGGGAGCTAGGAAGAAATGAGCAATTCGATCCTCTGCCTGAATCACAGGTTCTGGTGTGATGGTGATAAATGGCCTGACATGAACTACGTTCTGTGGGGAAGGTTTTGGGGGGGAGCGGTGTAAGGAAACGCTCCATCCAAGGTAGCTTCACGCAGGGATTCCCATGTGAGAAAAATTGATATTTCGCCTCCCATTATCGTCGAGAACCATGCAAATAGACTCCGTGGAAAAATTTTAGCTATTGATGCCTCTTTGCTCCTCAAGGATAAGGCTTAAAATGCTGGATAGATAGGCGGTGGTGGCACGGCATGTGGGGAAGATGCATAATCGCATTTTTTGGCCTCAGAAGTAAGTAACTACATGTTCTGTATGTACATACATACCATGTTCTCTTTCGTGCTGGTCATGTAGCGTCCCTAAGATCCTGAAATCAATGAGGGGTGGGAGATCCCAATTCAATTGAACCAACATCGCGATATCTCCCCCCGGCAATGTTTATATTGTCACCTTGATCCATGCAAGTCAAGAAAGACCGTGCATCGGGCATCCAGGGCCCGGTGATATCAATCCCACTAAGGTCCTGGGATTTGTAGCGGGGCAGCTGGGTGGTTACCCAGCCATGCAAACCACCCGGCTCTTCAATGACCATCCCCCGCAGAGGGTTGAGCAAATAATTGGATGGTGGTTGGGAAGCCATCAGATGAAGAGATGAGACGAGCAACTTCAGCTTGTCTGTGAAATAGCACACACTACACAGCTAGTTGACACCGAATCATTCATCTCTAGACCGTTTTTTTTTCATACATTTTGTGGTTCTTGGCTTCATTCTTTCCCGCACCTGCTCATTTAGTTCGTGCTGGCTGTATGTTGGCCCATCAAGGCTGTTCCAGAATATAAGGCTGGATAGAGGGGAAATCTCGCATCTGTCATCACCAACCCACCACAATGAAGAACGCTGGAAGGTTTGTGCCACAGCAACGGCAGAGATTGGGTGATGCATTCTGATGATGGTTAAGAGTGGTTAGTGGACGAGTGCAGAGAGATGTGATGTCGACGTGCGGGCGTGCGTTGGGTTGGGCGCTTCCCCCCGCTATTGAGTGGCCCATAAGAGCGGTCAATTGGCCAAGATCGGAGGTGTCCGAGTTGCTTGTTCAAGGTTTTCAAGGATTTGGGAGTGGCCAGCGATCGACCAACCACCGCATTTTGCCTCCCCCTTCTGTCCTTTGCCCGGCATCCTGGACACCCCGAGTCCCTGAACCCCCCCCCCACCTTAGCATTATATAGCCGCTGATGTTTCCTCCTCTCTCCCGCCAACTTTGGATTTCCTCGCTTTCTTCTGCAGTCTCCGGTTTCGATTTCAACTCTTCTTTTCTCTCTTTCACTCACACACTCTCTCACTCACTCTCTCTCTCTCCCTTCTCTTCGCTTTTTATTCCCTCCCCCCAATATTCCTAATCTTTTTATTCTAATTTGCACTGATTGGCTGGCCCCAATCATCTCGCGTTCTAAATATTTATTTTTATCCTCCATTAATGCTCATCTTTATGCGCTCTGATACATCATCGAACCTCCCAGTTTATTTTCAGTAACAGCTTCGCTGTCTTGACTCTATTCTCTTGTGGCAAGCAAACCTCCAAATCGGCCCATACTATCTGAAGAAGAGCCATCATATATTACTATATCCATCCCCGACTCTATTAACAATAATCTTACTATCAACATCAAAAGCTTTCACCCACATTAAAAATAAATATGTATGCTGCTCGTGCCGCTAAGCCTAAGCTCTCTCTGAGCATTGCTGCCACCACTACCTCGAACACATCCCGCCCGGTTCTATCCCTCAAGTCCCCAGTTGCCATGTCCATGCCTCGGACACCACTCTCTCCGTCTCCTCTGAGTCCAACTGCCCGCAATACCAAGCTCAACCAGCGCGGGTTTTCCTCTATGTCACAGCAACCAACCTTGGCATATGCAAACCCTACCTCCTCAAGAGGCATCCTCAAGAAGTCCAACAGCTCGTCATGCAGCGGTGCTTCCTCCAAGAGAATCCAGTTCAACGTCGAGCCCACCGTCCACTGTGTCACTCCCATCGAGAACACGGATGACTATTACGGTGGCTATGTGAAGATGACAAGAGACGAACGACGATGGATGCTCCGTTCTTAAATGAAATCCCAATCGAATACCGCGATTTGTAAAAACTATACATGAATGATTCTACTGTGTATCATCCATCTGAGGTTTATTTTATTTCCCCGATGGAGAACAATCCGATCTTCCCACTATTTCTGCCTTCAGTGTTTGTCTTATGTCTAACCTATGACGCTGGGGGAGGAATGCATGCTCGGATGTAACCCTCACGCTTTTTAAGACTCCTTCGCTCGATTCAAAAACCAAAAAGCAACCCGTAATTGTACTCGATAACTCTTTCAACTGAGCAACCAACTGAGCAACTGATGCAGAATACTACTACAGGATTCGCGTCCGGGGGAGAGGTGTTTGGGGTTTACTTTGTTTGATAGACCGTGGGTGTGTGCATTAGGGGAGTCGGGGAATGCAGTACAGCTACAATTTTATGACCAAAAAGGGGGAACTATAAAAAAAAAAATATGGCCATGCAGATTTTTCGGATATGAACTTTATACGCCCAGTTTAACGACTTTATATGATTCTTTTATTTTAAATAATAAGTTTTCAATGTTTCCTTTTAAACACGGTGCTCTTAATCCTTGGAATCTGTCTCTTCACTTTCAATTTCTCTCTCTCTCCCTGCATGTATGTAGGCCGTTGGCAATGCCTATTTAAATACTCAGAAACCAACTGGTCTTGGTTCTGATATTAGCAGTTCCGCAGTTCTGCAGTTCTGCAATTCTTTCCTGTCCGTGTGCCCTTCTCCCCTGGATCCTCGGACGTAAGAATCAACAAGACGGATGCTCTCGATTTCCCGAGTCGCACTTTATATACATTCCATTCCGATAGAAAACTCACGTGATCAGCTCGTTTCTGTGGCCTTTATGCAACCGTAGAACGTTGGGATTGAAACCAAACCTGGTAGTTTAGCTCTCAGGAAACGGTTAAAACAGACAGACTATCACAAAACTTTACGGGTTTGATAATAATCGATGACTTTTGGTGTGGTTGCGTAGGCCTTGGGCTAAATACTAACTACCCATGTGTATGAACCTGTTCTGCCCGAGGATTGGTTCCTGCGGCCCAGACCTAAAATTTTTGGGGCGAACAAGCCATTGTGCTCTGGTCGATTGATTAAGATACTTGTACCTGGGTTAACTCGAGACCACCGCTGTTTTCTTCTTGCCTACGGCTTTTGTAGTCCATCCCCTCTCGCTGCACAGTCAATGTTTTCAACCCGACAGGCACTGCGTGGACTATGCTGTCATCGTTTTTGGCCTCAAAACCCAATCTCTGGCCAGCGACATCTGCTCACTCTCGCTATCGAATCTTCATGGTATGTTACATGGGTATAGTCCCTTGAACCATTGGACTGCCAGGGGTCGTTTTGCTAATATGCCTTTTGTGATGGATCAAATTTAGCGATGATACTTCAGTGGCCATTATCGAGAAGCATGGCGTCTCGTCACCATCGCGTTCATCCATCCTTTTTTTGGAAAACATAACCGCCGATTCCAGGAAATATCAGGGAATCCACCCCGCCGTGGCACTAGATTCTCACCAGGCAAACACGGCAAAGCTGGTCAATAAAGCTCTAGCACATCTCCCTCTAGCTCAATTTCCAAGCGCAAACGATGTAGGGCGCGTAATCTGCCTTCCTTCATCCGCGACTGATGGAATCACGCCGCACTTACGTAGAAAGCCGGACTTTATCTCAGTGACAAGAGGTCCGGGTATGCGGTCGAATCTATCTGTTGGATTGGATACGGCAAAGGGCCTTTCGGTAGCCTGGCAGGTTCCAATCGTGGGTGTGCACCACATGCAAGCCCATCTTCTCACACCCAGATTGGCAGCTTCTCTCCAACAGCAACAACTGCAGAGCAGCGAGAACAGCTCCGCATTCAGGAACAGTCCAAGCTTCCCGTTCATGTCAATTCTTGTCTCAGGTGGTCACACCCTGCTTGTGCACTCCAAGTCGATTGTGGATCATGAGATTCTCGCTTCCACGTCTGACAGTGCGATTGGAGATGCTCTCGATAAAACTGCTAGAATGCTGCTGCCGCAGTCATTCTTGGCAAAGTCAACTACTACAATGTATGGCAAAATGCTGGAGGAGTTTGCATTCCCCAATGGCCCGAGCGATTACGCTGACTATCGACCTCCGGCAACACGAGGGGAGGAACTCGTCAAGCTGAAGAGTGAACGGTGGGGGTGGTCATTCGGCATGCCGTTTGCAGAAAACAGACGGATGGAGTTTAGCTTTTCCGGGGTTACGACGCGGGCTCGGGATATTTACTTGAACAGAAGGAAGCAGTGGGAGGCTGCTGGTAATAGCGGGGAGGGGTTCATGTCGAATGACGAACGAATCGAATTTGCCCGTGCCTTCATGACGGTTTGCTTCGGTCATTTGGCGTCTCGAACAATCATTGCTCTGCAGGAGTTGCGTCGACAGCAGCAACAGCAACAGCAACAGCAACAGCAACAGGAAAGAGAAAATCAAAGCCCACCAGCTGAGGATATCCAGTCGCTTATCATTAGTGGCGGGGTTGGCGCAAATCAGTTTTTGAAGAAATTATTCCGCTCGTATCTCGATATTCGCGGATTTCCGCATGTCGATGTCATTGCCCCTCCGCCTTACCTTTGCACCGACAATGCCGCAATGATAGGATGGGCTGGAATTGAAATGTTTGAAGCCGGATGGCGATCTGATCTTCGATGTCGGCCCCTACGAAAGTGGACACTTGATGCCCGGGCTGGGGATGGTGGGATATTGGGCCCGGATGATTGGCTAAACATCAGCTCACTTGCAGAGAAACCATGACGGGGGATGCATTCAGAATAAAATATGGTATTATGAATCCCCCTTTTTCCCCCTGTTTATTGCCCTTTGGCTCCAACTGAAATGACACTGAGGAGTAGAAAACTGTAACAGAAAGTTGAGGAAAGAAGAAGAAATAGAAGACGAAGAAAATTACATCAAGGAACCACAAACATAAACATGCAAATTAGAACAGGAAGTCATCCAAGCATACAACAGAAGGAAAAGGAAGGGTGCTATGAAAAGAACATGAATGCAATGATAACGCCCACCTCTCACGCATACTCCTTTGTCATGACCCTCATATGTTATTTTATCTTGGACAGCAGAGCAGCTCCATGATAGTTCCACATATATGCATTATGCCTAAAGTGATAACCCAATTAAGGAAACTGTTTAAACAAATGGCAGACCCGATGCAAAGTTTATTAAGATGATTTAAGAAAGAAAAATCGTCACGGATAGGAATCCCTTCAAACTATCCTCACATGGCCTATCCGATTTACCTCGTTGCAGTACAGTCAATTGACGTAACCTTCAGCGGATAAGGTTAGGGATTCGAAGCTTTTCTTCGTCATGACTCTCATGACTTCCGCGACTCTCGTTATCGGAGCTTAGTCTCCTAATCGAGCTGTGTGTTGGCATGGGAAGGAGGTTTCTCTGGCCGCGTGTCAGACACTATTGGATACCAGAATTAGTGTTGCTCTTAGGCCTCTCTTTGTCGAGTTACAACACGGAAAGGTAGCTGAAGTGAACAGTGTGGTTGTCCCAAGGAGTAGGAAGATAAGGGATGACCTTACAATCTTTTCTACATCTTCCCAGTTTTCTCCCGCCGCCTCCGCTAGCGGCCGCCAAATATCCCGCCGCATTTGGTGATAGTGCCTTGTGACCTTCTCGACACGCTCATCTTCCCACTCGGAACCCCGACGCTTTGCAACGAGTCGTTCATGCCTCTTTCGACACGCGTTGGGACTCTTCGAATGGAAATTTTCCTTTTGGATCTGACTCCAGCCGTGGCCTAGCGCACGAGCGGACATGAGAACCTTATCGTCATGCGGCGACCATGGAACCGATGGGCTGCTAGATGCGGAGGGAGTGGTGGGGGATAGAGGTGCTGCGCAGTCTTGCACGACCCGACGATCGAACATGGAGAAACGTGGTGGCGGCATGGAGCTGGGGGAAGTTTGATGATGTTCCCACGCTGGCGGCGGGCGACGTGCTGTCGCTCCCACTGCCGCAGCAGGTGTTCGCGATGGGTTCGTTTTGGTGTTCGACATCATCGGTCTCGTTTTTGGGTCAGGGTAGGGTCTGGATCTTTTGGATCCTCGCAGGGATGTCTGTTTCGGCATTTCAGTTTGTATAACGCGCACCTAAAGGAAATGCAGAGAATCCGTGGCTTCAACTTCGGGGACGGGCGAGGGGACTGCCAGTGTACACGCTCCGAGGGAATGTCGGTGTCAAACAGGTCGTGGAACAGTGGTCGACAATGTATTTATACATGAACAAAAATAGAACGATGATCTCTCGACTCTGCTCAGATCCGGCGAATGTGTATTTTTTTGTCCCGATGGGAGGGAGAGGAGATAGCGGGTATTGAGGAAGGGGAGAAGAGGTATGCTTTGGGTAAAATAAACGACTGGTGGCACAGGAGATATATATTGTGAGGATGCGCCAAAAAAAAAAAAAAAGCAAGTGGAGGCCAGAGAAAATAATGACAAGGAAACGAACAAGAGACTAAACAGACAGACTGTTCAGCCCACTTGAAAGGCCTATAGAGGAATCCTAACAGCGTTCGCAGATCTAAGCAGTGATGAGCAACAGCCGTGCTTTCCCTGGTGCCTGTCTGCGGCTTTCTGTGTCTTTTTCTCTCTTATATTTTCCTTTCTTTCCTTGTTGAGTGTCTGGATTGGTTGTGGAATGTATGCATGTGTGGGTGTGTGGGTGTGTCCGTGCGAGTGGCCTCCGGGATACTTATGAGATCCTAGCAAGGCTGTCTCACAGGCATGTACCATCCACCAAATCTCTGGAAACAATAAAAGATGGGGAAAAACAAGAAACAAAACACGAAACAAATTTTGAAAAAGGAAAATAAAAGGCAAATACTAACCTTTTGAGAGAATCAGATAAACAGCAACTTTGACCTGGATATAGGCGCCTTTGCCCCAGCCTTTCTTGGCCTTGTTCTCTTCTCTCCCTTTATTTTGTTGTTCCGTTTCGTTTTAGGAGGGGGTCCCACGCAGGGTGATGTTTCGGCGCACGATAAACAACCGCAAACACCGGAGAGGGAATGAGGGAGAGGGGAGTGGACAGGAGGGCGCAGGATTGGTATGTGGTATGCGATACCTGCACGATTACACGATATGCGGGGAGAGCGATAAATACAAGACCCTTGGATGGAACGAGGCCAACGGAGGAAACGGACAATTAAATAATTATGCTAAAAAAAAATGATAGGTAGGTAGTTCTCGGGGGATATGTGTAATCCGTTTCGGCGTACCAAAATCCAGGGGGGAGTAAAAAGAAACAAAATAATATAAAAAATTTAAAATATACCAAGGAAGCCAATGCAGCACAAGATTCGAAACATAGGAGAACATGCGAGAGGGCGGAGTGTATAAAAAAGGGGAGGGAGGGAGGGAGTGGGGTGAGCGAGGGAATGAGTGGAAAGCAATGCCCATATAACAATCCTAGTGGGTAACAAAGCTACATGGGAAGGGGGCACAGGGCTGCGGTTCTTATATGAACTCACATTGCAGGTAGGAGAAATTGAGCTTTTTGGATTTTTGATGATCTATTCTACGACCCGGGGGGGGGGGGGGGGGGGTTTAGACAACTCATCGGCGCAAATCAAATATCCTTGGAAGAATGAAACGGTTGGTAAACGGTTTTGGTCCGTTCCTCTGGTAGAAGCTGTGGAATTTATCACCGAACCATGGAACTGCAGTTTTACGATTCATTCTCTTCTTTCTTTTCCCATCTGGCTTTGCATTTTTCTTTTTTGAAATTTTGTTTACTCCCCTTCCCCTCCCTCTCATCCCCGTAAGTCTATTTTGAGGCCAGTTTGGGGTCATTGGGTGGTTATGGGTGGTTGTACCAGAGAGCGCTTCGGGGGAGGGAGAGATGGAGATATATCGTTACAGAAAACTAGACAGGTTAACTACGCGGTAACGGACCGGTCCGTGCTAGAGCGGGTAAGGAGTGGGAAGGTCGGTCAGTCCTGGGCCAGATTCCAGAGACAGGGGTGAACAGAGGCAAGGAATGACGCAGGGGTTGACCAGCATTGTGTCATGGGGAGCTGGGAATAGAGTGGGTAGATAGAAGCGCTGAGGGAGGGGAGGGGGCCCGCTCTGCTTCTACAAACTAATAGGCAGACAGGGCGTTTAGAAACCGATGGCGGTGGTCTTGATGGTGGCCTGCCCTCGGTCGTCTCCACTTCTCGAGAACAGAGAGGAAATTCATTGGATCATGGTGATTGGGGGAGAGGCCGCTGGAGGCTGCAGAGCGGCGGCTCCGTTTAAAGCAACGCGGGCTCGAATTGGGGGACATATGATGGGAGCGCTTAAATTCTTGTTGAGGGATCAACTAGATTTAGGGGCTAGTTGCTATAGATATTTAATAGCTATCCCTGTCTTTTGCCCCTTTGTGTGCGAAAATACGGATATCGTCCTTTTTGTCCTCTGTATGATTCTTTAAATAGATCTGGAGGGGGAAGCGTTTAAATTTACTCCAGTTCAAGATCAAAGAGCATAGAGACGACCTCTCTGCAGATATGCATGGGAAAAGTTCCCGCACAGCGTGTGTTGTTTCCGTGCAAGGATCTTCGTGGGCGTTTAACTAGAACCCGCACGCGACGTCCTTTGGCTTCTAAATATACCCGGGTAGAAGGGTAGTTACAGGGTGTTTCCCCGGATAGGTAAAAAGAGGAGATGATCTTTTCTGTCAGTCACCGTGCACTGCCGTGGAGGGGGGCCAGATGGAAGACGGTGACCTTGTATCCCGGACCTGACGGGCACAGCGCAAGATTGATGTTGAAGGCTTCAAGAGTTTTACCATGCGCACTTGGGTAACTACGACATGGCTATGGGGAATAATGGGACCGAGGGGAGAGGGGCGCCAAAGGGGGCGGGCCCCCTGGCTCAGTTGCAGCGATGGTAACGTAAAATGGACCGTATTTTCTTTTTCACTTTCGCTCTCAAAGTCTGGATCGTTGGAAAACCACTTGATGGGGAGTATTGTTTTGTTGCTTGTGCTTGGGGCAAGCTGTTGACAATTTTCCTGCGACGTGTGCAAGAGTGTATTCTCGTCTTTTCGCAGGAGGCCTGAGCTTCCTCCATTTTATCCTTCATCTCTCTTGTTTCAGGATCCCTGATTAATTAGGTCAATATACTATTTCCTTGTGTTGGATTTTCGCTTAGGCTTTGGCCTTGTCCAGTTAAGGTTCCAGCAACTTGACCCGAAGGTGACTCGCTGTTCTTTGATCTTTCTTTGGTCTCCATCCAAACCACAGGTTCCAGGCTGGTCGTTGTCAAGGGATTTAAGTTGCCGCACGGCCCGTGGAGTTCCACCTCGGCCGCCCAATGGAGTGCGACTTTAGCCGCCGGCGTCGATTAGCTGGATTATCCTGGGGCATGCGACAGTCCATCGTGGGCGCCGTTTCAGGATAACAATAAGGATGTCCTTTTGCATTTTGCGAGGATACATGCACCCTCTTTGAGGCTTTTGTCACTTTTGAGAATTTTTTATTTTGATTTTCATTTCGTTTCATTTCATTTCAATTTTTTTTTTTTTTTGGAAAATAATCTATTGGAGGCATGGTATTGGAGATTGAATTTTGCTTTCTCGATTTGCCAGCGCGGCTATCTCAGCCCCGTGGAACCGTCCGCTCTCCATGGATGTAGGGTCAGACAGTGAAACTGGGCATTTTCCTTTTCGTCGCACGGAGTCCATCATGTCTGCTTTGTAACCTTTTATGCGGTGATAATCTGGTCCCGAGATATTAATAGATTTCTTATGTTGTTCGATTGAAGCGTATATCCATTAATAGACTCACAATGATTGGTTCCTCCCTGGGTTCTCTGGAGACGATCTTCACCACTCTGACAGCAGTTGTCTATTTACGGGCGCTAAGCCTGCAAAATGAGATTTTTGTTGCCAGAATTTGAGGTCTTGTTGGAGTTCCGGCCGCGTAGTTGACCGATGACAAGTAGTTTAGTGTTTTACGATTTGAGTGTTGGGCGAGCTTTTTAAGTTTACTTTGTCATAGCGATTAAAATTAATACACAGTATTCCACCCTTAGCCCCAACATCGTGCATTTGCTAATCAAAAGCATGTGTTCGATGGTGATGTTTACATATTCTGGTGATGGTGGAAAAGAAAAACCCCATGTGTATTGAGAGTGATGTTTATCAAAAGTAAAGTTGGAAGAAAGTGCCACACATACTGTGTAAATTGATTAACGAGTTACGGTCTATGAAATGTAGTGCATAACATGCAGTGCATAATCCATATTTTGAATAGATCAATGTGGACTTAAAAATTGGAAACTATGTTGGTTTTAGGAACGGTTATGAATATAAGAACCGATAGCGATTTGCATGCATGTATTCAATCAGGGATTCAGGTTCAGTTCATTGGTGATACAGTGCCCGGGTGCTATGGCTGCATGGCACATGCTGGAGTTTGAGCTGAACCATGTAATGTGCGCGCAAGGGCCGTGCCACTGCCGGGAGGCGACACGCCAGAGTTAATGAAAAATGCAATGGACACTGCAACATGGCCGGTCGTTTCCGTGCTTTATTTTAAAAATAAAAGGAAGGAAACATTGCAGCCCATCTTCACCTTGAGCAACGTGCGACTGATGGTACCCGGTAGCCTGATCAAGTGGGAAAGAGAGACATAGCGGAAACCACCAAACGAGTTTTGACGCCACATTGACTGTAATTGAGGCACCTGAAAAACTTTTGTTTGTTCAACTGGGCATATCAGACTAACCGCTATCCGTGAAGCTTAGTAAGAAATCTGACCACTCCTAGCGAAATGAACGAAATAGAGCCACAGATGGCGCAGAAGGAACCGTTTAGTCCAAGAACTATCATCAGCCGCCCGCAGCGTTGTTACCACCCTGCCGTAAGGCTGACACTTGCTTTCGAAGCTCGAGGAAGAAATCCTTGCCATTAGTCATACAGTTTGCTATTCTTTATCAGAAACGGGCCTCATTATCATTGTAATCGTCAGTGGAAGGGATGGAACGTACGTCTCGCACCCCAGGGGCCACTTGCCCGGGAATTATTCGCATCCTTGCCGACGGGTTTATAAACGAACGGTGCTGGTCAAATTAAACGTAATGAGCTTTGTCCTATACGGACGGAGTGAAACAGGAATATAGATTTCCTTTTGTCTGGGAAAGAGAGAAAGGAGAAAATCACACCTCGCGAGCCGACACTTTGACATCCTATAAGATTGTGAGTAAATTCCAGCCCACATAAATATCCCCAATATTTCAGGGATTGTATAAGACACGGAAAAAAAAAGGAGATACCTTGTTTGAGCGCGTCTTTCGACTCCGCAGCGTTGAAGAATCTTACGGGGACATGCTGTTCCTGAGGAGGTCCCTCAGGCCCCGCAGCTCCCCCAGGGCCCCCATGCGGCGGGCCCCAGGAATTAGTCGCATTTGCATGGTTGCCATAGCCCCGGTGCACGTGGCGGTCATGTTGATGGGAGCCCATCGACCGGTCACGCATGTTTCCGCCCTGGTGTCGCTGTCCGGACTGGCGATTCTGGTCAAACCCCCGTCCGCCGCCTCTCCACCTGGCAGGAAAGCTTTTCTGTTAACAAACCCAGATTCCCGTGAAATTCGTAAAGGGAAACAGATGTACGTATACATACCGATCATCACCTGCACCGCTCATTGTGGCACTGCAGCTCGTTGAGAGAATGCGTCTGTCAGCCCTTGGAGATGCAGAGTCTCAGCCAGGAGCAAACAATCGGCTTGTTTATAAACTTAGATATCTAGTTAACTAACTAGGGGCAGGTTTCGGACCTTATTATGTAACCCACGACGAGCTGTTGACGGTGCCAAGAAGTCAGGTGGTGGATGTAACCGGAAAAGGGAAAGTCGGCCCTGAGACGGCAATAACTTCGTGGAACCCAAACCAACGTCGATGAGCAGATGAACATAAATAACTACTACGGCAAACAACCCTTGGATGCAGCATCAAAGGCTGCAGAACTCGTCGTAGCTTGGGCGTCGATATCTTCTTAATGCCTAGATCCTCCAGCTCTGACGGCGGGTTGGTATTTGTGTGCTGAGTTATGAGCTTTTCACCCACCACTTTCACCCGCTCCTTTGCAACAAAACCACGGCAACCCTAATTTCAGATTTCAAAAAGGCAAATTCTGCTGGTAATTTTCCCAAGCCAGCTATCACTAGAATGGCACTATTGTCTGCCTCGAAGCGGAGATCGTCTAATCCCAGGACTCCCCGCCCTCAACCAAAATCCCTCAAAGCTACCGAAGGCGTGAACCAATCGACAAAGAGCGAGCCTCCTCCGAAAAAAAGGCGGTATATCCCGGGTGGACCCGGGGGTGGAGGAAGATATGTTGAAGTTGATGGGACTGCAACACCTGCTAGAACAATAACGGATGCAGTTTCTCCGAACCACACCGCTCCTCGAGTTCGATCTGTCCGTGAACCCTCTAATAATAATAATATCATGCGACGGGCAGCCCAGCCTACCACTCCCCCGGCCTCTACTCGCCCCAGGCGCCAGAAGAACCAGAGCCGAAGGTTCAGCTCTGCTGCTGCAGCTGCACTTGCGGTCGCACAGGGTGATGGCTACAAACCTAGAGAGGAGAGAGGATGGGAGGAATTCCACCCAGACCTTGATATTGATGCGAAAATCGCCGTTTTTAGCTCTGATGAAGTTGATGGAATCAAACCAAGCTCTACCCTACCCAATGGCACCACGACCAACGGAACTGATGAAAGTTGGAACAACAGTACTCTCAAGCCATTGACGAATGGATCAACTCCTGTAAAACGACGACCAGGGCGACCTCGACTAAGTGAGAGTTTGCTGATCGATCTCGGAACCCCTACTGCACTTAAAATTGTTCCCCCTCCCGGACCTAATCCCCGCGAGAGACTTACCCTTCCAAAACCGTCATTTGTTCTTAAGGATCCTTTTCTTCCTTTCGAACGAAAGGGTGTTGGACAGCAAAACTATGTTGACCGCACCATGGCGAGTGTTGGCTATCAGGAAAGTGATATTTTCCTGCGCCATGAGCGGCGATTGATCCGTATGGCGGAGGGTGCGGCAGAAGGAGATCTGGATTTAAGCCCGCAGCCTGTCGTTGATGGCGACGTCAATGCTGCTCTTGGAAATATTGGTGTTGGCAGGGTTGAGTACGACATGGATGAACAGGACGCAAAATGGCTCGAAACATATAACGCACAAAGGAGGGAAGAGCAGTTTGAACCCATAAAACCTGCTGTTTTCGAGATTACCATGACGAAAATCGAAAAGGAATGGCATGCCCTAGAAAAGCGAATACCAAAGCCAAACCCCAAACCACCGCAAACGCAACGCCCTCGTTCCAGCTCTGCTGCTGCCGTCAATGGAGAACATGCTAGTTCCGGTGAAGAACAGGATAGCAAGTGTGCAGTATGCGATGACGGTGACTGCGAGAATTCCAACGCGATAGTCTTCTGCGATGGATGCGATCTCGCCGTTCACCAAGAATGCTATGGCGTCCCTTATATTCCCGAAGGCCAATGGCTCTGCCGGAAATGCCAACTTATTGGCCGGGGATCCCCATCGTGCATCTTCTGCCCAAATACAGAAGGCGCATTTAAGCAAACTAACACCTCAAAGTGGTCACACTTACTTTGTGCAGTTTGGATCCCTGAAGTTTCGATCGGGAACTTATCGTTAATGGAGCCTGTAAACGAGGTTGAGAAAGTCCCCCGAAATCGTTGGAAACTTACATGCTATATCTGCCGGCAGAAAATGGGAGCATGCATCCAATGTAGCAACAAAAACTGTTTTGTTGCGTTCCACGTTACGTGCGCGAGACGTGCTCGTCTATATTTGAAAATGAAATTAATCCCGGGAGCTCCGGCGGTCATGGAATCGAACGGACTAAAAGCTTTTTGCGACAAGCATGTCCCGCCGGATTGGAGGAGAGAGCACAACACGGACGCTGCAACAGCTGAGGCCTTGGAATATTATCGCAATACGATGCAGGGCCGAAGATGGGGCGACAGTCAAGCAGCGGCGTTGGCCCTAGGTCCAGAGTCTCAGGCCGGAATGGATCCTGCTGAAGATGATAACAGAGCAATTAACCAACGGATTACTCTTACTGTTGGCGGAAACAAACGCAAACGCGCAACTGCCCCGAAGACGATTTGGAAGCTCCCGTCTGGTGCGCCGGTCATCCCCCAAATCGTGTTGAACAATGTCATCGCGTCTCTACAACGTTTTACCGTCCGGCAAAGAAAGCAATATGCCGAAGACGCCTGCAAGTATTGGACGTTAAAACGAGAATCCCGTCGGGGAGCAGCTTTGCTTAAAAGACTCCAGCTGCAGCTGGAAACTTTCTCGTCAATGGAAATGACCAGACGCAACTTTGCGGGCATGGGAGTTGCGGGTGCTGTTCGACTACAGCGACGGATAGGGTTTGCCGATAAGCTCTACTTAGATCTTGATAGGGTTAGGATGCTGTGCGATGAGGTGAAGAAACGAGAACGGGAAAAGCTGAAGGACGCGGAGATTCTACGAAGTATTATTGATTTGGTGTATTTTCCGATCCCCCCCATGCTCTGGCCAATACTTGACAAGGCATTTGCGTACGTATTTGCTGCTTCAGCCCTAAAAAAAGAAAATTTTTTGTTGTTGCTACTAACAACTTAACAAATAGGCTTGATGGGAAAGGTATTTTTCGCCGCGGTCTGCTATCCATCCGCTCAAAACTGGTGCAACGGGTCTACACATCCGTCTCATCCTTTTCTCGCGATCTTGCCAACGTTTTCACGTCTGAAATTGGAGTAGAATCTGTAGGCGATACAGCCGAGCTGCAGATGCAGATCAGTGGACGGGCGCCAGAGCTTAGCTTGGAGCAGCGGGAAAAGAGAAAGCTTGCAAAGCGGATCATCAAGGCGATACAGCCTGCTTTGGAAGATTCGCTTAAGAAGGAGAGCGAGTTGAATGGAAAGCCGTTTGAGAAGGAGCTGAAGGATTTGGATGTCCTGTTGGAAAGCAGTGTTCTTTCGCGGAGGGCCTCGCTTGTAGCTTCGTCCGGTGAAGCAACACACGACCTTGGGGGGCCAGTGCAGCGCCCCTTGGTAAATGGGATAAAAAATGATGTTGAGGATGATCGGAAGGAGGTATCTGAGGTCGATGCGACGCTTCTTGTTCAACAACTCGCCACGATAGACAACGCTGAGCATACCAACGGAGACAACGATATCACGATGGTCGATGTGAACGGAGAAATGGACGATGGACACCATGACACCAAGGAAGCGTCAGTTTCGAAAAGCAGTGTTACTCCTGCAGCAGATCTAACAGCCAATTCCCCAAGCACTCCATCTATGGAAGGGCAAGCTAGGCACGAACACTCCGCCCCCCCATCTCATGAAATCCAAATGGCAAACTTGGCATCGCCCTCAGATACACAGGAAAGCAAAAACCTACCGCCTCTATCTCAGGGCGGTATTCAGTGGTATATGCAACCGTTCGATCCAGTCAGGGACCACTATATACGAGGAGAGATGGACTGGTCGGGAGATCTAAGAGAGAGACGCAAGGCTCCTCACGAAATGCCCGAGGCCGACTTTCGGCTTCGGTCGGGGAAAAGCCCCTCGAATTTGTTCCGGACCACCCTAATGGGGTGGTGGCGCTTGGAACAGAAGCGCTTTTGGCGGGGGCCCCTTTGAATTTCACTCCCTGGGGCCCTTTGAACCGAAAACCCCCAAGCCGCGGAGACGGTGGAGGGGGTTTAAGTGAAGGAAAGAGGGGGGGGGGGGGGGGGGGTGGAAAGGGATCTTATTGGAACACAACTGGTTTTGCTCTTTTACCTCTGACTTCTACAACGTGTTATATCTTCTCTTTCTTTCTCTTCTTCTTTGTCCTCGGTACTACAGTTTTGTTCACCTTACATTTTGTTTCACATACCCACAGATTACAACTATTTTACGGCGCGTGGATGATGGATAGATTGCGGCAACTGTTATTACATAAGAGAGGCTAGTTATCGGATTTTAGTCCATCAGATCGGGGAGGGATTTACCTCGGTACAAGAACCGGACTCTAGGAAATTTAGAGTGTATTATTTTGGAGCCAATCCTGTAGTTATCTTCCTAAAAGAATTGGAATCCACCCCGTAGAACTACTGCAGAAAAGATCCGATTAAATGGAGATAACTGAATTATTTCCTTCTGTGGTCATAGACTCCACTGCCAGGTCCACCACCCAGCTTTATGAAGTTCCCTGCTCCAGTCCCACCTTGGCTATGTAAGTCTTCGTTTTTGCTTCTGGTGCATCGTAGTATTTATTTAGCTACGCAGACGTTTTGTGTTTTTTTTTGCTCCTTTGCTTTTTGTATGAGGTGTTTTTTGCCGAGCGTCATTGCTCTTTTGGGACTGGAATCACGGGGCTTTTTGTAGCCCGGGCTAGTTTTAATTAGGCCAAGCGCGGCTCCCTATCGCCGCCATCAACGCTAGTATTTTGTTCCTTTGTCTTCTGGACAACTCTTCTTTTTCATCTTCCTCACAACCCTCCAACTCCTCCCACCCAACCTCACCTTCGGCCTCGCCCTCAATCAACACACCACTACTGCCATCAGTGCGGACTACCTTGCTCTGACCTTTGTTATCCTTTAGAATACCGTGTCTCTTTTCCGTTTTCTTCTTAGGAGGTTATTTTCTTTTGCGTTTCAATACTCTCTCTCTCTCTCTCTCTCTCTGCCCTTGACAGACACCCAAGCTGTGCAACCTTGGTGGAATTCGGTCCCATCCATCTCGACGACTTTCTCCCGCTTAACTTGCTCTGTGTCTTGTCGTCCCTAAATCTCCCTGCGAGTTAATGGCTACCATGGAGTACGAGGCTGAAAATGGTCGCTTTGACGGTACGTATCGGTGCACGCGGATTCTTGGAAGGGCTGATGGGCTAACTTCTATTGTACTCCTAAGACGAAGCTAGATTTGATCGCGACCGCAGCGCCTCTCCCAGAGGCAATGCGAGAGGGGGAGCTCGAAACCGAAGCGTGTCTCCAAGCAATGGCCGTGGCGAGATGCGGTGAGCTCTAGCATGACTGATGTTTTTGACGGCTCTGGAAGGAACCTCCATCTAATTAGTGATATAGCGTATCCCAAAACGATAGGGCGATGAAAGGAAATGACGACGATGAGGGAAGTGTCAACACTGGCTCGAATCTTTTCGTTACAGGCATTCACCCACGCCTTACCGAATCGGACGTATCACGTCTTTTCGAGAAATATGGCGATGTGGAAAATTGTTCCATCATGCTTGACCCCCACACAAAGGAGTCGCGTGGTTTTGGCTTCGTGAAGATGGTCACCGCAGAGCAGGCAGACGCTGCAAAGGAAGGCCTTCAAGGCGAAGTTATTGAGGGGAGAACTCTCAGTATCGAGAAGGCACGTCGTGGCCGTCCACGAACGCCAACTCCAGGAAAATATTTTGGTCCACCCAAACGTGGAACTTCTTGTATGTGTGATTGTTGCAAACCTTCCCCCGTACCGTGCTTGGCAAAGATAGCATTGAACCAACCTGTAACATAGTTGCCCGTGGCCCACCCCGTGGCGGCCGTTATGATCGTTACGATGATCGTCGAGGAGGGTACGGTGGTGGTGGACGTCGGCAGGATGACAGTTATCGCCACGGTCGTTATGATTCGTACAACGAACGTAGTCGGGACTATGGTCGCCGCGAGTTCCGCGACGAGCCCTCATATCGCGGCATCGATCGCTACGCGACCTCAGGACGCGAAGATAGATATGAACGTCGTGGTGGCGGTGGTGCTGCTGACGACCGTCGTGGGGATGATCGCCGTGCATACTATGATCGCGATGATGCTCGTGCACATCACTCTGCCGCGTTTGGTGAAGGCGCACCGCCTCCTCGTGAATCTCGTGAGCCGTATGGTGGGCGTTCGTACGAAGGCCGTGGTGGCGATGTCAGATATGCTTCGAGATAGGTAGGTGTAAGGGACTAAGAAGACTTTCAGTTCGCGAGCTGGCCCCACCGCCATCGATCGTGTTCCTGACTGCTTGCTTGTTCCTCGGCGGTCTTTCTTTCTCCTTTGTATTTTTCTATTCCTTTTTTTCCTTCCTGTATTCGACGAATGGTTTTAGTCACTACTCTCAGTTGAGGGTAAAACTCGACAGTTACGGCGGCGCTTCTATATTTTATCTCCCAGAAAAGTCAACCCTTCGCTCATGCATGGTTTGTCGGCGAATTCAGAAAGCTTTCGTGCAACCTCTGCGACTGGCATCAACTCCAGACTTCCCTGGAGTTGAGACCTGTCTGTCTGGTTGTAATTTTTCCCTTTAATTATCGTACGGATATCGGAAATTGGCGACGGATGAAAGAAAAAAAAAAGAAAAAAAAAAAAAAGAACAAAAAGAAAACAAATGTCTACCTACCTGTAATACCCTCGGTTTTTCTTGTGGTCAGCACTCTACTTCAATTTCAGCTATGGTCGTTATCGCTAGTCAACTTTATTCGCCGTATCGCGTCTCTTCAGCTTCGGTTCACGACTATCCCAAGTTCGCCTTAAGAGGAGAAAGTGATACCAACTCAAAATTCCAAATTGCCTCACAAAATTGCTTTCCGTTCCGCGTCTCAGAAAACAAAAACTTCTTGGAGTCCGGCACAAACTCAGCCATAATCTGGCCATGCTCGTGTTTGTAGTGTGTCGCCAATTTTCTTGGGTTCGGTTTGCTCATTATAATCAACTGGACCAACATTCCAATCTTCTTCCGCTGTAAAGATTTCCTTTCGTGTGGAGCGATCCTGTCTCCCTCAGTCTACCTTACTTGATCAAATACCACATTTTTGACAACCTCTCTTCAACTGTTCAGCCAACTACAACAGTATAGAGAGACTTTATCATATAGAACCGCTATCCTTCTCGCTCATCCCGGTCTTTGTTTCATCCTTATGGCTCCAGGAAATTAAAGGACCGAATTTTACAATTACGAAACTTGGTAAGTTGGCAACTTGATGGACGTCTCGCTAATTTCTATCCGTGTCTTGTTTTGGATCTAGTCAACGTGAGTTGTATTATCAGTCTCTGGTGCCTATGGTCACGTCACTATTTGCATCGCCCGATTTAAATAAATTCGCGCATCGCTATGCTTAAACCTGCACATAACGGTATCACTTCTGCTCATTTCTATCGCTTTCTCACTTGTTAGAAGAGCGCATGCTGGTTATTACCTTTAACCACCGTTCTGTGTATAATGTTGAATATTTGCCACAACTAAACTTCAACAGCGTCCAAGGTGGAGGGAAACGCCAAACGAAATTCAAACGTGTAGAGATAGACAGCGGAAGCCCCTTATTGAACAGGAAGGGGTTTGCATTAGCGAACAGCTTGAATGAACAACTCCAGGTCTCTCGGGCGGGCTGCTAAACCTTTTAGGTCTTATAGCCGTGTTATTGAAATTTGATATTTTGATCTCAAGCGACGATGAGGAGAGATTGGATTTGAGCCTCCGCCTAAAGTCGATATGGGTTGGTGTTTGCTACTCAACATAGCTGCTGCTCTGCATTCTAAATACAGCACTCCTGAGGATTCCTAAGATACACACGATTGGCAGTCTTTACTTCCATAGAAGGGAGTATTGGATTTCATAAATGTAACGTCATGATTAACAAACAATGCGTAGATTCAAATATCAATGCCAAACCTAAGCTGTTACTCTGTGTACCTACGCCTCTCCAACTGTGAAATATTTTCCCTTGACGCCTTTCTCTTCCGGATATTTTCTATTTTGAGTCCGATAAAATAAACTTGCCCGAATGCCATTAGTAAACCAAACAAAAGAATGGACCGGAGAGGGAATCTGACTTGCGGAGGAGAAAGGAGGACCAGGAGTACATCCAGATGTGCGCACATAGGCATTACGCACACCTACGCCATAAGATACATATCCAAAGAAGCACCGCATCCAGCATAGCATCCATTTCCAAGCGCAGCGCATGATATAGTGTAATAGACATAGTATAATACACCCCCGGCATCGCAGTGCGCATGGATAAATGATCCATCCATCCATCCATCCATCCATCCTCATTTTTTCCCCCAATCATTCCCCAACTTCACTGCTCTTCTGCAGCAGATATTCCCCTAGTACACGGAGGGGATTCGAGGGTCTACGGGGGAGATAATAATTTTGGCATAATGGATTAGTCCGCAGCGTATCGGATTGTACGAGGTGCGCGGATTATAGCTTGGAAAACTCACTGCTCCTTCGCAAGCGTCTTCATCCCCTCCAACAGATACGGCACGATCTTTTCATTCATGTAAACCCGCGCTGGAGCACCGCCGGGTCGAACCTGCGATATCGAGGCTGCAGGCACATTGCCGGTGTCCATATTGATGTCATTTGAGGAGGTGGCAGGGGCGGCAGTAATCGTGGGAGGTGGCTGTTGTTGTTGTTGTTGTTGCTGCTGCTGCTGCTGCTGCTGGCTATTGTTACCCAGCCCGCCTCCGGACATTGTGACGTGCTTTTCGTCTGGGTTTCGGTGGATGGCGGCGTCAGTGGTGGTGCTGGTAGAGGGGAGGGCGACGGGCTGCTGTGAAGGATGTAGAGGGTGGACAGCTTCTTCAGGGAAGTGTTGCGAGGGCTACGATTTAAATAAATAAATATTATGTGTTATGGTGGAGAGGTTTCCATTAGCTTCTTGTTTGCTTGCGTCAGGGAGCTCTGTTTGGAGAGTTGGCTGTGAATGTATCGTGTTCACAGAGCGTGGAGAAAAATACAAGCCGACAACAGTGATGAGTAAATGTGCAAGCTGGAAGAATATATCTCAAGAGGCCGCTGACTTCTCCCGTCTCAAAATATGTAGGAAACTCGGGCTTGCACGTACAGAATCTATGTTCCTCATGGTGGTGGTTGTGCGCCAGGCTTGGAGTGGAGTGGTATCTTTGGTTGGCGGCGGAGCGAGAGCGGCGGGTTGGGCGAAAGCAGATCAGACTGACCAGGAATGGGGAAGTGAGTCTTTCGAAATCCCGCAGCAAGATACCAGGCACTTGCACTGCTTGGACCAAGGACTTCGATGTTCTCGTCCGTATATTCGCTGCCGCAATCCCGCAGAAGTTGGGAGGAATCTGAGAAGGGTTGAGTTGTTGATTGCAGACAATGCAAAACACTACGTCCTCAGCACGTGACAACGTGTCCACATATTGCCCAGTCGCGTTTGCCTGGTTTTGTTCGGACGTTGGCAGTTTGGCAGTTGGTTGTGAAAAGGCAGTCAACAGACAGTGTCAATCTTTCTGTTCTCTGCTGCCCTGTTGGTGGATGGCCGGAAGAGCGCAGTGGCCGTTTGATTCCAAAAAGCAGAAGAAGCATGATGGTATCAATTTAGGTACTTTTACATGCCCCCCCGTTTGCTTTTCTCGAGCAGGCCAAGAATATGCCTCTTCTTCCGTTCGTTGGAACTCTCTCCTCCTTCGAATTTCTTTCTCGATATCAATATGCTCGAGGAGATGGGACCACCGCTGAAGCGGTTGAGAGGATCAGGGAGTCCTGGCAGTTTGTCTTCCTACCCAGAAGCTCTGGCTCTGAAAGGGAATATGTCTCCTGGAGAGGAGGTTGGAGATCATAATAATAATGATCAGCTCGCCAATGAAGACGATTCGGAAGAACGAGTTTCGAGCACACAAACAGAGCTAGAGATTTCTCTCCCCCCGGTAAAAACAGACCAAGAAGCGATCGAGGAATACGAGGCTTCGAGAGGGAGAGTCCAGGAACGGATCATCGGAAGCGAGGGGCCGGGTTTACACCGCCGTTATGAAGAACGAGAATGGGTGAAAGGCAAAAGCTCCATATATGTAGATGCGTTCAATCTGGCATTGGAAAGCGTTTTGGCGGACGAAAACCATCTGTTCGACGAAGCGGAAATGGAAGTGTTTAAACATTGGAAGGGATTATGCTATGAATCACAGTATTTGTATGTCTGTCTGGCGTTGCAATGCAAACCCTCGCCGACATCCAGCCATTTTGGATGGTATAGTGGGTTATTAATGTTCAGGTAGATATGTACGTTTATTCCTGCGCAAAACGTCGGCATGGCATCGTGTCAACCGCCTAGGTTACTACCAAGATATTGCGGATATGTCTGCCGCCGTGAGGGATTTGAGACTGAAAAGGACACTCCCAATCCCATCCAACCCCCTTCAGTCTTCGATTTCAGCGGAACTGGAACCCCCTGAGAATATAATTCTTGGCGGAAGTTTCCAGTTCGCTGAAGGATTAGAACAGATAACTACGCTCGAAGAAGCGTCCTCTTTACTCCTTTTGGAAGAATTAAAATCTTTCTCAAAGGATGCTAAAGTTCAGGGGAAAACTAAAAGGGAACTTTTGAAGGGATTGCAGGAGTCTAGCATCACGCAAGGAGGGCTTGAGTGGGCTCAGCAACCAAAATCAGACGATGGAACATCCAGCGACTCTGACCTAAGTCAGACCAACATGTCATTAACAAAGGTGATGACACGAGATATGCATTTTACCAAAAAGATCTTGGAGCACACAGGTGACTGTGTTAGACTCTCCTCTGCACCCCTGAAACTCTTCGAACGGGTCCATTTACTTTTCTACCGGTCGACAGAATGGACAGAGAAGTCCCTCACAACTATTATCCTAGCAAAGATTTCGCGGAAAAACTACCCAAACTATATCGTCTCGAGGTCCAATTCCATATTCCCCTCAAGAGCCGCATTGCTCGAGTTCGAGGCCGCCTTGCGAGTCCAGTTTGATATCGATAATACCCTAGAATCTACCAATCTACCGATTACGGACAAATTAACCATTATTAAATCGCTCTCAAAGAGCGTATACGGAAGATGGAAGGCGCTGGTCGCTGAAGAACAACGCAGGGAAGAGCGGGTGTACGAGACTGGAGAGGGCGCGTATCTACGCCGCTTCTCTCCCGCCTGGGTGTACACTCGCATCATTCATAAAGGCTTGTATGCCTTGGGTCGTTTCAAAGAGTATACACGGGAGCATGAGCTGTTGACGGAACTGCTTGACCAGCGATTGTTTCATGCTGCTCGTCGAGGAGCGTGGTATCAGCGCAAAGCTCTACTTGAAGAACACTATATGTGGTCTTTGGCCCCCTTTGACAACCGCCCCGAAGATGCACAGAGGAGGAATTGGAAACGTAGAGCTCTTCGAACCTGCGAAGAGGGCCTTGAGGATCCCGATTGCCACTTGATATACCACTATGATTTACAGAAGCGGATTACAAAGTTGGAAAAGTCGCTCAAGGTCGCAAAGCGCGAACAACATGATTTTGGACATGTTATGTTGGTTAAGCCAGAGGAGCGGGTGGTGGAAGGGATTCGGATTGAAAGGGAGATACCCATTAGACCTAGTTCCAAGAACAATTTAAGCTCTGCCTCTCGGAGAGGCAGAGCTACGGTTTGGGTAGATGAGCGGGAAGGCGGGGGAGAATGTAGAGTGGAAAGCATGTGCTTAAGTTGGTATAGGGACAACGGGTGGAAGGGCTTCCATTGCGAGAGCGGCATTGTGCGCACATTGGTAAGCGAAACATTCATCCAATGCAGAATAATAATGCAGAATTTCTTACCCCCCCTATTTATTTTCTCTGAAGTTCGGATACCTCTTCTACGACGTCCTGTTCACCTACGTCCCCAACGTCTTCCAGACCCCATTCCAAACTTGCCCGTTGGACCTCCACACCGACTCCTTCTATACCACCCGGGCCTCGGAAATCAATTACAGACTCGCCCAGATCGCCAACGGCAAAGCCGAGCAGCTAATTCGTGAGGTGCACGATCGCGAAGCAGCGAAAGAAACTTGTGCCATTGGCATAGATTGGTCTTTCGAGCTGGCTGACCTGGTTGAGATTGTGCAATGTTTCCGCGGCGAGGCGCTGGCTACTGTCTGCAAAGTGATGGCTCAGGAGTATCAGCAACGGGGCGGTGGCATTCCGGACTTGTTCCTGTGGAGTCTGGAGAGGAAGGAGGTTATGTTTGTGGAGGTCAAGTCGGAGAATGATCGCTTGAGTGATACACAGCGATTGTGGATCCATGTCCTTACTGGTGCTGGGGTTAGAGTTGAGCTGTGTAATGCTGTTGCCAGAGAGGTCAGGGTTGAAGGTTCTGGGGTTTGATTTGGATTGGAAAGCTGCTGGTCTATGTGTTGGATCTATATCAATTGACTCCACAACGCCAATATTATGTCCGGGAAGTCAAACAGTACGACATACTCAGATGTACATTGACGTATTCAGAACCCGCTTGTGAAAATAAATAAATAAAAACCCTTAAAAGGGAGAAGACCGTTGATCAGAAATGCAGAAATGGAGTGGAAGCAGCATCAAAAGGTATCTTGAGGTTAATATTGGTTGACCTCGAAAGCGTCAATTCATCTCAATGTTTCTCATAACTACTAAGTATAGTCAAACAATGCCATGTGGACCGCCTGATATTATGCTCTCAGACATCCAACCCTTCCAAACCCACCACTTCTTGAAATATCTCGACGAATGGTATTGATCGTTTCATGTTTAAGGGTTGTGATTGTTCGTGCTTCACTTATGCGACAAGGGTGCTGGCAGTGGCGCTCTCGTATCTCCAGGTAGGTGGGAGGACACCAACGGACTTGTAGTAGCGGGACAGACGGTGGATACGGGACTCGATGAGAATGAGGCGGAACTTGCTGTCCTTGTCCTTGCGGTTGCGCTCGAGATGCTTGCGGACAGCCACAGCCTAATCGGTGTTGATTAGCGAAAGGACAAGACTGAAAAAGAGATCGGACAAATAAGGTAATAATACGGAACACAGAAAAACATGTACTATTATGCCCGTGAAAAAAGGAGAACTTGGGGAAACTCTGTGAGGTAATTACCTTCTTGATCAGCATGTAGAGGTCCTCTGGGATTTCGGGAGCGAGGCCTGTTCATGTTGCAAAAAAGTCTCTCTGTCAGCCAATTGAATGACCAAGCAGAGGCAGTGCTGATTTGACATCACTATGTCAAGAAATGATAGGGCGGATGTATGAGATAGGTGAAGCCGGAAGAGCGTTGCATCGCGCGGAATGAGAAAAAAAGTGCTCTTCTCTCAAAAGGTCTCCGCTTGATTTATCGCCAAGCTCCCGTTTTCCACTTCTTTCTCTCATCCCACAGCTATCATCTGGGGAATTGTTACTGGATATGACTTCGTACCGTTCGCTTTGAGGATCCGGAGGATCTTGTTACCTATAGCATCACCAATTGTTAATCGTATCATCCCAATATTGGTCCCTAAACTTCACATTCGCTTCCAGACATACCAGTGACAACCTTGACCTGGGCGATTCCGTGGCTATCTCGCAGGATAACACCAATCTGAGAGGGGGTAGCACCCTTCTTTGCCAGCTTGCATATCTGGTCAACGACCTGTTCTGGCGTGGTTTTCAACCATGACGGAGGATTGCGCGAGTATGGGATCGCCGAGGAAGCGATACCCTTTCCCTTGCTGTGCAGGCGGCCCATTTTGAAGTCGTTGAGGGAGGTCGAAGGAAATCGTTCCTTTTATTTTTCCTTTGTTGGCGGCAAGGACGGAGTTGTTGACCGAATTCTCTTCATCCAACAAGAAATAAAAAGTTCGTCTCGTTCAACTGAGGTAGAATGTGGATCATGTGACTTCGCTTAGTTTTTTAAATTGACTAACCTATTTGGACTTAGCGAACTATGAGCCGCATATGGAAGTTTAACCTTATCTTTCCTTCTACCAAACCCAATCTCACGGTGCAGAGATACAACCTCTTGACAAGATTATTTATTCTATCAGTGGTATTTTACTTGGAATCCGCGATTTATTTATTCGCTTATGTGGGCCGCATATGGAGAACAAAACGAGGCTTATCGAGGCTTATGACAAAATGTCATTCAATTCATAACGTCAAGACTGGCCCTTTAGCAAACCAAGCAGGTCAAAAGAAGTTGGTAACTAGTACTCAGGTACAGTCTCCTGCATGCCTCCTACCAATCTGCCACCCAAATGATCAAAGCCGTTTGAATTATTGCTAGCTTACGTTGCAATTACGGGAGGTTGGGGTGGACAGAGAAAACGTAAACTTCATCCAGACAGACTGCCGTAGTAACGAGCATATAATGTGTCGTTTGGGTCTTCCGTGACCCATGACTAGTTATAAGAGACCAGGAAACTATCGAAATACAAGCCCGCTAGGCAGGTTAAATTGAATGCAAATTGATCCATCCTGACAGTTTAGGGGCATAACCCGTCAAGTTATCGTCCCACCGCTCCATACCAGCATAAGCCCAAAACACCTCCCGTAACGATAGCAACAGCCGGAGGAATCCTAAACCACGAATTTCCGGAATATGAGATGGCTGCTACAACCAACCAAAATGGCTCCTTCCCCAGGCTTTGCCCAGCGACAGAATTGGCGCTTAGATACCCAATTTCCCAGAGCCGATACACAGCCGTAAATACTAAACCCACTGCTGTAGCATTGATACCTCTCAGGAAACTGGTAGTTAAAGGTATCGTTCGAATGCTTCTCCAAATGCTTTGGAAGCCCACTGCAAGCGTGAGACCGGGGAAGAATATACCCAAAAATCCCAAGACAGCACCCAGGATGGTGGGATGCGGAGAGGGTGCTAATGCAAGCGCACCCAGATAAACCGCAAAGTTGAAATTCGGTCCTGGGAAGGCCTGGATAATGGCAAGGCCGATTAGGAAATCTCGGGGGGACACCCAGCCAGGTTCGACGACGTATTCTCGGAGAAGCGGGATAACGACAGGGCCACCTCCAAAGATCACAGTGCCCGCAAGGTACATGTTAGCAAACAGATTCAATTCTAACGGCGGTTTATCTAAAACGCCGCGTGCAACGAGTATTGCGATGAAGGAAACTGGTGATTTGTCAGTACCATACGCTAGATATCATCAAAAATGCGTCGATAGAAATCATACTAAAGAAGCCGGCAATTATCACAAGTCCCCATATGACAGGAATTTTGTGAGACCGCGCATCTACGCTGGCAGCTCGGTGCGTTTCCCCTTCATTAGGAGCATTGGAGGCACCAGAATCAATAGGCGCAGGGGATACAATGGCAGTGCCAGTGGGAACAGATCGTTTCTGCATCCCGCCTGTGGACTGACGCTCTTCCGGTATATTGGTTAAATGTGCACTATTCTCTTCCACCTCCCGCTGGGGGTCTTTGTTTCCACGGCGAAAGTTTCTTTTCATTTTCGCGACCTTTTGACGACCAAATAGATCCCAGCCGCTAGTGCAAGTTCCTCCGATCACCATGAGCATAGGGAAGTACCAAAGTGCATTATAGCAAAGGCCCGCGCATCCGCCCATGATAACCAGGATCCTAGTTAACGGATCTTTGATCGCTTTTTCTGCCAACTACGGCCATTAATTTATTGCTCAGCAATCGTAAGCAAGGCAGGTTAATAAATACCTTTACAGCCGCTAGGGCTATTATTCCGACGGTGGATGCATTCAGGCCGGAGAGAAAAGCATATGCAATATCTGGAAGCACTTCGTGTATATTTTGGATTCCAAGGGAAAAACCGTACATTCCAATTGCACCAGGTAGGCTTAGATGGCCCAGAAGGGTTAATGTCAGGAGAAGTTTTTCTTTTTTTTTTTTTTTTTTTTTTTAAAAAAAAAAAAAACAATGACGAGCGAAACTAAATCACACTGACCTCCATATCATGAAAACAAGAAGTCCCGGTAGAAATCCAGCATGGATTAAGGCTATGCAGAACCCCATCTTGGTGCTTCCAGGGCCCGGTAATGCCTGACACAATGCAAATAGTTCTTGATACTAAATTTCCATCAAAACAATCAGCTTCTCGGTTGCTTCTCTACACAGGCTCATTTGCCTCAAGTCGATAGTTGACATGTTCCCCCTACCGTTTGCTCGTCGATCCATGGTGTTTTCCCCCCTTGACCTTCCACAAATTTCCGGTAGAAAATTCGGAAATGCACAGGGGGGCCACCAAAGGCGGTAAAGCCCAGATGCCATGTCCGTTGGATCACATCCAGGAAGCGATTCAGAAGCTTCTCATTATTAGCCTCGTAAGGAGCACGGGTATCATGAGATTGTAAGCGCCAGGCGCTAAAGAGAGCCTGCAATGGCATTTTTGCGGGCAAGATGAGGTGACGAGTGGAAAAACGTAAACTCTGTTGACACAAGAGGCCGAGCTTTTTCTTTTATCCCCGGCGGGAATACCTCCCCGCAAGTGGCAAATCAGCTCATCAATTGGTGAATGAACCTGGAATGGAGAATTGAAATTTTTTGAAATCTCACGTCCATTGCAAAACGAGAATATATATACATGTGTTTATCCATGGATGTCGGAATCCCATCCTCCAGATTTTATCCCCTGCTCGTCATGAAGAAACGTGACTGGCATTCTGGCACACCATTAGTCCGTGATGACGCCTTAAGCCATCGACCCGCTGACGGGTTGGTGGAAGATGGTTGGGCCCACGGACGGTGAGAGAGTTGCTAAAATAAAAGACTTGGCCATAGCAAGCAAAGATAGAAGTCTGAATGGGGTTTAGCTGATGCTTAATAAGCGAGACTGGCTAAATTTTATCATTCCCTTCCACAACGCTTTTTATTTCCCTTTTATTTCAGATAGAATCCCAAACAACAGTATCTGTCTGCAGCAGAATAAATGCCATCAGCTGTGGGTTACTGGCGACATTGTCATGAACTGACATTTACTGGTCAAGAAGCTTTGAAACTAACTGGCGGCTTGCAATATTTCAATTGGTACGTACATCTGCGATGTGCTATTTTCTCCCGTCTTGCACATTCCTACCCTCTCCGCCACTGATGATATACACCACATATACAATATTTCTGGTACCTCTTATGTCAGGGGTGAGGCTATGGCCTCACTCCGATGATCTATCTGGACTTCTGATAGCACACAATGAACATTATCGATCTTCTTTTCCGGCCGAATGCACATAGCGTGCACTTGTCTTGAGCATTTGCTAATCTTGACATGCGATATATTAGGTACCCTACCACAGGAGAAATAATTGGGGTATATGGCGCTATTAGAGATGCGTATGATGAGGGCCTATGCTGTCTGATTACTACGGTATCCCAAGGGATTGGTTTTGCTCTATGTTTTATGCAAAATATTGTTTACCCCTCTCTTCTGAAACATTTTCAGGAGATTGATTTTCTCTGTTCACCATATTGCAATTCCTATGAATACTTTGAAAGGCCGTATAGGCAATGTTTATATGGGCGAAACATTTACCTGTTTTGGAAAACAGACCATTGAATAAGAAGAAAGAATGTTATATCTGGAGCTACTAAAAGCATGATTGTGATGCATAATTCTTTTTTTCCCTTTTCCCTCAAATATTCCTTTTCCTCCGTATGGTTACAGAACCCTCCTGTTTCTCCATTTTGATCATTATCTTTCTGGGAGAGGGTATTGGAATAGTAAACCATCCCTTTGCATCAACGACTCTCTTTTCACCATATATCTGATGCGTTTAACGGTTGATATCCGCTTCCTATCCACATTCCATATCATGCAATTGGTAATCCTCAGTGAGTGGGTACATGCTGCAGTGTGCTACTGTTGTGGTACGAAATACATCACTCTGAATTCAGTGGAGAAAATATGGCCAAACTAGGACATCTGGCTGTAGTAGAAGGGCGATGGCCAAATATGATACGGAGGATTTTCTCTTTTTCTCTTTTTCTCTTTTCTTTTTCTTTTTTCTTTTTTCTGGCAATAGGTATTCCTCAATTCCCTGGCGACATACTGCCAGCTGGAGTTCAGTAGCCCAGGGGCTCAAAGCTCAAATGGGGAACACACCTCGATACGATCATGTTCATTTTCTCTAGATTTTCCCAAGCGCTTCGACGTTATCTCGAGCTGTCTTCATAGCCATGCTGGGCTTACCCACCTGGGGGCACCAGTGCCGGGCTATCTTCCGGTATCCAATTTCCTCTATGTCCCCAGAATCACCTCTATCATCCATGTGGATGTTTCTGTCTTGTTGATTGCATCGTTCCATTTCATCTTCAATTCCTACAGCCTTCCCCTCTTGTTGGTATGTATGATGGTGCGCGGCCCGCTGGCTCCTTTGCCCTGTCCCTGGCATCGAATCTGTAAGTTGCATGTGGCTTGCCGAAAGTCGGTACACATCTTCCCACGATAATGCCGAAACCTCTCGGGATTGTAGCACGGGCCAATGTTGCACGCGGGTCTGTGTCGGCATAGTCGGCATCGACGGACCGAATTAGGTGACTGGAGTCTGTATCTGGATTGTCTGTCCATGTCCCTTGTTAGGTTACTTGCTCTCTATCATCTCGAAACACATATGGCTAAGGAAGACATATCATACCGTGGAATGGGGGATGTCTGTGAGACTGGGTCTATATTGAATTCCCAGACGATACAATATACAGTTCAGTCATGTTAAGCTAGCCTTGGAATGCTAGATCATCAATCTCGCTGCAGCAGGCTCAGTCAATATTTTCTTTTACTCCCTTTGTTGTTATATACAATACAAACTATTCTATCCAACGGATCCGGTCGTCAACTGAAATATTGACTCTACTAGCAACATCAGGATCATGATGTTTTCCCCCTCACAAGCACGAAATACACGTGCGGGAATACCTAACAATCTTTTCCATCGTACAAGACAGGTAATTAATACATCCTACAGAACTCACATTGGTCAGTTGGCCTAATACCTAGTGCTACTGAATGAACCCGTTTGTCGTGATGTTGTGAGGTTATCTCCTCTAATGCTTCCGACAACAAAAGAGCTCAACAGAGAAGGTATAAAAGTGCAAATATTGAATGTTCCCTCTTTCAACCACACTCGACATCGAGATACATACAATACATGCATGAACTTGTTCCTATAGGTCTGTGCATATGTCCATGTGCAATAAGCACACCACGCCCTCTATTCCCAAAAGGACATACGCATCTAGCCGCTTTCCCACGAGACACGGAGCATCGCGATCTGTTCACCCCCGGCAGTCCATCGTCCACATGGGTCACGAGGCAATCAGGGGAGGGGGGGGCGCTTTTAGGCTTGCGAACCGCAGCTAAATGCATATCGATCGGTCCAGGAAGCGCTGTGCAGCACCCTCCCTAGACCGCCTTTACCGCCTGTCCATCATTAAACTGTTGAACGGGTATGCTCTCCTGAAATTGGAACATTCTTGTCTGTCAATTTCTTATCTCTCTAAACTACGCCAACCGATGCTGGTTATCCAGAATTGATTAACCCGTTAGAAGCGATGGAACTGATAACCGAATTGAGAAACAAAACACCTCACAATTGCGATATGAACCTGCAGAGGCATGTATTTTAATATAGCAGCAGTACCAGAATGCCCCTGAGTTGGACTGATATCCCCAACCGTTCACCGCACCACGCTATGTCGTGATGTAACGGAAAGAAAAGTATAATTGCAACTGATCGCCCCTCAGCAACTGCTCCTTATTCAGGAGTAATGCATTCAGGTGAAATGTAGATCTCCCAGGTACAAGAAGCCGTCACACTCTGGGCGCATGCCGGGTGTGCAGGTGAATAGGAGGGCAGGTCAACGATGCGGGCTGAGGAGCCATTTTACCAACTTGCGTTTGATTGTGGAAAGGTCAAGACCGCCGACCCCGATTATATTTCTGCACGTTCAAACGGAGGCAAGCTAGGCTAAGAATAAATAATCACACAGTTAACCTGCTATGTAAGCAAGAGTTTGGGTGGCTATCGTACACGGCCATGTCAAAGTGGAGAGAAGGTACATTTTGCGCTGCTGGCCAGCCTACACGGCCTCCTTTACCTGACAGGAGATTCACCTATTTGAATGACGTCATTGGATAACTAACTACTGGACTGATAAGATAGTTGCTCGATAAACCCCACTTCAGCTCAGTATGGGACTCCAGTTGCAAACATGCGACTATTAAAAGCGGAAGTAGTGGAAATGAGCAGGAAGATTGAAGCGGAAGACTAGAATAACTATGTTGAGAAATAAATGATTCCGTTCCAGTCAATCGCCCTTCCTCATAAACGAGTCGACCCCACAATGCTAACGGGACTACCGTGCGTTTACCGAGTTTGACATCATCCAATTGGTAGATCAGAGGTAATCAGCGAGCGCTACAGTTGATACTGGTAGCCTGCGCCCTTAGTTATAAGCCACTGTGTCAGCGCACCAACGAAGCCCCAGGAGGCCAATTCGGAGCTTCATCAACGAGTTGTGGGAACGGCTTTTGTTGATTGGGTGGTGCCGGATGGCAAGCCAGCCTATGGCGATCCGTTTTTAGCAGCTCAGGATATTCCCCACCATAACAATTCTGCCTGCAAGGAAGATTCTATTTGATATATTAGCGGGATAAAGAGGAATCGTTTGAAGAGTTTAGCTTCCTGACTTTTGCGTCTCTTTGTCTGCAGATTACGAAGAATGGCGCTGCAGAGCACGCACTGCCTCCGATTTTCGATGGCAACCTGGTGGCAAATCTCAATATCGACAAGCACTTGGGCAAAATCGCTCCGGTTAATAAGACGGCGGCAACCTACAGCATTGCCTTTAGCTTATCAAAATGCGACAAACCTTGACATGGATATTCTTATATGGCCCTTGCCATGTGCCATATGAAAACCAGGTTCCCAGCAGGAGATCGAGAAACAAAGTCAGCGATACTTCTAACCATCGTCGCTGACAGGTGTACGAGTGCGTTTCTTCAAGCAAGGGGGGGTTGCCTTTGATCCAACCGCTGCTGTTGGACAGACAACCGATTCCCAGCGTTGAAGTGGCGGATATGCAGGAACTTTTCAGCTGTACACGCATCCTTGTTTAAACCTTTTATGCAAGGTGGGTTCTCCAATATGCAAACGCCATGCAGATGCAAAGAGTCGGACGTGCTTCTTAGGCGTAACAGGGGACGGTTAGCACGCTGCTCACTCGATTTGGGGGGGGGGGGGGGGGTTGGGGGACAATAACAATACATGTATCTCAGTCTCTAGAACACATTGATTTGAATTCCGCTCTTAGATTCCTCCCACTCCCTTTTGGCATAAATTATTCCAGCTGAATGGCTTTTGGCCTTTTGAACACAAGGGGTTGTCTTCTGTGACTAGCACAGAGGATAGAAAAACCGCCCTGGTATGGGATATGATTGAGACCGGCCGCCCGGGTAATCCTAAACCCCTTAATACGGTCCGCTTTCCCCATTCTATATATGTCGAAGGGGAAGTTTTAATCACTGGCGAAATTTCTGCTTGGGATGTTTTCCTTTGAATAGCTCGAGTTAACTAGTTACTAACTACATGGGCTGAAGGTGACTTGAGACAGTCATAGAAATCCAGGACTTCCCCTGCATACAGAGAGAAAAACCTCTATGAATGAGCATTCTACATAAACCATATGTCTACATAAACTACGTCAAACGCAGGGACATTCACAACAGTCCTAGTTTGCCACAACTGGTTCACATTTCTCCCCCGAAGACAAATTCCTGATCCATATTCCGTGCCAATGGAACGTTTTCGCCATGGTCTTCCCGATGGCTGTGCCATCAATCACCGCAGCAACATCATGGTTACATGCCATCAGCCATATCGATCGTGTTCTGGCAATTGTTGAATGGGCTGGCTGCCTTGAGAAGTTATTGCGAGGCCCGCAAGGCGCAGTACACTACGATTATAGGAATCGTCGACGAAGTATTTTGCCAATGATTCCGGATCAATATGCAAACACCTGGGATGCGTGGGATTATTACACCACTGCTATGGGATGTTAGGTCAGGCGTGTGGATTTATTAATATATAATACAAATATATATATGGTTTTTCTATACTTCAACTATCACTCAGTAAGTCTTGTGGAGAACTGGGGGTTAATTCCTTGCCAGGGAAGCATAACATTGTATCGCACGTTGGAAGCAAATATAAAAGTGACTGAAACAGCTCTCGACATTTCTGCTAGTAATCGCCTCCTGTTTCAGATTCTGCAGTCAATCTTGCGCTGCCGGCTCAGCTTTTGCATGTTCATCTGAGGTATCTAACTACGTAACCGAGCTGGCTTCAACCGACTTGGCAATAACGTTAACTATCGTTACCATCTCGGGCCCTAGTTAGCTGCTTGTCCAGCGCTCACCATGCCTTCCACTCACCTTTCCGGCCATCCAATTAATCAGGTAAACCCGATTACAATGAACAAGGAATTATGCGATTATTGATTGGGAGACCCATGGAGTGTCAAGCACATGGTCTTCATTAAACGTGGATATCGCGAGGATGGTGAGAGGTTGCAAATGGAGAAATTAAGCGCAAACCTGAAAGGTTGGCCTTTCATTGTTAACATTGCAATTTGTTTTGTAATGGAATTATGCTGCTTAGATATAAGAAGGAAAATAAATAAGCAGTTTCTGTTCCTCCGTTTCGAGAATGCCTCAGAAGAAGGTAGCGTTTATGGAGAGGTTCACATGGGGGACAGCCGTCTCCATCATTTTACCGAAACTAACATTTCTGGGAGAAGAGATGTTAATAGAGTCTCATTTTCCCGGTATCGCTTCTGGCAGTAATGTGAAGAAGTAGCTGTGAGGATCTCCCTTCTGTCAGACTAAAACAGCTACTGTTTTTGCTCTTCAGTTTCCCGTGCCGAACTACGGATGGAGAGTTACAAGATGGATGGTATAAAAATGCCTTGACCACAACATTGATGTTGAAATAACAAGAAGGGCACGTCGTCCAGAGCCGGCGCGAAACACACTTGCAGATCCAGATCGATCTCCCCGTCCCCGTCCCCGTCCCCGTGTCCGCTCGTAACAATCCTTTTCGATTTCCCATACTTAAGAACACCTCTGTGATATTTGTGCGATTCCTACGGGAGAAAACAGGTTCGTACGTAGGGACTTTAGGATATGGGGGTGCAGCCGTTTCACCAGAGCCATGGAACGACCTTTCCCCGGGGTGCTCCATTTTATCCACCTCCCCCGTCATCCTCCAGGATTCAAATGTTTCTTTTCCTCCTGTTTTTGGGTTCAATTGATGCGGGAGAAAGGGTTGAGCTTCTTTCACGCTTTTCACGTTATATTCTTCACGAGATGTGAAGTCGTGGAACCATAGTATCCCTTTTGAGACACCCAAGTATTTCTGAGGCATTCGGAAGTACTCCGTGCTCGGCAGATCCATGCATGTCGCTGTCAATTCCGGAAGGGCACGCGCCATGTGATTGAATGATTGTGGACAACCCAGAGGTTTTCTCTTCTGATAACTTGTTAATATGTCGGGTTATATCCAAATCAGTCATTTGACGAACAACGCGCTCGGAAATTATAGCGGCAGTGATTTGCTCCGCTCATAAGAGTTTTCCACTAAACAAGCAAGGCCTTTTGAACTGGAGAGCTCGGTCCCAGATCTTATCCCATGCCCGCTGACATTTTGGTTGTTTTCTCCGACTTCTGTCATTTCGGCCATTATAACTATATAATTGCATCTTATTGCTGGACACCACGCTTTCTTGACAAGATTAAGGCGCGATTTTAGCAATATTACCAGTCAATGTCTTCCTACGTGTTTTAAGGCTGCGAACAACAATTTTTGTTTGTCGAGAATAATACCCACTTGAGGGGAGTTGAATTGGAATTTTCCTGGTTGTGTTGGGGAAGTGTCAAGAGTTTTAGCCAGTTAGCTAGCTCCAAGTCCAAAAAGATAATCTATGTCAATGGGCAAACAAAAGTAGTGGAGAAAGAAACAATGTCATTGTTATCAGCCAACCTTGTGGCGGAAAGCTGTCATTTGTGCGTGCAATAAATAAGCCGATTCCTAAAGGCGAAACCGGCGTCCTCTTTTCGCTGCCATCTACTATCTACTCGCAGAACCCGCAGCTGAAGAACAGGAGGAACCAGTCAGCGAGCAGCGTAGATAGTTAACTACAAGACACATCTCCACCTCAGCTTCAGGCTTGCCCAGTCAGCCTGCTTGCTCGATTCCCACGTAACTACACTTCATAACGAGTTACCATCCAGTCGAAGGATAGATGAACTTCGATAGGGCTTATTCAAGCGGGCGAATGTGTCCTGCGCAACACCTAACCACGCCAGAAGTAGCGCCGTATTAATATCTAGCAGAGCTATTGTCAGGCGGGATGAAGGTGAAGAAATGCTGCAGGCACAGAGTAGTTTCTCCGGCGGACATGAAATGGGGCCCTGGCCTGCGGGACCGCGGTGTGTTTTGCTCTGCTCGCACCGTCCATCCTCCAGCTTACTTGGTTAAACTGGTTAGCCAACCTCCTTGGGCCCTCGCCGTCGTGAATTCAACAGCGACTTCTCCACTTCACTTCGGAGCCCCGCCAGCCACAGACCCTATGGTAGCCGGTTATTCCAACGTTGTTTTTATTATTATGTATTATTTTATTATTTACTTTTAATTAATGGGCAAGGGGATAGCAGGGTACATAAGCAGGAGGAGTTAGTTTAATAGGTCCGCTAATACCAACCATTTCATGAACGAACGGCCTCGAAGCCGTGCTCCATGTTTGCTCGCCCTTTGGGGTTCATCAGCAAAGTGCCCAGCAAAGTCCCCAGCAACTAACATCCATGATGGAAGGCAGGAGACTTCATTGGACCTCTTGTGTACGACACCATTTCCTACGACGACGACTGCTGATTGATGTTGTTGCTGTTACTGTGTCCTGCTTGTCGCTTACAGCTACACGCTGCCGGTAGTTAACTAATCGCAGACCTTTTTCCCCTATCCCGACCCGGTCATCTGCCCCGGGGATTCCCATCAGGGCGCTGCAACCAACTAACTACGCGGGCTTGTACGGAGTCTGCTCTAGCCCAGCCACCTCGTGCTTGTGGTGGGGGGGGGGGGGGGGGGTTATCCTCGTTTTCATTTGCCTGGAATCCCTTCTTCCCAACGATCTTCGGTAGTTCTGTCAGTCGATGGTGTTTCCCGTCCGCTTGGCAAACTCAACTCTGCTCTGTGCGCCTTTTCAAACCTCCCCAACTACTTTAACAATAACATTCAGACTTCTCCCCGCCCCTCACTAGCCCATGAGGAATAACTGATGCATCCTTGAACATCACTTCTGACGTCTTCTACCCCTCTGCGAGTCAGGGTGTAGGGAAGATGGAAGTTCCTCCGTTGCCAATCATACCACAGCTAACTAACTCCTGGGCCGATGGTTCTGTCTTGGCGCAGCCTCCTGAGGCCCAGTCGATGGGTTCGAATGCTTATCCGCCCACATCGAGGCACCTCGGAACGCCTTGGTGTCGACAAATAACGTGTGCAGAATCCCTGTAAACCCGTGCGGGACATCTGGATTTGCCTGCTGTGCCTGGAAGCGCAAGGATGTCGAGCATGCCGCGGACAGGGGACTCGACTAGAGGTTGGTCGCATTTGAACCTGATAGGTTGAGACACCATGGTTGGTGGAACTTCTCATCCATCGTGCTCATACCTACCACATCGTAGAATTGGGTTCCCCCCGAGAGATTGTCCCACTTTACCGATTACCCACAGCCTTCCATTCTGTCTGTCCTCTTGTCCCCTTGTGCTCGGGTGCTCTGGGTATGTTGGAACCCCGCTGGAGAGTAACCCTAGGTGCCCATTTTCAAATGCTTTTGCTCTCCTCCTTCGCGAATGTGCGTGCTTGGTGTCAAAAAGAGCAATCCTGGTAATATTCCTTTTGGCTAATGTTGTCTTCCAATTGTATTCCTCAATACATTGTGTAGTCACTCCTTGATTCTCTTATTATATTGACAATTCCCGGCTGGCTATAATTTTTGGCACCCTGATGGAACTCCTTCTCTTAGTTTCGCGAGGCGTATACTCCATGCTTCATTTCCTTGTGAAGTAGATTTTACATGTTCTTCATCCTGTTCTTCAATAGAAACAGCTCTCGTTGCAGGTCTACCGCAACTCTATATTCGTTTCTACGAACCCGCCGCTCCTTACGTCCGGGATATAATAAACAATTGTCGCTTTCAGGGGGCAAAGCTTGAGAATACGGCCGACGTATATCGATCATATATCCACACCGGTCACATCCGATGTGCTCCGGGAGGATATGACATTGTTCTATACGTCCTTTAGGGATCGATAAACTGAAGGAACGAAACCACCACCTTCAATTAGACGACCTCAGACATGGTCGACCCCTTAGATAAATATGGGCTCTGTCCGGTCCCGTTCATGCAGGAAGACCTCTTCCCGTCCAGTGGCGGATGTGAGTTAAGCTTTCAATTTTGTGTGTTCTCATTTGAACTAACCACTGTTCCCCTGAGGCGCCTGTGCTAAAACTATATATTCACAGTTGTGACCGGCAGATGGTGCGAGAAAATCCCCGTTGGTTTACAAGGGAATAATATCTCTTGCTGTCTCCCATGCCCGCATGCAGGCTGGAGATACCCTGATGGTATTGACATGCCTCCTCTCCCCCGCTGGTTCGAACTTGATGTTTAACTAACACAACGCGAAAGAATTTTTGAAGAAGATGGAAGTTGCGAATTGGATTGCAGTTGTAATATTCTCCTTGAACTGTCTTCTGTTGCTCAGCTTTGCGGTTTTGCCCGTGAAATGGACGCACCGCCATTATCTGAGTGTCTGTTTCGTGATTGGGATTATATTTATGGAGGTATTTGGTCGCTCATCTCTGTGCCCTTTCAAGATCATTTTCAATATTTGGTCCGAGAAGGCATCCGGTTGACTCGCGTTTGAACAGCTCTCCTTTATTGTCCCGTTGATCGCTGAACCAAATGAATGCTTTAACGAGATTACCCCTAACGACATGAAGTCGGATCTAGCATGTTCCTTTTCAGGCGCATTTATTATATTTGGTGGCTGGGCCGTCATCGTATGGAGTATGGTCTCAATTATTTTACGCTCTGTGTATTATTCCAAATATATATCATGCCCGCCATGCTAACCTTGTGCCAAAGGTTTCTGTCGCGCCTTATCACTGCACCTGCAGATATGTTGGGATGTTGTCCCCGGGAACAAATTCTTTTATACGACGTTGACATTAGGTTGGATCATACCGGCGATTGGATTGGCGCTTGGGTTAGCCATAACAGGGACGTCATATCGATTTGGTAGCATATGCCATATTAATCATGACAATAGCTTGGCGGATTTCTGGGGCCCATTGATGGCCCTAGCTGCTGCTGCGCTGGTGATCCAGTTCGTGACGTTGGCATATTGCATCCACGTCTACGTCAGATCACTTCTTGACAACAACCCTACCACGGATAACAGTTCTGTTCTTCCATCATCCCACCCCGGCAGTGTACGGACGCTCTCGGCACGCCAAGCGTACCGTCGTGTGAAAAGGGTTATCCAGTTGCAATGGAGAGGAATTGCCGTTGTGCTTACAATTATCGTGAACGTGATTTTCTTCACAGTCATATTTCTATCGCTGGATAACAGTGTCAGACGGACACCGGAGCTGGTGGAAAACTCCAAACGCTGGGTGTTCTGCCTTGTATTTTCCCAAGGCAATAAAAAATTGTGCGCACCAAGAGCCTCACATCTAGGCCCCAATGAGGCGTCCATCTTTGCCGTCTTGGTTCTTTTAGCCCTAAGTGGACTATGGACCCTTCTCTTTCTTGGTCGATACTCCATGTTTCTTGGCTGGATAGACCTCATCAAACGAAAGACGATGCGCAGCGGAGAATTCGTGTCCGCGGATGCTCGTGGTGGAGCTTCCAGCCGAGCCTATGAGATGATAAACCCATCCCGAAAAGAAGAGGTCAAGACGCCTGACCTTCTGCTCTCTTCAAGCCCGTCGCATCTCTCGATGTCCACTCTTCGATTTTCCAATGGAAAAGTCGATTCAGAAGCTTATACTCGCGAAATCAAATATACCAGTCCTGCACTTAGCTTTTCCACACCTCGTCCCCCGAGTGCTTCCCATAATAATCAGCACCACCGCTATACGAACAGCCAAGATTGGAATCCGCAGTCATCGTTTGCTCGGAGCGGGCCCGGAGGACCATACTGGTATGACGAAACCAACCCGTGACAATTCCTCTTTTGACTGGAAAAAAAAAAATAAAAATAAAAAAATAAAAACATCAAAGCTTGCCTTTTCCCTACGGACTTAATGTACAAACTTCTTTATACCTATTTATTTATTTTGGCCAATCGGCTTGCGCGTCCGATTTCATGGCATATACTTTCGCTTCCGGGCCATTTTTCCCTTGTGCCCATCAACTCCGTGCACTCTCAGACTGGATTTGTGGCCAGCGTTGCACCATGGTACTTTTCCTTCTGTTGTGTACGCGATAACGCTAATGCAGAGCTTAATGCGTCTTGTTATCTGCAAACCCCTTTTAAATTCTCTTATTTGTCTACACCCTTTTCGGAGTTTCCTTTGTGCCCATTTCCTGTTAAACGTGTACTTGTATGTCTTTGGCCATTCCTATATTTGCGGAGCCCCGTGGTTCCTTTTATAAAATCGGCCTATGGAAAGATGCCCAGAAGGGAAAAGTGGAAAACGCATTCGAATGTTTGTGTTGCTCATGGTGTATTAAAACGCCGGAATAATGTCTTTTTTATTCTATTTTTATTTTTTACTATTTTTTATGGTGTCTTTCTGGGATCAAGCATGGCGTGTGGTAGCGTAGGGATTTCATTTTTACCTCTTATCCGCGCTCGACTTTGCTTAATATTTCTTCTTGGATGGGGTATCTGGTGGCGTTAATTTCTTGCCTTTCTGATATCGTTGTTCCCTACACACAAGACCGTGGCCATGTAACAATGCAAATTGGAGAGAGCCCTGGGGTTAACTACTGTGTGTGCTTTGAAGAATCTTGACGGGAAGATCGATACGAACCATAGTAATTCACACTTTCATGCTTAACTGTTGGAATAATTACTGGTTTGTGATTTCGAGAAGAATTGTAAAAGACATTCGTTCGATGGTTCTAGATGATAATCCCTGGACATAGGATTAGGCGATGGGACAACACGGAGCATTTCCTCGTATAGTCTGATTCCTTACAATCCAGAAAACCAAGAGCAATTCCCGTATTTTCCTGGTCCTACAATCGGGTGTTGTCTTTGGAACGGAACGGAATGTGTTGGAGCCAGTTTCGTTATATATCAACATGTTAATTGCACGAACACTAGAAAACTTTTCCCCATATTTACTCCTATGCAACAGTTAAAAGTTGCATTATCATAACCCTTTCCAAAACATTCACCCCGTGCATTTCAGCCCTGCAGACCTTTCAGCGGAGAAAAGCTTCAACCGACAGGAAACGACCTAGGACTGCATTGTCCAGGAAAACCGCTTTTGTACGTTAAGGAATACCTGTCCATTACACGTCCAACCGCTCCATCCCACAGCTCTACATGGGCATGGAATCTCATCTGGCGCATATAACTATCCTAGCATGGGTAGTTAGGAGTTAAGGGGAATCGCGGGCCGATGCAACCAACACAGGGATTCCCCTATTACGGATCTGTGCTCACAGGGGATGAATATATAACTCCCAACCTTCTAGAAGTTGTTTTCTTAAGCACACGGAAGGGACTAGAAAACTAACCCTTCTAGACGTTTCGGTCTGCTCAGCCCGTATTTAACAAGAGGAAGACCAATATCCCAATGATGTATGGGTTGTCATTTCATCCAAACCCTCTGATCTCGACCATTCTCGGTCCTGGACATGTGTTTTGTCAAGGTTCAGATTCCCGATGCTGATTTTGGCGCAGACTCGAGCCCCCAAAAACCTCATCCAAAATACGTATATTGCATATATTATGTTTCCGACGACGTTGTGCAATTCCTTCTGCCTGGAGGTTAGCAGCCTCAGCGGAGGGAGGCAAAAAGCTCTCAGGGCCTGTAAGGTATAAAAAGCAACACATATTCCACATGCATTTCTGCTCCTCTCGTCCCCGATTTTCTTCAGTTACAGGTAAATACCGAGGAAGGTCGGCGCGCTCTGGCAAGGCAAATGACAAGAGCTAGCAGGATGATAATTACAGGGCAACCAATCATTAAGTCCGGGCATTTGGGAACAGCCATTGTAGTCTTGCTATCCTGAACAATTGATGGCCAGCTGGCATGAATAAAAGAGGACGTCCTTAGCTTGCCCAATGCTGAACTGGGAACGGTCTGGGGCAGCCATCAGTGGGGGCTGTCGAACACACAGACAGGACAGGACCGCCGGCACAGATATTGATTTTTTGCAATAAAATCAAGCATTTTGCCTCCAGGAGTGATTGCTAGGGCGGCCACCTCTCATATTCTCCCGTCTATCTCGAGTGTGGTGCTGGTGGAGCCTCGAAAAACGTCTTCGGTCTGCCAGTGATAGTAGCATTGTCAATGTGAGTTCGACAATCAAGGAAGAGCGTTCCCTGGATTTGGAATCAAAGATTGCACATTGTCGTTGAAGAACCGTTATCGTACCCAAAATATGGGG